GGGGCCGCTCAAAAATCCTCCGGCTCACTCTCATTCCTTTCCCAGAATGGAGGGGCCTCCGTCATTGCTTCATCCTCCACCACAACCGCCGCAGCCTTGTGTTGCTTGGACCTCGGTCGAGTGGGTTCGGCATCCTGGGTGTCCCGCATTCTCTTTGTCACGGATGACACCTTTGGACTCTCGAGGAGTTCGGTACCCGCGACTGTTTTTCTGGCGTAGCATTGGAAGGTTCGGTGGCCGTCTCGTCCGCAACGCCAACAGTCGCACTTGGATGCTTTGTGGGCATCGATCTCCTTCTGGGGAACCCCTACCAGAGCCTCCTTTGCTCCTGCGTAGATGTCCCCTTCCCTTGTCCTTCCCTTCCTGACTCCTGTTGCTTCCTTGGCCTTTCGGCCCTCCAGGGACTCCCCGCTTTCCTTGCGGCCCCCGGGGTCTCTGCCCTTTCCTTGGCCCTGCCGGGTGTTGCCAGATCCCTTCCGGTCGCCGCCGGAACCCTGGCTACCCGATCCCCCTTTCCTCATTGCCCTTGCCTTTTTCAGCGCGTCCCGTCGTTCCACATGGTTGCCAGCCCTGAGCACCGTTTCCAGGAAGTCTTCATCGTCTTCGTAGGGTTCGGTGTGCTGGTTGAAGCACATATCGACGATGTCGGTAGTCATGGCCTGGTTGACTATGTCTTGTAGCGGTTCGCCGGTGGCGCGAGCGATCATGTTGAGCGATCGGAAGGAGGTCATGTAAGCCTGAATGTCTCCTTTGTATTCGAGGGCCCACATCCTTCTTAATGCGTTCGCTCCTTCCTGCGTGTCGCGGTACGCCTCCTTGAGTGCCTCTTGGTACGCCTGCCAGGTATCTTCCAAGTGTAGCTGCCTCAGGCTTTTTCGACGGGCCTGATGCCATTCTGCCGCTGTCCCTTCCAGTCGGGATCCCACCCACGCTATCTTCTGCTGCTCGTTCATCTCTGGGTGGAACTTAAGATATTCATCGACTGAGTCCCACCATGGACAGAAGGCTGTCCTTTGCTTGCTATCGAACGGCTTGGGCTCTTTCATTTTAAGCTTGATGGCCCTCGGGTTCGATGCGGAGACGGCAGCAGCGATTATCCGAGCGAAGCGACTCTCTTCGTCTTCGCCGTCTTCTCTTGGTAGCGGAGCGTGTCGGTGACGGGGCGGCGAACGACGCGGCAAGGGGATGGAATCGTCATCATCCGATGGTTCCTCATCCGAGGGATCACCTCCAAGGTTAGTCACCGGACGTCTTGGGGGTGGAGGAGGAGGGGACATTCCTGCACCTGCTGGAGTTTCCCTTGTTGCTGACCTTTCTGCCCGCGATCCTCCTCTTGGGGTGGTGTTTACCCACCCTGGGGCCTTTTCCTTCGCCTTCCCTGTCCTTACCTCTACAGCCTTCAATTTTTTCTCCGCTCGAGCGATTTTTTCCTTGATTCGCTGTTGCTCCTTGTAGAGGTACTCTGCCTTCTCTTCCTGTTTCCCTGCCCAAATTTCCACGTTGCGGTTGTACACCGCTTGCTCCCTGCGTTGTTCGACTTGCGCCGTTTCGAGGAACACGATGGCGTCTTGTAGCCGAGCGTTTGCGACGCTTTGCAACTCGCGGTTGTCTTCATCTTTCTGGTTACGTTCTCGAATGACTGCCCATACGTCGCTGCTCAGGGCGTGCGTTGCGTTCGCTACCGTTGACAGCTCGGTTCGAAGCCATTCTGTATTCATTTCGGCATTGTGAGCGTAGAGGTTGTACACATACTTGACCCCATCGCAGAGTTGTTCGTAGTTCCTTCTGATTTCCTGCATTCTGGAGTCTTCTTCGTTGAACTTCTGATCGCATGCTTGGTAAAGTTGGCGCAGGTCTCTTTGTGCCGTTTGTTATTGGTGGTTCATCAGCCTGAGCCAAGCTGCTGGGTTTCGTACTTCGACAGTTTCGGATGCTTGCGGAATGCTAACGAGCGCATTGCTTAGGGTCTGAGGAAGTTCGAGGCGGAGCATGTCGAGGTTTGAGGAGGACATTTCGATAGAAATCGGTGACTGTAACCTTTAAGATTATAGTGTGAGACTGGGACGGGTTTGTGTCGTCGGAGTCTATAGTAAAATCGAGGATAGAATAAAAGTCAGGGATTTCGATAATTCACAACGGAATAATCTTAAGAGTGTTTCTTCGATGGTTTGTTCGGTGCGATGATTGTGGTTTTGGTTCGGTTTGCCTGCTCGGTTCGACTTATAGTCGTTCCGATCCTCAGCACGTGATTCCTCTAGAGTGCGGCCTAACGTAGCTCCGTTGCTTTCTTTGCATCGGAGTTCCGCGGCCTAGCCTCGAGTCGTCGTCAGCTCTCTTCGGATAGTCTTCTTGACTAGGCAGGTGGTAAACACCACGCGCCCAAGATAGATCGGAGTTTCCGAGCAATTATCTCCCTCATGCGCCGGCAGAGTTCTTTGCTCGAAGTTGTCTGCCCCCATCGGTCGATGTTCGATTCTCTCGTCATAACAGTTTTTCCCTGGATCGGAGTTCCTACTGCGGGGCCCTATGAACGAAGATCTCAAAGTCCTTTGGACTGTTATCCCGATCTCCCGCATCTCCGATCACTGTCTAGACTCTGGAATCCGTTTGCTCCCTCATTCCTATCTTGTCCTCGATCGCTTCTAACTATCCTTTCGGCTCGCAACTCTATTCTAATCACCCGAACTATCTAATCACATCTCTTGCGACCGTCGTGTCCTCCGATAGCTATCGGGGTGTCACAATCACGGACTGTCTGACACCATTGTACCGGACCGAGGCCTCCAGTTCGCATCACAATTTTGGAGACATCTGTGCGCTTGCCTGAAGATTGACGTACGACTATCCACTGCCTCATGCTCTTGTCGGAACTCAAGCCTTAGGAGGGACCCCTGTCACGGCTGTAACGGCACGGTCGGGCAAGGCTCCAGGTAGCGAAGTCGGGCGGGGAACCGGGTTCTGGGTTCTGCAGAGGCAAGACGGGTTCAGAGGACCAGGTAAGGCAGGGCTCAGTGCAGACGGCAACTGAGAACAGAGGTGGGGACAAGCACTACTGCGCAGACGGCAGCCGAGGCAACGACAGAGGTAACAGTGATTGAATCAACAAGTTGTTGCGTGAAGAACTAAATACAGAGGTGCAACGGCCCGTTTATATAGAAAATCCTCCACTTCTTCCCGCAACCTGACAATGGCCGTGGGGGTGTGCCAGACCCTGATAAATTCACCTTGCCAGTACCCCACTTCCGTGACTCATACCCTGCGCAGCCGCACTACCCCTGCTTCCTGCATACAGCCCCAATCCCCTGCGACTCATTACTGCGCTATCCCTGCTCCCTGCACACAGCCCCCAATCCTCTGCGACTCATCCTTGCCCTGCCGGTGCACTGCCTGTGCACTTCCTCCCAACTCTCCCGATCCTTACGCCGACCCACCCTTCGTCATTCCGTCGCGAGTCGTGACAGTATATGCGCCATGTTGGTGCTGCTATCGGTGACTGGGTGATTGCTAACCCAAGGACCTTGAATCCGTTATACAACCCCTGCAGGGTTGTTTCTTCGGCGGGTTCATCATGATTCACGATTACTTGAAGTTGTTCGTAGATGTCAGCGGGATTTTCGCGGCAAAATGGTGGCGCTGTGGTTGCTGTAATAAAGTACACTGGGAAAGTACTATACCACTCAACCAAAAGGTATTTTGATGGCTGAAGGCCATCATCCCAGGCCAGGACTTCTGAACCGTGACAGTATCCCCTCTTTAGGGGCTTACTACAGGAAGCCTTCAAGTAGTTAACCCCCAATGAGTGATATTTCATGATAAGAATCATAAACCATCACTCACTGTAAGCCAATTTAATGGTGCTCTTTGGGGGGGTGACTGAAATCGCTTTTTTGGTGATACTAGAGGGCGTCGCTCTGCGAGTTCAGTCCTGCAACCCCGTCTCGCTCGGGGGTGAGAGTGCTCTTCTACAGTCGTGCGGTGTCGCCTCGCTTGGTGACGGGAGTGCTCTGCGGCACTGCAGATCAGTACAGCGCAATATAGTCTGAGCGGGGCGCGCCCTTGCTTCTTACCACTTAACCGGGTTCTCAATACGCCCGTCGTAGGTGCTCCCGGGCACGCTCGCCGGCATGACCGTTCCACACTCTCTCGGTGATACTCTCGGCAACTCTGTCGGTCTCTGCCTCAGTGATGCTCGCAGAAAATCTCGCTAGCCGTCATGTTCTCGGTCTGCTCGTCGGCACGCCTCTCAGCATGCTCTCTGTCATACCCGCTGGTCTGCACTCGGTCATTCTCGCCGGCACACTCTCGGTCATGCTCTCGGTCGTGCTCGCCGGCATACTCTTGATCGTGCTCTCGGTCATGCTTGCGGGAGTGCTCTCGGTCATGCACCCGACACGCTCTTGAAGGCTTGGTGTCGCTCGGCCGCAATCTCGCGGTCTTGCTCGCCGACTTGCCTTCGGTCTGCTCGTCGTCATGGTGTCGGGAGTGCTCTTGGGTATCGACTCGGCATGCTTGTTCTTCGGCACCGCCATTACGCAGAAGTCTCAGGCTCTACAGGGTTGTCACGCAAAAGTCACCTATATCGGATACTCGCCGTGTAGAAGTCACGGGGTTTTGCAGGACTGCGCTAAAAGATCTTGGTTTGTCGCCGCTACGTGGGGGGTTGTATGTAGGGAGTATGATTTCCATGGGGAATCTTTGACCCGAAGCCTAGTTTTCACGATTGTGAATGAGCAGAACAAGGCGAGCAGTTGGCCAGGTACTGAGACCTCTGACCTCCGGCCCCTCACAGTCACCATCACAAAGCATCAACTAATCGCGAAAGCCGATCACCCACTATGATACACCTCCCCTACCCGTCCCAACCTCGACTCCAGGCCGTCTATAGCCACTAAGTCACCGAAGATACGGTGCCAACATGCACCGCCGGTTTATAGAGGTCGACGTCCTACAATGAACAATCGATCATGTCGCGAGGAAGAGCAAAAACCAATGTATATCTCCCGGTATGCGCTCTGGAAGAATTGGGAAACCACTCTTATTCTCTCATATCCAATCACATGCCCTCCCATCTATTTACCCTTGATGATATCCGCTGCCTTCTCCGCAACCGCGTACACTGTCGCCTGCAGATGACACGCTGGAATAAGTGGGAAAACACTGGCATCAACAATCCTGAGTCCGCTTATCCCATACACCCTAAGTTTCACGTCCACCACACCACCGATCTCTCGCGGCATCATCGGACACGTACAACTCGGATGCGCAAACGTGGGTACGAGCGCCTCCCTGGCAACCTCAGTGAGCGCTTCATCGCTCACCACGTCGGTGCCGGGGGAGACCTCGACCGGAGAGAATGGGGCCATGCCGGGGCTGGCGTGGAATCGTCGCGCGTAGCGCATACTCTCGACGAGGATCGCGCGATCGAGCGGGTCGGAAACTGAGCGTGAGTTGATCATGGGATTGTCCCAGGGTGATGTTGACCTAATTTGGACTGAGCCACGGGATAGAGGGTGCTGTAGTGATATTCCGGCGCCGGCGGAGGTGCCGACTAAGAACTCGTCTACAGCTACATCGTTAGTGGCGAATGCCGCGAGCAGGAGTGCTCGCTGCTTGTTGTAACCCGCTTGCACGGCGGCGAGGTCGGAGGTGGATGCGTTTGCGGCGAGGGCAATGCTGAGGAGTGATTTATACCTGTCCGGGGCGATCAAGGGAAGGGGTAGGAATGCGGCATTGTTGCCTAGGCCCATCGTGTACGGCCCAGTGCGGTTTGCATGGTATTGCGCGAGCATCTCCGCCGCGTAGGTGGCGTTGGTGTACAACTGGTTTGTATCCGGGTATCCAGATGGAATTGTGGAGTTGAATACCAATGCGCTGTACATCGTCGGGTGGTCCTGAAGGTTGGAGCCAACGCCAGGGAGGTCCTGTACTAATGGAATTCCATAGGATTCCAGGAGCGCCTTCGGCCCGATTCCTGATAGCTGCATTAATTTTGGTGTGTGAAGCGCTCCTGCTGCCAAAATAACCTCCAATTTTGCCGTGACATTGATGGCAGAGGTTGAATTTGCGGCAGAAATCTATTACAGCGATCAGCTTGGATTCGGTATATCGGACAACGGAGGGAAAACTCACGGTGACGCCAGTAGCTTTCTTATTCTTCAGTAGGATCTTTGTTACCTGCCTCTCGGTGAGGAGGTGGTAGTTGCTTCTCTTGGACGAAATCTCGTGATACGTCCTCTTTGCGTACGATCGGGTCTCATCTGCCGGGTTCACCGATGATGGCACCCAGAGCGCCCCGATACCATTTCCGTTGGCAGAGTCCTTCGGAATCGTGACCCCGAATTTCCTGAACGCCTCCATTATCAACTCTACCTCGTCGTTAGTCCGAAACTTCCTCGCATAGCAAAGCGATGACTAACTAAGTTGCGGGAACAAGAACTGCGGATACGACACCTGCAATGGCCCCTCCGTGCCATGCGTCGCTAGATCGTACGCGATATCCAGATCGTCATGCCCCGTCGGCGGATGGAAAGTCTCGCTCTTCTTGAAATACGGTTCCAGCCCGTCCCATCCCCATCCTCTATTTCCGAGCTTCTCCCAGAGATTGTAGTCGCCGCGGGAACCGCGCTGCAGGAACATTCCGTTGATCGCCGAGCCGCCGCCGACAACCTTAGCGGACGAAATACTGAACGTGCGGTTTTTCAAGTCGGCGATTGGCTCCGTCTGCGTCAGCCATTGATAGGATTGTCCGAGGGAAATGGCTAGGCCGGGGATCAAAACGGCATCGGGGTCGGGGTTCAAACTGGAGACAGGCCAAGTCAGTGAGTGCGCATGTGGGTGATGCGGGATGGATCATACATTGGCCCGGCTTCAATTACAAGCACGGATTCTAGTCACCGTCAGTCATTCCATTCTCCTTTTTGTCCGCCGAGGGGTTTTTACTCTTCGGATCCTCCGTCAACCGATTCGCCACAACTAATCCAGACAATCCTCCGCCTACAATCACATAGTCGTACTCCGACTGTAGCTCCTCCGCGCGTGAAACAACAGTTCCATAGAAAGGTGCAGCCTCAATCACAACGACGGCGATGGATAGTAAAAGAAGTGAATGGAAGTGCATCGTTGGATTTCGTCTAAGACCCCGAAAGAACCAAGTTATGGGCAGGCGATGTGTATTATAAGCAATCAACTTTCTTCCGGTAGATAAACCATGTGGTTTACAAACTATACTGTCGCCTGGAAATAGTATGTACCTTTATCTTGCAACGTTTATACGGCCACTAACCATGCAACAGCCCAGGTGATGGCGGGTCCTGAGGTTTCTAGTAGCGTGATCACCGTTGGGCATCCACTTTAGGTGAGACTCCATATCGGTCGGCGGAGGTACCAAGGTGGTTTTGGGGAACGGCGGGGATGACGCTGGGCATGACCAAGGTGTTAATTGTGGTAGCACAGAAGCACTGGGCCCTCACCTAAATGAGCCGGCTGGGGAAAAATGAGTTGTAGGCTGAATAATCTTCCGCGATAATGCTATACACGTATGGAAGCGGACGCTCCGCGTGGAAATTTCAGGCTTTCCAACACTTTATGCCCATCTCCCAGGATATTCCCAATCGAGAGTTTCTCGGGCACCAGAAAGGCAGCTCCCGGACTCGACTACTCGATAGGGATCGAGGTCCTTTTTACCGATTCCCGGCTGAATTCATGTTGAAATTCGGCCCTCTCGTAACCGTAATCCAGGTCGAAGCCGGCGCGGGTTGGTGCCTTCGGAGATACTAGAACCGAAGAAATGAGGTATGCAAGCTGCCTAAGGGGTGATACTAGAATAATGTATAGCTATTTACAGTATCTCCGGATGGCTAAGATTAATAACCGATGTTTAAGTAGGTATGCAAGTAGTTGAGGAGTGCGCCGGCTTCCCGTCGGAACGCTGGAAAACTGGCGCGCTGCAGCCATATTGCTACTTACCACTAACTATTCCCGGGGCTAGGTGAAGTCCGTACTCACCATGTATACCGAAAGACAGTGAGTTAGCAGGCCTTGGGAAAAGGTTCTGAACTTATTTCGTAGTTCCAGTTCTTCCTTACTGGAGCTGATCGACAGACATCTCAATGATCTGTCCTTCCGGCCGTCTTTTGGGACTTTCCATTGATCTCGGACATTGATCTCAGTTCCCGGCGCCGTACAGAAGTGCTCTCTGCCCCGACTAGCAAGGAAACGCGTGCCTGCTCAGGCCCAGCGGTTCCGAAGATGCCATTTGGTGGAAGGATCGATCGCCGGACGTAACCGACAGTATGTGAGTGCAACATCTGGGTGCATATAAATTCCAACCGGTAGCTGAAATGGGCCATGTCACGATAGGGCGGCGATGGAGAAACCGGAGAACAGTCACAGAAAGTTGTGTAATGGGCTGCAGTACGCGAACACCCATATTTGGTTACAGATATTCGTGTGCAGGGCCCGCCCGGACCCGGTAGTCCGCGCAGACGTTGGACAATACATAATACTGACGTTCGTTGTTCAGTCCTAGGTGGGTGGTAAATCGACATGGACGGATTATTGAGATGCATGTTCACCGGGGATGTGCAGGACGTCTGAAACAATTCACTTATCCCTACCCACCGCTGCCTCCGCCAGTCTTTTCAACAACCCGCCTTTATCAGCTAGTCTACATTGGAGCTTACAGTCGCCGGCGGTCTTGGAACACCCTGCTGGTTAAAAGCTCACAGCAGCCCAGTGTCGCCCTGGCGATGAACTTCATTTCCCTCTTCTATTGAATCCAGTAACATTTATATTGTGTACAGTTTCATCCGCCTCCCACCAGTTACTTAACCGGGTCCATCGCTAGTGATGATTCATCTCACTGCACAGTACAAGTTCAAGGGACCTTGTGTCCGCTCCACCCCAACTATGTTCAACTTGTAGTGACGTATAGGGAGAGAGAACTCGTGTCGCCGAGATATCTCAGTAGCTCAGCTTTAAATCGTTAAGAGAAGGGCGAGTGCTCGCCAGGCGTGTAAATAGAAATGTATTTTATCGATGAAGGGTAGGCCCTGGCTCTTGGCCCCGCCGCTCAACTTTCTGTAAGAGCACTACATATGACTATCAAATACCCGGAAGCCGAGCCGCTCTCATGTTATCCTATCAATTCGCAAAGTGCACCACAATTGATTTCTGCGACACGAGTAGGAAAGGGGGGAATCCCATGGATTCCACGTAACTACGCAATCGAGTGACATATTACAAACTGTGTGAGGTGTGGCTAACGGCAAATATGACTATAGAAATTCTTGAGGACTCCAAAAATCGTAGCGTCGAAGGACGTGTTTATAGTCAGCCCCTGCCTAGACGCTGTGCGCGTATGTATGAAGGCCCACTTCAGCTCTCGAGTCTGATGTCCGCGGTGTATAAGTGCCTACGTCTTTTTTATACACAACAACGACAAGAAACACACACGAAGCCATTAAAACTCTCTGTTCGCTGCCTGATTACTGCACCCTTGCATCTCCGTTGTGGCGGAGCGTGAGGGGGGAGGGAGAGGAGGACCAGTCGGCGGGAGAAAACGAAGGTGATTAGCAGTGCGCATCAATATTGGCGGCCACGGCGGGGTTTTCTACTTCTTCTTCTTCTTCTTCTTGCTCGATCATCATATGAAGAATAGACGATGAGCCACTATCTCCTCTTTCTCCGTATGTTCTCCTTTACTCGACCCGCCGCTTTCCTGCCTGGACAGGCCTATTGGCCGCTGAGCTATCAAAAACTTTCTTGCACCGGTTGGCTCGGGCGAGCGTTCAGAACAGTCGTCAGGAGCGTCTATCCGCAAGGTTCCGCTGGGGCGACACTCAACTGATGCGTGAATGATGCTGCTGATAGGAAACGATAGATACGCTATGTATGCGCTATCTACCGCCCTGGTCCGTTTTCCCTGACTACCTAGGCCGATTATCGCTTATAACCTTTTCGTAACGTCACCTCTTACCGGCTGCTGGTCCATTTGTTGTGTCCCCGCTTTTCCCTTCTCTTGCTCTCCTCATAACCGCCTCACAGGCTATTCACGGCTGGCTCGTCGGCGTCATCCCCGGTGTGAACTGGTTCTTACTACGTACTAGGTAGTTAGCCTGGGGTTCCGGTATCTTAGGAAGAGCGGGCTATCCTCTGCCTCGTCTTTTTCTATCTTCTTTTCTCCTCCGCCGATGCACTTTCAACTCGGGAAAGTTCGATAATATGTGTTTCCGGGCATGGGAAGTTTACTAGTACCACCATCATACCGCCGTCGGTCGGTTCTTCGTCCAAGTGAGGTGTTAAGGGCATGATCTTGTCGTAGTACATGCCTACTGGGGACGTGCGGGTCATTTGTTCAGTCTACGCCTAGAGTACCGTAGATACTTAGAAGATCCTGCGCTTCGGGGCACATTCATGGGAGAAAATATCTACTTAGTAAGTGGGATAATTTACGGCAAGTCGACAAGCTGTCTCATATAAATAGACCCGGTATACGATTATCTCAACGATTGCACTCGATTGCTGTCCATCGTACCTTTTTCAATCCCAATTCTAGCCTCTAAAATGCAGTCCATCGATGTTAATCCGTAAAACCGGGAGTGGCTACTATTAAGTAGTTATGTATGTAGAGTAGGTAGGATACGAACTGCTGCGCCTGTATGATCCTCAGGAATTTTAAAAAGCAATTATGATGCGCGATTATGTCAGCCGTGGTTTCGTGTCGTTCGTATAACTATGCGGCTGAACTCTGCACAGCTACGTTTCCCCGCCCCATCGCCTGTACCCATCCATCTACTCCACCGACGGTGATATGGACTTGCTCTCCATCACCGCTTCTGTTGCGAGTGTGCTAACTCTTGCCGGAGAAATCACCAACTCGCTGGCGGCGGTCGCCTCTACAACCGGCAGCAGTGCACCGTTGCTTATGACGCATGTCCTGAACGGAACAGAAAGCCTCGTGGCAATATTTTCACAATTACAGAGTCACCTCCTTCTGCGCACGCCAATATTTAACAACCATGTGTCTCAAGTTTCGTTAGAACATCTTTCCGTCATGTTGGCGAGTTGCGTTGTAACCTTCTCGGAACTACACACGGAACTTCAGGGCCTGGTAGTGAGAGATGCGGCGATGGGTTGGTGGAATCGAGTCAGATGGCCGCAGCGAGAGGGTGCACTGCAAAAAATTGTCGAGAAGCTCGCCGCGCATAGGGCATGCTTGAACTATATATTGACCGTACTGCCCTGGTAAGCATCCCATTTACATCACTGAATGCGAGAACCTAATCTGAGTGACTTGGGTTAAAGCGAGTCGGAGTCCCACGCCGAGCTGTCGACGAACGAGACGCGCATTCGCGTCGATATACCAATCGAAAGCAACGAACGTTTGTCGACACTTATGCAGCGGCGCAGTGCAGGGGAATACTCTACACGCGGGCCTGATGAGGAGGAGGAGGATGACAAACCCGACACTCTACGGCGTAGGTCACGGATGTGCAGACCGACGGTCACCCCCGGAGAAGCCGTTTCACAATCTTTGACCCCCTTGCACCATCCCGTCGATTGGGAATTCGAAGATACGCTCTTAAAGTCTCGCGTCTACTCCCGCATGGGAATGCATTCTACCAGTGGGTCATCGCGCAGCGTTAAGACACTGGAGTCGCCCTGGTCACAGCTCACCGATATTTCGTCGGCCGACATCTCGAACATCTCAGTGGTTACCCCTAGTGTCCGGCGGAATGAACTACCGGACAGCTGCCACTGGTTCAACTTTGATTCTTCCGGATTAGAGGAGCCGCCGGATTGGGACAACCTCTTCTATCAAGGTTTTACTTCTTCACGAGCAACTAGTGAGGATGGTGAAGGATCCAGTGATGACAGAAGTTGTTCCGGTGACGAAAGTGAAGTACCGAATTACGATGACGCAACGATCAGCGACAATGGCGAGGGATCAAATGACGACTACGGGGGATCTATTCACGATACCAAAGGTTCCAGCGACGACAGTGGAGAATCCAGTGACGATGATGATGATGAATTGATCCTGACTTCTGTGCTCCACGAACCACCCCAGGACGAGAGCGATAGAACGTCCGACTGGCGCACTGCGGATGCGATCGAGCCGCAACAGAATCAACTACTACCATTTAACCCGGTCAGGCCAATCAAAATGGGCCTCGCACTGTTGGGTAGTACATGCACCGGGAAGAGTGGGCTCTTGCACAAATCGGGGGGTCCCACCGTCTACGAGAAATACTCTCGCACCTTTCTTGACGGAGGACTCGAGCTTGACATACTTGATACTTCGGGTCTCACGGAATACCATCACTTACGTCACTTGGCGATCGACAGTTGCGAACTATTTCTTCTCGTTTACTGTACCGAGCCACACCCCGAGGATAGTTGGTTGATGGTGAAAGATCTAGTTTATGAGATCAGGGAACGGAAAGCGAGGGGCTCATTCGGTGGGGCGAAGGCTCCAAGCAACGACTATTCCATTCTCATCTTCGAAAACCATTACGGCATGCCCCGGCGTCACGAAGATTACTCCCGGGAAACCAGACAGTGGGCAAACGACAATGGACTCGACTTTGTGACTGGAGACAGCCATGACCTAAACATGGGCCAAACTCTGTTCATCCGACTGGCCAGTAATCGGAAAGCGTCGCCGGTGCAACGGCGGCGGGGAAGTTGGTGGAGAAGATCGTAGAGTGGGACTGATCTGAGGCAGCGCGGGTATGGGTGGGCTATGGGGATGATTACCAAGGCATGTCTCACAGTCCATAATTAGGATGAATGAACTAACGCCGGTTTACCTAGGAGGAGAGATTCATACCACTGCCGAATACCACGACCCCAACTGCCGACCGTCATAGACATTCGACGATATCCAAACCTTGCGAAGGTTACTCACGCTTCTTTACTCCAGGCTACCCCCAGACACACCGCCAGTCAGTTTCTCGGAACATGCTGTAGCGACGCGGGGTCTGACCGCGCAGGTACAGACGTAGCGTTGATTACCTCTTATATCCTCTATCCACTACCTCGACATCACCCTGTCCGAGAAACCTCATCACAGACGGAAGCCATTGCGCGGCCAAACCCCTACGGAACTAAAGGACCGAACCTCGAAGGCTCATCGCAGCGCACTACTATGTTTGTCTTGTTTCTACCTGGCCTATGTCATGGGAGAAGGTAGGAATCTGTCGGAAGCGGGGGATTCACGGTGTACTGAAGGAATGACGTCTGGGTGACCATGTGATTTCTAGCTAGCGAAGCGAGGAGGAGGAGTCTCGTCTGGCGAATACTAGAATCTTTGGAGGACTATATAGTTATAGTACCTAGCGGAATCTTCTATAGAAGCATATAAATATGAACCTATTAGACGATGGGACAGAGAGATGCGGTGAAACGGTTCCTGAGTGGTAGTCCGGTCTGGATTTTGGTCCGCCCCGCGTCATCTTCCGAGTGAGAGCTATGACCTGTCAATGCGTCATCACCAGCCCGTCAACTTGTCAGTGAGCACTCAGGTATGGACTGCGATTGAGTGGATCCATGTGGTTATATGTACCTATTACGACGAGAAAAATATACACTTGAGGGGCTCGGGCATGCTCCTCAAGAATATAGACCACTTGCAATTGCTAGTGATTTATCCTACTCAACGATCGTAAAGCTCGATCACTCGGGCATCTCTCCGGGACGGGGACTTTTAGTCTAAGTCCTAGCAGTCGATCAGTCTCCATCATGCAGTGCCAGCCGATCTAAACTCAGTATTAGAAGGACTGGAGTACGAGGGCACGTTATTCGACGATCACGTGATACAGTCACGTATGTTTCACCCCGACGTTGTAGGGATTGATCTCGCTCAAGTCATGTAACTAACCTCTTGGTGTTCCTTAACCAAAAAAGTAATAAGAAAAGTAAGGAAAGAAATTTCGACCACGTTTCCATTATCCGCCTACCTACTCCACAACGCCGTCGAACTGGATTTTCATCGCTAGAAACACCTTAGTTAGAGGTTGGACTCGGAGGTCGCGGCGCGGCGAATGGATGACTTACTAGTAGGGAAAGGTGACCATTCACTCCAACCTTCGGTCATGTACGTTCTGAACCCGTGTTTTGTGACACTCTTCATCTGGCCCGCTAGTCTGGGCGCACGTCGGATATTCTCCAGTCGTCCATAGACCCGCAGCATGGCGGTCAATGCTGTGATGGCGATGGGCGTGCCGATGCAGGAGTGCGGTCCGTATCCGTACTGTATGTAGAGCTCCTCGGGGCGCGTAAGGTCGATTTCGCGAGGGTTCGGGAATGCCGTAGGATCGAGGCCGGAAGAGATCTGAGAACGGATTAGCATGTTCGAGCTGCCAATCCTGAGGCTTACTGCGGTCACGGTACAAAGTTCAGAAAAACGCTTTCTCCTTTCTTGAGGTTGACCGTCCGCTGCGGTCCGTCTTGGATCACGGCTGAGTCCACGGCGACTTCGCGGATGATCCCAAACGCGGCGGTTGCGAGACGGGAGCCTTCCCATGCGTACTTGCGAAGTTGCTGGAGCGATCCTTCAGGGTCGATCTTGTCCCTCGCCAGATCCTGGATCGTGCGCCAATGATGTTTGTATTCGTCCGAGAGAAATAGGTCGAGCACTTGTGCAAACTTGCATGTATATCGTCAGCATCTGCCGGCACCGCACTGTCATAGCAAGGCGAGTAATTACCCCTTGCGCTTGATTGGCCACCGAAGCTGCTATCATCGGAATAATTTGTCCTACGGTATGCGCAACAGTTGCGCCCTCCACCATCCGCTGGATGATGTGTTTTCCTACCGAGGTGTAAGCTAGGGCCGCCCTGTTTACCACGCATGAAGCAAGAAAATTATACCGTAGTTGCTCAGGGGACTGTGATTTTCGTAGATGGCATCTTTGAGGGCTATAACCGGCTCGCCGTGCTTGATGGCCTTGCACAGGGGCTCGAGTACTCCGGTCAAGGCCGCGGTGGCTTTCCGCGCGGCCTTGCGCAGCCGGAACGAAGCCACTGGCTCCGCATCCAGGAACGCCCAGGTAAAGAGCACTGCACCAATCTGGTAGAACTCCTGCTCGGTAAAGCTACCGTGCGGGCTCTCCTGGGTCTTCGGAGGTAGATCCAACAGCTCCGATGCGAAGCGGGCGTGTACTAGGTTCCCAATACTGTAGGACTGTGTCAGGAAACGATACTTCGGAGCAATGATAGGGATTAATACTCACTCCCGAATTGCATCGACCTCGTAGCAACCACCCAGCTGATATGACTTCTGCTTAATCATCTTCAAAATCGTGGCCTCGTAGAAAGTAGCGATCTGATCTAGTCCGTGTTTTGGGCCGTAGAGATTCACAAGCATCTCCTCTCGCAGTTTTTTGTTCGCAGGCTTATCATCGCTGATCATGAAGTCCTGCTTGGTCATCTGGCAGGTAACTACTCTACACTTACCTTCACCTTCACCGCCGTTGGTCAGTTGCGTAGAATACATGTCGCTGTCACGTGTATGGCTTGCGCGTTACGTTGAATGGGATGGTCAAGCCGCACCGCGATTCCGAGTGACGGCCGGCGTCTGATGATGGTGGCATGGTTCCAGGTGATGGAAGTGTTTCACAAAAGTCATATTGGTGCGCCAGTGACCAGTCATCTCTGATTATGTCCCGTTTGCATGTCATGTCGCTCGTATTTCGTATTCTTGCAATCGCACACATGTCTTTGCTCTCATCTTGTTTAATCATCAATGCATCCGATCTTGATACATCATCATGGCAGAATTATGCAGCCGGTTCCTCCCCACTCAGCCATCCTTCCCCGCAGTAGTTATGCAGGGTGTGCGGTATGGGTTTGCTTTGCCCTCCGCCCCAGGCCTGCAACAGCTGCATAACCATCTCCGGGGGTGCTTAGCCCGCAATGAGTAATCCGTTGGTCGGCGTGGGATCCCTAGCATACCGTATCCATAGCCGTGGACGCTGTTGAGTGACCTCCGCGGCAGCATATGATCGAATGCATCTACCCAGGAACCGCGCCACTCATTCATGATTCATTCATGAATGACAAGCCATTCGGACGGCCCGGATATCTTTTGGAGAATTCGATTCTTCTGTATAATTAGTACCTAGTATCCTCGTGGTCTACCTACATGCGTATGATACATAAGTTGGTTATGTGCGTAGATTTGACTCGGAACAATCGATAAGTCCGAACACCTATGGTTTAAGGGGGGCAAACTTTCCGGCCATGTGAGTAGAGTACCGGTTCCTTTTATGATCACTCGCGGTCTCTGCGATCACTCGGGGGAGAGCGGCTGGGTAGAGTAGTTTTCTTGGGAGCCGAGCGACGGCCATTGGTGAACTCCCAATCTCCCACTGCACCGTCGAATGGATTGGATCGTATGCGACGGTGCAAGGCACGGGGCAGGCACCCTACAGTGGCCACTGTCTCGTCACTGGTGTCGGAACAGTCAACAGTCAAATGTCTTAAGGTGGTTGTTCCTGCGATCGCTCGACGCTGGACGGACGTTCATCCCAAAGCGTCCAGGACTCCAGTCTCCAGGTAAACTTATTTATTTCGTCGTGGTATACCTGCAGGCTATTTTACCTCCCTGAATCCCGAGTCCCTGGTCCCGAAATTTATATTCTAATCCTATCTGCCGCCCAGATTACTGACCCTGCACCCGCCCACCCTGCACCCGCCCACCCGCCCACCCGCATGAGCACATGTGAGATTTAGCGAATAGATTATCTACTTCCGGATCGGCGGACTAGGTACCTACTCGAGTAGTAATCGTTTTTGGAATTGGTGATCGGACAGTGGAGTGAAGAGTAAGCATACTAACTTGCTATAGAAAGGTGGGTATATGTAGGAACAGGGGCGGCGTCATCACTTTTATTTCGTGTACAGCCTGTCTACTCTATTTACTTCTGGGCGGGTGATAACACATGACCGCATTCCGTGGAACCGACGACGATAGTTAGCGACAGACGCTTATTCACCGCGAAGTGAGTCAATGCAGCCTAGAATCTGAAGGCGCAGAAATATAACCCCCATCCCCCTCTCGGGACTGGATATATTGCCAACATCACCACCCTATCAAAACATAAATGCCACAACCACGGTATGCTAGGCAAGAAAGAAGAAAAAGAAGAAAAAAGCGTCTAATATTACAGTATCGTTCTTCCATTACCATCATTAGCATCGCGAACCTAAACAGCCTCGCGATCCAAGCTCTGTCCCTGACACATAGCCCAATACCGGCCCCTCTTCTCGACCAGCTCCTCGTGCGAGCCGTCCTCGACTACACGGCCGGCATCAAAGACAAAGATCCGGTCGTAATGGCGGATAGTACTCAGACGATGCGCGACGGCGATCGTAGTACGGCCCTTGGATGCAGCATCGATAGCCTCCTGGACGACACGCTCGCTCTGGGTATCTAGCGCGCTGGTCGCCTCGTCGAGGAGCAGCACCTCCGGATCACGGATCAGCGCGCGGGCAATGGCGAGGCGCTGCCGCTGGCCCCCCGAGAGCGCCACTCCCTTCGTTCCGACGTCCGTTGCGTAGCCTTGCGGAAGACTCATTATGAATGCGTGGATGTTTGCAGATTTGGCGGCGTTCTCCACTGTTTCATCCGAGACCTCGCCAGCGGGCGTGCCGAGAGTCTGTCGTACGATGTTAGTAGTGCCGCGAGAAGTATGGAAGGGGGGAATGGAACTAACAATGTTATCCCGAACGGATCCTTGGTACAGAGTAGGCTCCTGGGCGACAAGTGCCAACGTAGCGCGGTACTTGTGTACATCGAGCGACGCGAGCGGAGCACCATTGATCAAGATCTCGCCCGAGGTGGTATCGTAGAAGCGCTCCAACAGCGAGATGATGGTGGTTTTGCCGCAGCCGGACGCACCGACCAGCCCGACGCGCTGGCCGCGCATGATGGTGAGATTGCAGTGTCGAAGAACAGACACCGACGGCCGAGTCGGGTATGTGAACCGAACATCGCAGAATTCGATCACCGGAGCACCCATCTCCGGTGTAGGGGGCATGTCGGCTCCAGTCGATCCGTTGATGGTCGGCTTGGCATCCCGCAGGTGGATGATGTTGTTTGTGGCGGCGTGTGCCTTCGTGAGGTTGGTCGTGAAGCCGAAAAGAAAACCAGCAGCCTGTCCGCCGAATACAACGGCTATAAAGACCACAAAGAACTTGGTCGGATCGTACTCGCCGAAGCTGATGAGACGTCCACCGTACCAGAAAGCCAGTCCGACGCCGAGCATGTCGGTACTCTCGCTGAGTCCAAAGAGGATCATGATCCATGCTGTACGCTTGTATGCGCTTCTGACCGGGCCGTTAAGCCGCTCGGCGTACCGATCCATAACGCCGTCTTCGAGTGTCAATGATTGAACCGTGCGGATCGCCCCGACAGCTTCGGATGCGAACCGAGTGCTCTCGAGGAAGAACTTGCTGACACGCTCCTGCGATGACATCTCGAGCCGCATGCGAGTGAAGCCAGCAAAGAAAAGCGGCGGAAGGCAACCAAAGATTGCGACAAGGGCTAGCTTCCACCCGATGACCAACGACAAGATGCAGGACGAGAGAAGGTTGACGATGACGACGATGATGAGACCTAGGTTGCCTTGGATCAGGTCGTGAAGAGCTTGCGGATCGGACGAAAGCCTTCCGGTCAGAGACCCCGATGAGTTTTCGGGGATATCGAAGAACGCAATGTCTTGGGTGATCATCGCATTAAAATATTCACCCCGATGAACTCGACCTATGATGAAAGCCACGGTGGTCCACACGAAGCCAATGGAAGCATACGCGAAGAACGTTCCGATTGCCAGGAAAAAGAACATCAGTGCCCAAAAGTTGCCACGCTCCTCGAGCTTGCTACCGGTAAGTGTAAAGACGGTGACGATACGAGAGAAGAGGATGGCCTGTGCAGGGACTTAACAGAGACCATTAGCTTCGCCACCAAAACTTCTGATCGAGATGATACTCACAGACAGCACCACCCATCACGCAACCAGTGACCCCGGCCAGGAACCAGGCCCAAAGATGTTTGTGTTGGGAGAAGATGATCCAGAGACACTTGAACAGGCCAAACGTGCGCGATAAATCTGTGTATTTCAGTTCGGACTTGACGCTCCAGGTCGAGTGTCTGGTTTCAACCCTGTCGATATCGACCAATTCGTGCCCCGATTCGATGCTGCTGTCGTCGTCCGCCTGGTCGTCCGCGGCCTCCGATACGACCGAAAGTTTCTGCGCACCGACCAAACGATAGTAGGCTCCTTGTTCGGCGATCAGACTCTCGTGAGTTCCTTGTTCGATGATGGCGCCTCTGTTCATGACGATGATCTTGTCCGCCTAGATTCACCTCCATTCACGTCAGCAACCTCTCACTAAACGGTATCTTTAAACTTCCGACCTTTTTGACTGTGGAAAGCCGATGAGCCACGACGATAGTTGTGCGCGACTTGGCCGCCTGATCCAGCGCTGCCTGAACGATTCCTTCCGCCTTGGGGTCTAGGGCCGACGTAGCCTCATCCAGAAGAAGGATCCGAGGGTTCGCGATGATACTACGGGCGATGGCGATTCGCTGCTTCTGACCTCCACTCATCAAGGATGCCCGCTCACCCACCACGGTGTCGTATCCCTCGGGCAAAGCCTCGATGAAGGAATCCGCATTGGCTTCTGTACATGCCGCCTTGACCAGCCGGCGTTTCTCCTCCTCGGGAAGGTTGGCCATCTCGGTGCCGTAGAGCCCATGGGCGACGTTGGCGTAAACAGTGTCGTTGAACAGTACGGGCTCTTGCTGCACCAGACCGATCTGCGTGCGCAACCACTTGAGGTTCAAGTCCTTTACGTTGTGACCATCCATCAACACGTCTCCACTCTCGGGATCGTACCACCTTTCGGCGAGGGCGATGATGGTACTCTTGCCGCTGCCACTTGCTCCGACGAGGGCTGTAGTCTTTCCCTCCTCGAAGACCATGCTGACGTTATCTAGGACCTGCACGGTCGGTCGTGCCGGGTACTTGAAGTTGACATTTCGGAGCTCGATGCGACCGTTGACCTTCTCGGGTTTGATGCCCCCGGTGAAAGCCGAATCGATGATGGGTTCGCGAGCGATCATCTGAAGAACGTCTTTGGACGCGGCGGCGGCTTTCGTGAAGTCTCCCACGCTGGGTGCGATGATGGTCAAACTTGACGTTGCGAAAATGCAGGAAAAGAAGACGCTGAGAGCAGTCAGTAAGATGGATACTACGGAGAACCGATAGCAGCCCCGCAACGACGAAGAGAAGAACAACAACAACTCACGTAACGACAGTACCGCCATCGGCGATCTCTCCTCTCAGTAGCAGTTGAATACCGTAGTAAAAGGCCAAACTGTACGCGCTATACATGACGCTAAATTCACTACTGTATTGAACTCCTAGGAGCGGACCTTTCTTGACTCCGAATACCTTGGCTGCATCCAGATAGACACCATACTTTTGCATGAGCTTGTCGTGGGCACCAAAGGCGACCACATTCCGGACACTACTGAGCGCCTCCTCGGCGAGACCTCCCGCTTTGGAGTAAACATCGAGGATCTTAGCCTCCAGCTTCTGATCGAAGACGACGGTGATACCGACGAGAATAATGACGGCTGGTAAGGTGGTAGCAGTTACCAGCGTCAGCTTCCAGTTTTGCGTGAAAGCGACGACGAAGGCGGAAATCAACATCGCAAAGCCTTGGGTCGCAATGCCGACCTTCTCGCCCAATCCGGTCTGAATTAGATTGGCGTTCGTCGAGATCCGGGTTGCCACGGAGCCGGGAGTACACGTATCGAAGTAGGCGATCTCCTGACGCAGGATGGAGCGGACGTATGCCAGTCGTAGACCACGGGTCAAGCGGGTGGCGGCGATGGTGAAGCAGGTAGTGTGCAGATAGACACAAGTGAACTTGCCGATGAACAGGTATACAAACCAGAGTGCGTTCTTGTTGATTCCACGACGGAATTCCTCTGGTGTAACTCGTGGATTTCCATCGGCATCGAACTGGCCCCAGTCGTTGAAGATGTTGACGAATTCACCAAAGATGAGGGTCATGAGTGGCAATGCAGCACCGGCACCGATCGCTGCGATGAAGCCGATAGTATGGAGGAGGCGGTCGACGGGCTCCGCATAGGACCAGAGTTTCTACAGATGCAGATGTCAGTCGTTGACCGTCGTACAAGCGATCGCGGCAACTACAGTGGAAGCCACGTGGGGGATGGTGCTCATACGAAGTAATCGCCAGCCCCCCCTCCTTCTTCCTCTTCCTGCTTCTTCTTGTCTTTGTCGTCCAGCTCCTTCCCATTGGTGCCGGTTTCGATCACCACAGCGTCCTTAGGCTCTCCAGCCACACCGGGCGAGCCGTATTCGTCGGCTTTTCCGGCAGCGGGGCCAACCGCCGAGACGGTCTTCTCCTCCATATCCGGGCAGCGACGATGTTTATTTTCTTCGGTAGAGGTGGCCGTGAGTGCGAATACCCTTGCCGTAGGCCTCAGTCTATGCAGCGGATGGTTGTCCTGATGGATGTGAAGGGTGGGGGGGTGACGGGAGATCGGTAGCTAGCGCGCTTGTCACTTTCAGAGTTCGGGAAGACGCGTTCTTTATGAGTTCTCAGCGCGCACGCCTCCAAACACATGCATTCACACAAACCGTAAGTTTTTTGCTTTCTTTTCTTTTTGTACGTACGCATTCGCAGTTGCGTCTCCCTAATCCCACTCGAAATACGAGGTGCGTCTGCGCCAACCTATCGGAAGCGAAGGTCGCGCAGGAGCACGTTCCTCCACAAAGTTGGTGTGAGTCAGTTCGACTCAATCGCCGTGCCAAGGGCAACGATGAGTAGGTAAGTAGGCAGGCTTCACGAGGGTGATGGAGCCCAGATCGTCGAAGAAGTGGTAACCAACGAGTCCAGCTACGCCTTCACACCAGTCCAGCTACAGCGGTCTCGCCAGAGTCTTGGAAGTTGAGGCGCGGCCCAACATTCCACCGAAATGATAGTTATGTAGCTGCCTGGTGAAGAAGACTGCACCTGCAACACCTGCGACACCTGAGTACGATTATCCGACGAAGACGCGGCCTTCAATTGCACCTGCGCGAAAAAGAGCCATCGATGCTCCGAATGGCGTGGCCGACTGGAAACCTTCTCTCGTGCTCGTGCCCGGTGTAATCCAAACAGGTGGCTATTGTAGTACCCAAGTAGAAGTTCACGAAGAATTTGCGGTCGAGATAAGCATAAGTGCGCGAGGAATTGACGGCCAGTGCTCTCTGAAGATCGACCCAATCAGCGTTGGGCATTCGTTTCCGGTAGGGGATCGTCCGACAGGAGACACCGACGTGAGGGGACGCCCAGACTGCGAGAGTGCGCTAACTCCCTAGTGGGTAGGGGAAGCGAGAGGCGAGTTGCGGCTGCATAAAAGTCGGCGTTGAGGATGACTGGTGGCTAAGGAAGAAGGTATGAAAGTTAGTGCTGGACGAGCGAAGTCGCTACACGCCAGGAGACTCTAGCAGTTACATAAACGATGTACCGGTGTAGAGCATTTATGGTACGGTATAGGCCGGACTCGTGCTTGTACGACGGCTGCTCCCGAGAGTCCGAGCCACATTTTGACGGCGGTCCCGACAGCTCTTGCTGCCAGAGGAGCCCCCTTGATGGCCGAGACTAAGCGATGGGGTGATCGCATCAATGCAACGCACCCTCGCAAGAATATTCAGCCGCGAAGTCGAATGAGCGCGCGTCACCAATTCGACAGTCCTGATTCCTGAACGAGGCCTTAGACGACCAGCAACTCCAGCATGGATACGACAGAATCGCTATCGTACAGGAGAGGCAAAAACAGTCCATGGATCCTGGAAACCAGGAGATTTCTTTCCGATCAAGCTGCTACAGTTGTGTGCATCCTGTATCGCCACTGCCTTAGTGCATATATTCCCGATTCCAGTGTCCAGAATTAAGGATACATACCACCGGTGATATCACCGTCCTCTCCTGCCGCGTATTGTCACGTGATGTGGCCGACAAGCAAAGTTATGATGGGAACTATTTCGCCGGTAGTGGCTGGTGGTGGCTGGTGATGGCTGGTGTACCGGCGACTGGCCGTTCAATTCCTCCATAACCCACCTCTCTCCACTCGATCCCTTGGTTAATTCACCCTTACATAGATCACTCCACCTAGCCACCTACCCCCCCCCCCCCCCCCTCAGCCTCATGGTCAGTTGTAGGTGGCGCTCGCCATGTATATTGACAGCCAAGCATTTACAACTTTACATGACCGTTTACCGTCAGGCTTCGGTCCTTCGGACTCTGTGGTAATCTGGCATCCCTGGCCCTGATACCATCGAAAATCCTCGGACTGATGCCCGGCATCTCTTCGGGGGTCCGGATTCCGTATGCGCGGTGAACCGAGATCTCAGGCACTCAACAGTAGCTACTATCTGTGCACCCCAGCAGCCACAGCTGTAGTTAAGCCATGTCGGATGGAGTTGAAACCGACCGCCTACTCAGGAAAATCTACAATCTATGCAGGTACATCATTTTCCGGCGTACCCTTGGCTTGGTCTTGGGCAACCGGTCGCCGCCGCTCCGGAATTCCCGAATGTAGGTATTTCCTACGTGGCTCTGCCGAATGTCGCTTTTGAGATTACGCTCTATCGCAGTCTCGACGAGCTGATCTTCCTTGAGACAGTGTGCCCCCTCACCTCACCCTCTGGTCGGCAGACACAACTGCAGCTACAGTCCCTTCAGTTCGCCGCTCGGAGTTGGCCGATAGTACTCCGCTTGCAACCGCTCCAGGTTTCCAGGCTATACCTACCACAACCCAATGCCCCCATTCTCATGCGGATATATCGTGTATCTGACTCTATCTATCATTAGTACTTCACTCCCCTCCCAAGTCCCGTGACACCGCATCCCCATATCTCCCATCACCTCCCAGACCGCCGCAATGTCGGAACGTCTCACCGCCGAAATCAGCGAACGTCTCCGCCACATCTCCTTCCATTACGAAAAGTATGATAGTACTCTCGAGGAGGAAGCGATAGCATTGAAATAATAGAGTGTGAACTGATCCCGCAGTGACGCTATCGAGTGATATCCAGTGCACCACCCGTCATACCCCAAACAAAAACAAAAACAAAAACCGCAACCACCACCGGCGGGTGGCTTGGAAACCCCAAGAGCTGAATAGAAAGGTCTTTCACCTGGGTTGAACCTTTCCCTTTCCCTCAGCTCCCCTCGCCGACTGCGTGGTCTAAACCACTAGACCACGCGGGGTTTTTTCCGTGCTGGAGATATGAATTCGAAAACTACGAAGTGGTGGGTGCCCCACGATGGATGGACAACAACAACAACGCCTCCTCCTCCTCCCGCCTCATCTCCCCCCGTCTCCTTCCGTTTCCTAGGCTCCCGTTCGGACACTACACCCGCTGCATCTTCCCCAGCCACCTCCGGGATCCGAGTGAGAACGAACACGATCAAATGCCCCCGAGATGGTACTATATGTCGCACAGACCATTGGCAGCATCCACACGATCAGCGAATGAAACATTTACACGTTGGTAGTAGTTATGTTCCAACTTCCTACAGCCCCCCCTAGCCATTGCCCATCGACCTGTATTCTACACGTGACTGGGTGTCGTCCACGAGTTTCCGTCAAAGTCATGTGACGATATCGATCGACCCGCTGAAGCTTGAGCTCCGCTGGTTCTGGTTGCGGTTGTCATCATTCATATATACATAATGGGAAATTTGCTTGGTAAGGGAGTCATTGACGGCAGTTACGCTAAGCGAATTGGTGTTCATACGCTCAGATCTGGACGAGACGCAATGGGGTTGGCTACAGACGATTGGGCGACTCGGGAGAAGGCAAAGGCATAGGCGAAAGCGTAAATGGAAAAGAGAAGGGGAGGCAAGAAGGCGAAGCGGAGGCGAAGGGATGGTTAGGCTGGCTCTATTGGTGATAACGTGGCGACATCACGGCATGCCATCCGCGATTGTACCAGGCGGTATGGCAAGTGACCTCTTTCGCTCGATTCACGGACACCACTGTTGCATCCACCCCGTATCCCCAAACGAACTAGTCCTCCCACACATGCTAGAACAGACAGAATACCGCATCACGGCCCAAACAGCCAAATCCTACACTGCGCATCTAGGTGCTGGCCCCGCAGTCTCGCCGAAATGCGTCGACGTCGATGGAAAACGCACCGATAGCAGCAGAAACAATCATGTAGCCCTTCCAATCGAGGACTCCGTCGGTGCCCTTGTTTGTACGCCTTCTCTGTATATACCGCGACAGGCTGGGGTCTCCGGGAGTCGGCTTGGAAGGATCGCCGGACGAATAGTTGGCACCTTGGGTCCCACCGAGATACACTAGGAAGACCTCCAACATCTCGGCAGATATGATCACTGACCTAACGAATGCCTCGGTCAAAAGCGCCACCGGTTCAAGGGGTATCTGAAGGATCCGCAGGGTTGTGGCGGCAGCTTCTGCGAGGCGTTCGATTCCTGCAAAATCAAAGCCGCTCAGACGGGTGCCGTGGCTCGACGGCGCCCTAAAAGTCCTCAGCGTTGGCTTCCGCCTATTGTTGTCCACAAGCACTGCAATCGCCTCTTCGGAATAAATGGAGGTGTTTATGTGCACGAGCCCTGGGTTCGCACGGAATATAGCTTCCGCGAGTCCGACTGGTGTTTCGCGGTCCACCTCAAGCTGTAGGATTTTGAGATCGTGAAAAAAGACTTCGTCTACCCGTGTGTGGACCTCGCGACGACCGCTTATGATCGTCAAAAGATCAAGTCCAGGTAATCTCAGCGAAGCAAAGTTGCGCCAGAAGATACCATAATGCCGGCTACGGAGACCGTTCGCATCAATGAACAATCTTTTCAGTGTGGCGGGCGCCCAGTTGCACCGCAGGTGATGGGGAAAGCAGTCCGAATGGAGTTGACGGAGGCCGCATTCGATGTTCCCGGCGAAAATCTGCAGGGACGGCAATGCCGCAATAGCGTCCTGGAGGGAGTCCGAGATATAACGTCCATCCTCGTTATCCGTATCTTCCGAAAAACTAGTATTGTATGTTGGGTCGCGAACCACGCCTGTGGCCGCGCCAATTGATAATGATTCGAGTTTCGGAGCATCCGAGAGCAGTCGCCGAAGTCTATCGATGTGCTCGCTCCACTCCAGGATGTTTACCTTCAAAATACGCACGGTCCGCATAGCCAGTGGCGATCCAGCCGCGAAACTCTCGAGAAAGGAGAGTGAATGGGCAACAATGACCACTTCGAAGGAATTCGCATAGTAGCCTGCGTGACGACCCAAGCTGCGGCAGAAGTTCTGCAACGCTGGGAAGTTGAAAACACCACCTGCGAAATTATCAGCGAGAACGCTGGCAAGCCATGTTGTTTTTTGGAGTGTGTCATACAGCCCATATCGCTTCCTGATAATTCAATCTCGGCTCTCCGCAACGAAAGCAACTTCCCCGCGTCGAGTATACGCGCAATTCGCCTCGCAAACTGGCCCTCATGTAACGGAAACTCGTAATTCTGAATATAGCCTGGCTCCCTAGGCAGTTCATAAAAGATCAGAGAACCGTCCAGAACGCAGGTATCAGCCTTGAGCGACTTGACAAGAGCCCACGTCTCATCCCGCACAATAGCTGCAGCTCTCCAGAACCGAAAGGCCCGGTCGTGAGCGCTGATGCAAGTCACGAGGTCGCGTTTAGACAGTATCGGCTCAGGAGTCTTGAAAATAGGTCCGTAGCGCACATAATCGTCCAAAGTCCATTCATTATGGGATACCACGAAATTGAGGTCAGCCCAAAGCCGCGGGTTTACCGCAGCATGCAGTCGATGACAAGCCAGCGACAAAGAGTGAAGGTCGCCGAGCCACATGCCATCGAATATGTGAGACTCGATCTCGAAGGGAAGGGCAGTGAGGGCCATAGTAAAGCAGTTGGACGGGGCGTATCTGCAGTGGTGGGTAGTCTTCGCGGAGCGAAGAGGAGAGAGGGGAAGACGTTCTCAAGCTACTTGGTATTCTTGTCGGAGAGAACCCAAGCGAGTTACGTCGCTACGCTGAATCGGCTAGTCTCGTCAGACTAGCGTGCATTTTTGGAACGGGTCCCAACCTTGAGAGAAGTTTGGTGTGGTTTGCCGGTTCCCGAGAAGAGCGATGAAGATGGATAAGATAACATGTTTTCACATTGTTATCAGATAGCGGTCGACGCAACAGGCCTACATTACAGCTAGCCAGAATACCAGTATATACTATACTCGGGTCTAGGTCGATTGAAAGCAATGAACGCTTTCGAAAGCATCTTTAAAAGGCAGATACATGGAGTTGTATTCAATGCACCACATCTCAAATAGTTGTCCGTCTCAAGCTTCGTTCCAGCCTTATCATGATCTCCCAACCACCTCACCGCCAATTCGTATTCACATGGATCTCGCATGCGTCCGTCAATGTCCAGCCTCGTTCACGGCTGCGCCATACTCACTGCGCTCCACGCCGTTGTACATCATCGTCACGACATCCCTCCTGCAACTGTTGTTCTCCCATGCTATCCGCCATATCCTCGAGCGACGCCTGCCGAAGCATCATAGATACCACACTTTATGTCCAGAGATCAAACGCCGAATCAATGCGCAACCGTGCGCATTGCTGATGAAGCCCCTCATCGCATACTTCACCGCCCCTTTCTTTGGCGTTTACCTGAGAGCGCTCTTCAGCGGACATCTGGACCGTGGATCAGGAAAGCTCTATCCCTGGACGATCGAACGCACACAGCAACTCGACTGCCTCCTCGCGGTGTACGCCAGCATGTACATCTTTGACATTTCCCACCACCAGGCCTCGCTGCCGTACTTCATCCACCACTTCGTTTCCCTCCTCGTGGTTCTGGCGACTCGTACGCTGGCCAAGCAGCGCGGACACGTCGTCCTCACGGAATTCTTCACCCCCTTCTTCGTTCCCCGGAATCGTCATCGGCGACACTCTGGGCGAGCTCCTATGGCTCGTGTACCGGCTTGCGCCCCCTCGGCCTCGGTGCGCGGCGGCGATGAGGATGTGCGCGTTTGGCCACCTGGCCGCCCGTGTCGCGCAGTGGGGGATGGTTGCGTTGTATCTCTACCACTTTGGTGCTGATATACTGCGGATTGCGGGCGGTGGATGGACACTGCCACTGCTGTTGGGGCCGTTGATGTTTTGGGCTTGGTGCGAACGTTTCTACGTGAAGCTTGGGTTTGGGCTCAGCCGGACCTTCAAGGCCTGGGCGGAGAAAGAGGAGAGGGAGAAGCATGACGAGAACCGCCTTGTGTCGAAGGTTTATCGGACTTAGATTTCCATAGCTCGAATTTATCAAAGAGTGTGCCAACTTGATCATCAAGTATCGGTTCATCCAGACATTCCGTGAAGGCTAGTTAAGTGATCAATCACCTCAAAGATGCACTCACTTATGTAATATTTAATTTCCATTTCGGGATGCTCAATGGCAGCAAAATGTCTCGCATGAAGATCCACTCCCTTGTCACCGCGAATAGGTTAATGACTTATGCAGCTGCAAGTTGCAGCCCGCTTCTTGGTGATGGGTTGATACATCATACATAAGACCGAGACATCTCGCCTGCAAATTTATCTGGTTGGATGAGTTGTTCTGTCTCAGAGGAACCCCCGTTGCACCGGAGAACCCCCAAAGATGGACGATCGTCAGATGAGTAAAAAACTCGGTCTACGAGCATCATCCAATGGCGTTGAAGGCACAACTGACCCGTAGGCATATGCAGTACTGTCTCGGTTCTGCTTCGCCCTGTTGTGCAGATTGCATGCATGGCCGGCCTCCGTGCTTCGCCGAGTGGATTCGCCTCGGGATTAGCCACTGCTGCCTGTGTGCTTCTGGACAATTAAATAGGTACTCCACTCCAGGAGGGCTTCTATTTGAGGACCCAGACTACGAGCATAGCTGAGTTTTCGATATCGATAATCCAACAGCATCGCACGATGACGTCCAGTACTGGAAAGCTTCACAAATTTCATCAGAAGGGTGACGACTTCGTTCTAAGCGAGAACGGTCTTGGTGCCAACTTCGTCCACCCGGCGACCAACGACACTGCTCTGATCTCGTACCTATACTTCACCGGCAAGCAGGAGCGATACGTGGAGGTTCAGCATGAGCAGCCAGATTGGTACGATAGAAACTACAAAGGCGAGGAATCGGAGGGTTCGGTGATGGCGGTAGATCCGCCTGCGACCCATCGCCATAGCTCATCAACCTATGAGGTCTTTTCAACACTGAGAGACCTTCGGAAAACACTGAGCGATGCCGACGGCGCGGACAGGATCGAGTCAGAAAAACAACCAGCTCGCGGAGAGCTGTCCACGGTGAAGACGGATTTTCTTCACCCACAGGGCGAGTACCAGCGCATCCTGTAGGTACACCCTGATGGCCAATTCGCTCCGATGTAACGTCCAAATAACGGAAAGTATAGAGAATTCACGGGTAAAGATGCGGATACGACCAAATCGAATGTCAAGGTACATACATACGTGCCGCTAGATACATTTTCCTCGGTGGCTAATCCCCGCGGCAGGAATTTTTAGAAGAATTCGTGATGGAGTATCTTCAGTATCCCTCGATTTCACTTCCCGATCCTTGGCCTGAAAGCAAGTTCAATGGTGTCCTTTCTACCGGACGATTCAATGAGGAGGAAACAAAAGATCAGTCTGTGGTATTGGTTTCGATGCCGTACCTCCACATGGAAACGCTGTCCAGGCCGACGAACGAAAAGGATGGCGCCGAAGGAAATATCATGCTCGAAAAGCGGCAGGCATATTTCGTTGTGATTGACGACAGTACGTAGGGTGCATACAATCCTAGTTTTACACCGATACTCATCAGATGGTTCTTCAGACACACTTGCCATTTTCAGACAAAAGGAGACTTCAACGCCAAAGGAGCCGCTCCTACTACCAGGGCAAAGCAGACAGGGTGCTTTCCAGACCTTGATGAGCTTGATATCGCGACTGGTCGAGTCGGAAGCAGACCTCATGGATATCCTCGAAGACCGAGCACGCCTCGCTGTGAGTAGCTCCAAATCAATTCGGATGAATCGTTACTAGGAGTCCATTTACTAAGCAATGTAAATACGGCTCAGGACACGAGACTTTCGCAACAAAAATCGGACATCCTCGGCAGCTCAAGCGAGGCGGACAAGGCGCAACGCGTAAGAGGCGCGAGGGATATTCTGTCGGGTGTGTTTAAAGGCATGCGCGATGTCTCGGTGGTCGCTCAAGTTGCAGGCACTCAGGTCCGGGTCTTGAAACAGCTCCAGAAACTCCTAAGGAACAGCACGCCTTCGGTCAAGGAGGGGTGGAAGCCTCATCCAGGATTCAGACGGGCATTCAGTGAAATTGTGTACGTTCCCAAGATCCGGACGCTGGGGGAACAAATTCCCATTGTCCTGTGGATGATCGACGAGATTATGGGAGAGTGCAAGCAGCTATCGAGGGCCATCGAAGATCTATACGTTCCCGTGCGGACTTCGTGTGACTCGGTACGTACCCGCCTTTGCTCTGAGCATTACCATAACTTGGCTTACCGATAGGACAGTTGGCCCAGCTCGTTTCCGCCTCCGTGTGTGCGGACGAAGCAGTCCTCCAAGCGCAGAAAGTTGCGGATGAGATAGCCTGGCAAGGCGAAACCATGTCCATGTTCACCGCTGTTACCACGCTCTTCCTTCCACTAAACTTCTTCTCATCGGTCCGTCCCTTCCGCTTGTGTCCCTCCTAACGACGACCGGCACTAACAGATGTTGTACTCAGTACTTCGCACTCGACGACGCGAAAAAATACATCAACACGCAGGAACTTTTCTGGGCGATCGCGGCGCCCATCACCGCCATCTTCTTTTTCTCGGCAGCAATTGTTATTCTCGGCAAGGAATACAAGTACAAGGACATGATAAAGGCAGCGGCCACATTCCGGAAGCCCAAGTCCAGGCAGGACTACCACGCTGAGGAGTACAGAAAGAGACAGGAAGATCTGTTCGCGATTACGAGTGGGCTGGATAGAGGAAGTACGGCTGCTGCACCCCCACAAGGTGTTTCACAAGGTGATCAGCGGGACTCATTGATCAAATCGGCAAGCTCTGTGATGGTTTGAGAATATTCTGGGGGGAGGTACAAAGTCTTATTATTTCGTTTGTATTTGCGATGGATGAATATCTGGGAATGTAATTTAATGTAATGTAATGTAATGTATCGTAAGTTATTGCCGCCAAGCATCTATCACAAGTCGTGGGGAGCCAGCCCGAGGTGCTGAGCCGATGTTGCTTGACCTCACGCCCTCCAACCCCGCAAAATAAAGTTGAGTAAACGGATCAAACTCCACGCTCTACTGATGCGTGGTACTAAGCACGATAGGTATTCCATGGCGATGTACGTGGGAGTCGTATGTACCAATAAGAAGTGGGGTGAAAGAAGCTTGTTTTCTGCAGCTCTCGTGGTACATATAGGAGCTCCTCTTATCGCCCACCACTCAATTCCTCCTCCGGGGTTAACTCCATTAGGTCCCGAGTCCCGACTTCGGCCCCGCTTCAGCCAACCTTACCCCACCGCATATCAGATCGCATCAGATAAAAACTTTCCCCCAAGCCATTGCCATGAATAGAGTGGTTACGCGGCTCAAAATTCGTAACTCGGTTTCACCTGGCTATCCGCGCTAATCTGTAGGGCGGGGTTTGCTGTCGATACTCGAGCTACTGCAGCAAGGTGTATATCATTCATACCCCGCTCCCATGGCCGGTCACACTTCACCACCTACGTATATAACTCACGATCGCAAATGTGCACCATCAACGGTGTTTCCGACGATCCGGGCATCCTCGAATCCACAATCGCCGATATATGGCTGAACCAGCAGGCGTGCTTTCGTTCGGGCGTTATGATTGGCATGTAACATTCAGGGCGTTGGAGGGGGGTTGAGCGTAGGACAACCCCGCCAGTCACGCAACGGACCGAACCCCTCAAAAAAAAGACCTCTGGGCAGCTGAATCGTCGATACCCAGCACGCGATTGGACCGACACTGCTGGTCCGTTTTTCTGGCGAATCGACCTGCAGCGTCTATCTCTGCGTCGTGACATGCGCGCCAATCAGGGGTCCAGCGTGGCGATGAGGTCTGTGCTTCTAGAGTGACAAGCAGATTCTCGGTGCGGGGAAGGGTATATCCTCTCCACACCATCGGATGTCGAGTTGAAACAGATTGCAATTGTACGCAAACGCACGGTGTGTTGGCATGCCCGCCCGCCCGTCGTCCCGTGGTGGGCTCAGCTGGAAAGTCAACCGCGATGACGGCAACTGAGGCTCCGGAGATGAGGATAATGCTTTCTGACGATATTTAACTGCTACGGCTCAGCACTTGTTCATCGTTCGGCAGCATCACTGTGTTATCGATCCCTTTCCCCCACCTACATACCTACCCCTCCAACCAGCATTCACTGAAAAGCACTCGGCCATGTCCGAAAGCAACACGCAGCTGGAGGATACGCTCTCAGCAGACGCAGGAGCCCTCTCACTCGATGCCGACAACAAAGGTCCGCAACTGGACTTCTTCGAGCAGCCTAGAGACGACGAGATCGATTACGATGCGGAGGACGGTGACACTTCCGACTGGTTCGGGTCGGATGAGATAGAGCCAGAGGCCGAGAGGGTTCTCGTCGTCGGAGAACCCGAGATTCGCAGGCGCCTCACCACTTTCCTCAAGTCCAAACCGAGTCTTGCTACTTTCTTCTCGGGCGATCTGAAGGCTGAGGCGGAGAAGGCAACGGCTATGGCAAACAAGTTGATCACTGAAGAGAAATGTCCCGATAAGGAAGTGGCGAGGGAGCTGTCGCTGCTTTCGATGTATGATCTCGTGCTATTGATCGGTACGCCCTAACTAGAGCCCTACGAACGCCTTCATCAGGTGATTTCGCATCCGCTAATCCTTTGCGCTCGGTAGATGACTCCGCATCCATGATGGACGAAGAAGACGGCAAGCGCATCGATACCCTCAAGATGGTCGTGGACAGCATCTGCAAGGTCTATCAACACGCTAGACCGGATGGTATCGTCTCCGTCAAGTTCCTCAACGCGCTGCAGGGCAGGAAAAATGTCAAGAACTCGGCGATCCTCAATGACCATCCATGGGAGGGAGTTACCAGGTACCTAATACTTACACACATGCACCATGATACCCTCCGACAAATACTGATTCATCCTTCAGAATCGGTTCCCAGGTCAAGAAGATTCTAGACAACTTCGTCTTTGCCAAGGGCAAGAAGCTTGAACGGCCATTGCTCATCATGGTGATCACCGATGGAGAAGTATGTCACCGACAGAGTGGATGCGTCCACGAATCACTACTGACTCTTCCTAGATCCAAGGCGAACGCAAAGACACATTGACATCAGTGATATTCCGGTGTATGGAGGCGCTCAAAAAGAAGAAGCAAGACCACGGTATAACTCTTCCAACATCGCCCGTCCGATTCGATACTAACGTCCGTCTTAGCTGTCGCGTTCCAGTTCTCCAAGGTCGGAAACGACACCAAGGCTGGAAAGTTCCTCAGAGAGCTTGACGAACACGACCAAATCGGGAAATATGTGGACTGTCTCCTCGGTTCGTGCTCATTCACCCAGATACATACCACTCTGGATTCACCCTGCTAACCCGGTGGCCTATCACCTGCAGAGAAACAACTCGAAGATATCGATGACCCGGAGGAGAAGTGGTCGACGCTTCCCAAGCTACTCCTCGGTGCCATCAGCGAAATGTGGGACGAGCAGGACACCACGGTCAAAGCATTCGCCGTGGATGGTGGAGCCAAGGCCCGAGAGGAGCTGTCAGATATCGAGTAAGGTGCGCCATATATGGCGTATGAATGATGCAAGGGTTTCTTTTGGTTGGTCTCGGAGTGGCAGTAGCCCACGGGGGCCAGATGGCACGTGGCTCTTTCGTTTTGGATGGGAGTTTATTTTTATGCATTCGTTTTCGTCCCTGGTCATTAGAAATGTGATATACCAGCTATCTCGAAGTGGCTGCGGTGCGGGTGATGTGGGAGCTCATGTTCCTCGCACGAAACCCCGACCTTTCCATCATCACATACTCCGTCCCATCGATTCTAGCGAGCTATGAGTAACTTTCAGTTCACAACTTTGGAAAAACTGACATCTCAAAAAACAAGCCCATTTTGTTTTTGTCCCTTCATACAGTAGTAACTAGTATGCATGATTTTATGTTAAACAAAAGAAGCCAATCTCTGATCGGCTAACAGCAGTGTGTTCGGATCATAACGAGTGATATATAGAGTGAGTTAACTCGTAATTTCACTCGCAATCTGCCCTAGATTTCCCTCACATCATGGCATGTCAATGTATTCCTGGGCACCCCTTTTAGATACATAACACCGCCACACCCTGTCCTTGACGGCACATATTGAGATAACTACATACATACAAGTGAGGAGCGATACTATGCATGCGCAGAACAACGGACGCACACATCCTGACCTTAAGATGCAAAAGGGAAACGCCATAGTCCAGAAGTTAGAACGACACATAGCGATTGGTCGACCACGCGAGGATTGTGCCATACCGCGGTCGGTACGATCATGAACTGCTGCATCGCCGCCCCCGACGTTTCGGATAGGAAAACGCCCACCCACAGGCGCCGACCTGGAAAGGGGTGCAACTTTCGATGCTCGCGGGTTCGTTCCACAATGTATGTACATACCCGATGCACAAAAAGGGAGACTGGCACTTTGCTTTGAGCTCCGCAATCCCGCGGCTACCCTAGAGGGGAGGGTTCGGTCGGTACGGGCACTCCTAGAAGATACCCGGGCGAGTCCCTGATGGGTGTGCATTTCCCCACATGTCCAGTGATGATCTCCGATCCATAGCCTTATCGGAACCGATATTTGGCTTAGCTAGTTGGAACTCGCCCTTGCCACGAGACTGACTTGTAGGATCCGGGATGCACGACGGAATCACGGCCGAACTTCCTCGGATTTGATAGATCTGACAGATATAGAGAGAGATATCAGGGCATTCATACTGAAAATGTTGAATTGCTCTTCGTATGGCCCTCGAAGTAGTCCGCCTTAGGTACCACACATGTCAAATCATCTACGGCTAGTTCAACCGGTTCGAATCCTATCAACATCGCTACTGATGCTGGGGCTGGCAAAGTAACAAGTTGCATATATCCTTCGAATGGCCTGAAGGCTGGGGTTCCCCTTGAGACTCGAGAGGGACAGATATAACCTCGCCACGCTTCCTTAATATTAGTATTATCACTGAGGGGAAGTAATCAGGAATGTTCCTCCTGCAATTACCCACCTGCAATATCGGCACATCTGTTTTCAAGCACTTTACCGCAACTCTGCCGACAATACCCTATGTCAACCTAACTTCTCACCATCACGGCGGGCTATCATTGGCGCATCTGTCGACGTCGCTACAGCTGTTTTTCAGATGTCCTGTAGTTGATCTTAGCTTAGCCGTTGACGGTACGTCGGGACGTATCGATTGCAGATCCGGGGGCGGGATTTTGCGTCGCATGCATAAGAGAGGCGGCGAAGTACATCTGATCGACCGCAGTGGTGGGAGGGGGGGGGAGGCTAATATGGAAACCGCACCAAGCAGGTGACTCTAATTACGGACGAATCAGAAAAGCCTCGGATGATGTCGAGCAGTACCATGTCGAGGAGACAGCCGGGATGTGCCAGCCGATATTACGGGGTTCCTAGAATTGAAGTAGACAGAATCTGGAGAATGGAAGGTCCCAGACACAAAGGGGCTACTCTAGATCCTAGGGATTTTCAGGGCCCGGCGTTCGAGCCGTTACACTTGCGTGTGGCGGGTCCCAACCGAATCGTCGTCTCCGGAAAGTCATTACCACCCTTGCTACGCTGTCAATGCTGTCGATTCGGTCAACCGGGCTGCGCTCCGGAACCGACTCATGGGCTGATTTCGCGCGCAGCTGTTTTCTCACGAGAAGTTTCATCCGCTCGAGGGCCAATGGGACAACGGTGGGGAAATTCGTATTTCCCGGAGGTGCCGTGGCCAGCCTCATGAGGCTATCTACAATCAGCGGACATTCACGCCACCCAGACCCGTGAATGTTCTTCGCACGGAACGACCGCAACCAGTCGATATCAAGGCTTGCTATTGCAACAGCTATGCGGGCTTTGACTTTCACGCCGGGGCCGCTCGTCCGGAGTCGGCTTACGTCCTGTCCTCCGGGATCTTCGGCCGGCTATTAGCAGAACTAAGAACTAAGAACGCATGCTACTGGCACGGTAAGGCGTCAAGAGGGAAGCAGGGAAGGAGAAAACTACGAGGCTGGTATGAAGCAATAGTTGACCAGACTTATAATCGGAACCACGGTCAGTAGATCCACGATACCTGGTATTAAGAACGATGGCACTTTGACATATGGCCCATATCACTGATTCCAATGAACATTTCCGCTGGAAGTAGCTTGAGCTAAAAGCATTCTCAGCTGGATGTTTACTTTCTGTACGTCCCTCGAATGGGATGGAAGAATACGCTCGCGGCTGATCCGACAGACCAGGGCACCACCTGGATGGGAAAGCAGGATTGGCAAAAACTTTTCCATCCGATATCACACGATGGCTTGTCCTTAGGCCGCGGTGGAGAAGTTGCATCCACATGCATCCACGTAGACCATGCATCAACTGCGATTGACCCTAACCGTGAAATTCGGGTTGCATTCGAGCAGTTGTCTGTCCATTCAGCGGCAAAATAGACGAAAAACTTTACGATGTTGATAAGAACCATTGCTCTGGACTATGGAGATTCATATATAAGAAGACGGACGTGTCATACAGACGCTCCACTATCCATCCCCGTCCTTCCACAGAACTGACAAGAAATCTGTAAACTTCTTTATTCACTTACTTCACCACCTCCACACCATGAAATCTTTCCAGATCACCATCTCTTCCCTGTTGACGTGCCTCATTCTGGGGGTCAACGCTTCTCCGGCCGCAGAAGGAGCTGGATTGGCGAAACGTGAGGACACAAGCTTTGGCTGTCCCTACGTCTCCGGTATGTTTCCAGTTCTCACCTCTCTTTCGGGCGAATGTGACTGACAACATGGCAGAGGCTTGCAACGCCATCTGTATGAGTGTATGCCAGAAATTAATCTCACCACGTTTTTCTTGGGGAAAATCTGACGGCCATTATAGCAAGTAGACGCCAACGGCGATGTTGCATACAAGGGAGAATGTCACCCTACCTTCTGGGATATGTACTCCTCTACGCCGAATACTTTTGGTTTCCGCTAACATTTCATGACTGCACGCGCCTTTAATTGCGTATGCCTCTACACCACCGTTGACGACGACGGCACTCCTGTCCTAGGGGCCGCGACCAGGACCGTCATTGCACGTCCTCCCACCGGTGCCATCACTGTTACCAGGACCGTCATCATTCCCGCCGCCACTGCTACTCTCACCCGGTCCGTTTCTGTCTCGTAAACGCGATTGTAGTACCGGCTTCGACGAGGATGGTGTTTTCTACTAGACACCAGACGAAAGTTTCTTTCTTTTTATGTTTTGTGTTTGCGAGACCGGGATACGCTTGCACTGGCCTGTATGCTGTTTTGGTTGTTGTCGAGATATGGGGATTCATTCTGTTGTAGTCGATAGTGGGTTTGTCAGATAGTTCTCAAATGTTTAATTTCTTTGTAAAACCGCAATATTCACTACTTCTTGGGGCCTGTGCTCGTAATTGAATCGGTGAATGTAAACAGACCGCTAGACACAACTCTTGCCAGCTAAACATCATCCTGAGTCCCAACCCGAAGCCTATGGCCACAAATAGTGGATTCTCAAGAAATGGGAATCACGACCAATCCCTCTCACGATCCGGTGCCACCGCTGATGCCCCGCAATCCAAAATCCTCGCATTCGCGTACACATCCAGTCCAGCCGCCATGCGCCAGCCGATTGAAGCAAATACGAACGAGTCTCGGCGCGGCGGAATTGCCACTTCAGTCCATCCTCCATCAACCTCTCCCGGGGAGATCCCGTCCGGTTTCCCGCGTCTACCGCTTTAACCATATATCACAACAGCTTTCCTAAAATCCGCCATATCTATACCTAATGCATATCACGGTTGCACCCGGCGTGATCCAGTATGCGTCGATAGAGGGGTGCAGACCTCTAGAGTGGCTTACCAGCGGGTTTTTCCTCCAGCTGAACCGGGACGAAGCCGATTCCGCCGCCTATGGATAGAATCGTCCTGTTCCGATCGTATCCACTGTTTCAATTGGCTAGCTCCGAATTAAGTGGGGTTCTATAGCCATCCACCCATCTATCCATCCATCCAACAAAAGCCATCGATGGCTATCCGCGGGATTAGATTTGCCACTCATCATGCTGGTGAATCATGTCAGTTAATCTGACTATCTACGCACCTGCTCCCCTCAATTCCAACCTGCAGGTACCACTCCAATCTAGCCACCATCACATCAAGCCGGCGAGCCCGATCATAGTCATAGGCTGGCTATATCTAGTGCTATTCTGAGCAAATTGCCAAGGTGTTAGAGGAAGCAATAAACAGCACCGAGTGATCAAAAGTGAGTGAGACAGCGTATTCCCCACCCCTCCCCGCACCTCATATCTCCCGAGCACCCCGCTTCTCTCCTTCTTATTGTTGGTCTTTCGGATTGTATTAAGGTACATCACGTTGTTGGGTTCTGTTGGAGTTGGAATTATAACGACTGACTCCGTGTGTATGTACAACGATAGCAAAAGTGAAACAGGCACAGCGATATATAGAGTACCTAAACCCATCCAGCACCAATGTCAACACCCATGATACTCGGATTTATAGTGTCTATTGAGTGTATCATCCCCTCGACTGATGCCATACCTAGGCAGCGTGCAGTATCTACAGTGTATGTACCTGCGTGCACATTAACTACCCCGCCATGAATATGTTCAGCTCGGTCTCGCTTGTTTCTTCCAACTCCATCTATATCAAACTAGGATATCCTCCTACACAGCTCATCGCATCGCATGTTGACTGTGCATCTTCCGCGGTGAGAGCACCAGCATGCTACGGCCCGGCTTTTCCTCCCTGCCGTGGTATGTAGAGGTTGGTAGTGGCAGTGGGGTAGATGCACGAAATCACAACACCTGGCTGCGGTCATATGCTTGCCCCACCATCAGCGGAAGGGCCTAGAGCTTGCCGATCTCCTGACAGTGGAGTGCTACGCAGTCTGACCCCAGGGGTGTGATATATCGATACGGTTGATTGCCTCATATCTTGGGGAGTTATCGACATCTATGATGGATCGGCCTTGCTTCCGCGGCCGTCTCTACCTCGAGGCCGGGGGGTAAAAGAGGATGCACTGGAAATTCCCCTCCCCCACTAGATAGTTAATATCACCTTCGGTTGGTACCGATAGTGTGATGCCATTTTGGAACTCATGATCGATACGAGTTTCCACTGTGCCTCGCTTCAAGTCGTCACGAGCCCGCCATATCCGTAGCAACATGAAAGCAATATGCAGACACGATACCTGTCTATGAGGGAGAGGTTAGGAGGCAGCTAATAGTGAATGGTCGGATTTCCGAGGATATTTAAGAAGCAGATATTGTCCCCTTCAACGGCCTTCTTCACCACACTCATCCAGCTAGGCCGACAGACATCCTCCTCCTCCTCTAATCGACTCATCCCACCCAGTCTTTTATACACTCCCACGTTCACTTTCCAACCAAGCACATTCTTTCACCATGAAGTTTTCCGCCATCCTCGCTCTCGCCGGCGCCGCCGCGTCCGTCATGGCCGTGCCCTTGGCCGTCGATGTTTCCGCGCCCGACCCAGACCAGGTCACCGTCGAGGGAGTCACGTACGGAGGTTCCGGCTGTCCGCAGGGCACGGCCTCGGTCTCTCTGTCCCTGGACAAGAAGTCGTTCACCGTCATTCTCGATGAATACATCGTCGCTGTCGGATCCGGTTACACCGTCACCGATGCCCGCAAGAACTGCCAGCTCAACGTCAAGCTCCACTACCCGAGCGGATTCCAGGTGTGTACATGAGCCACGGAAACTCTTGGGCATGTCCGCTAATGACCATCCCCAGTACTCCGTCTACTCCTCCGACTACCGTGGCTACGCCGAGCTCGACGAGGGTGTCACCGGCCTGCAGAAGGTTTGTCCACCCCCCTCGCTCATCCACGTATTCCTCCAGATCACTGACCGCCCCCATCCCAGGCCACCTACTATTTCGGCGGCAGCACCGTGCAATCCAGCGTCTCGACGGCCTTCAAGGGTCCCATGTCGCAGGACTACCTGATCCACGACGAGATCCCGTTCACGTCGACCGTGTGGTCGCCTTGCGGCGAGATTGCGTCGCTCAATATCAACTCGCAGGTGCGCGTTGAGAACTCTGCCAACCCCAAGGGCATGGGCTTCCTCACTACCGACAGCATCGACGGGAAGGTCAGCTTCAAGGTTGGTGTCAAGTGGCAGGTGTGCCCTGAATAAGCGGCGGATACGCCGTGGGGTGGAGTGGGGGATGGGGAGAAGAGTGACGTTGGATCGCTTATCAGGCTAAGCTCGGCCGCTGTGGAGGTCCTGCAGTCGATCACCCGCAGCCCGGAGATCTTCTACCACCTTCTTCTCCTTCTTCTTTCCCTCCATGGGTTGGGTTTCGGGATATTTGTTTGTTTTTTCGTATCGACGTGCTATGATGTATCCTAGGTGTCTTTTCTGTCCCTTAATGTCAACGTTTTATGTATTTGTATGTACCTTACCTTACCTTACCTTACTTTCGAAAGACAATTGTCTGCGACAATCACTACCGTATGTATGCGCCTACCTCACACCGACTCGTGCATATCTCGCCTCGCAAAACATGTCGTGATGCATCGGTGGTTTCGGGTCGGTCGGGGGCGCCGAGGGTCGCAATTTAGAGTAACTAGCGGGCCGATAGTGCTGGTTCTCGGCATGTTAACTACTCTATGTAGTCGGTTTCGGCTACGGGACATGGCCGTCCACGCGCGGTCACTCGACTACCTATTTACTTGAGACACCGAAGAGGTGCCTGCATTTATGCGTCGCATGCATAGGGCTAGTTACGATGGCACAGTTGTATTCCATATACGTGCGTCGTACTCTTCGGCCGTTGCAGATACACGTAGTAAGTCCCTTCAGCCCGAGATCGATATTTATTTCTCGTGTTGGTGGATTGCAGTGGGTGGCTGTTGGTGCAGGAATATATTGCGATTCGAGGTAATATGGCACAGTGTGAAAGAGCCATACCATGTAAACTCATGGCAATTTAAAGCACGACTGGACTACTGCCATACCTTTGGAGTTCCCTTGCCGGAAGTCTGAATGGATTTTTGTTTGTTTACTCATTGATTGGGAAGTCTGAATGGGTCTCATGTGGCATACCTAGTGTTGAATGATGCGATTCTCGTTGAAAGCCACCGTCGTCACTCGTCAAGATATTGCACATTTGTCATATTGGTAATATGCGCCTGTGCGCGCCTCGAGTGCGCCTCGAGAATCCTATTTATTCTCATACGTTCTTTATGTCTAGTTGGTCATCCGCTGTGTTTTGCGAATGAATGAAGCAGCTGGACATATCACACTCATATTCTTAAAATTGAACTGAGTAGGTATCCGAGTGAGCTAATGTGTGCTCAAGACAAAACTTTCAAAGTGTGAAAACTTGGATCTCAAGGAACCCTCCAGTCATGGGCCTGAAGATAATCGGCTTTATTATACTAAAAGGTATGTTTAGTGCATAAAGAGAGCTGCTAGCATTTATGTACAAGGGAAATACAAAGCGACAATGCAAAAGATTCGCCACGGCACCGCACCAAAACTTCCAAGCTCCAACCCCAGCGGCCAGCTCAGCGAACTAGCTCCTCGCTCCCACATGAATGAGTACTGCCAGTCCACATCATCACTCCACCACAAACGAGACCCACCTCGGGAAATACCAGTGGGACCAGTGATAATCGATGAATCTCCACCTTATTTCAATGGCCCTTCCAAGTTCCTAGTCCCCATTCCCGTTTTCGCAGCCCCCGGCCAACAGTATCAGGCTACACACCGCCCACTCGTCTACACTCTACACGTGCCACCTCACTGCCTGCCATTGCCTATCCACCTTCCACCTTCCACATGACCCAATCGAAGCGCCACCAAGTTCCAAGTTCCAACCGTGAACCCAGCCACCACCACCGGCCCACCACCGCCACCAGCACCACCCCCTTGCGCGCGATACGAGGTCTTTTGAGTTTTGACGCCGGTGCCACACCACAGCCTTTCGCCAACTAGCGGCAGCCACCATCACCATTGGCGAAGGCGAAGGCTGTTATCCCTGGATAGAGAAGTAGAATTTATGATTCCCTACCGTACGGCGTAATCACTACTGCCAGACTGCCAGTGCCATCAACGCATGAAGGCTGAACTTTGAAGTCAGAACGATCTCTTTGCCTCTCCCGAAATAGAGGACGCCGCACCAAACTTCGCGGCCCCAGGGTCCAGGCTGCCAGATATGTACGTGGTGCACTTGGTTATCTCCACAGTCCACACTGCACAGCCGTAACTGTACATATGTTTGTAAGTCTGTAACTACCATCGAGATTCGAGCTGTTGACCCCTCACCTCAAGCAGGAACCCCTTCAAACTTCAAAGTTCACCAGCTGGCAGCGAGCACGAACTCATACCGTAGCCACCGTCAAATCTACGCCGCCGCCGCCGCCGCCCATGTGCACTTGCTACAACCTGCACCCACCACCACCACCGTCGACAGCCGCTCCAAGTTCCAGTTCCAAGTTCCAAGCTCCGACCACTCGACCATCTCCGCTCCTATACTACCGTAGTATGTTGACATTAACCATAGCTACCACAAAGTTCCAACCCTAACGTTTCAACTTTCAACTGGACGGACGTGCACAATGCACAATGCACATTCGACTCACCGTTGCTTGACGTTGCCTCGAAGTTGCCTCAAACATCTGTCTCCCCCCCCCCCCCCCCCCCACCACCACTGCCCTCCTCCTGCCATGCTATGCAGGACAATACAGGGACAGTAAGCACGTATAGAGTACCGTATCGTGTATCTACCGACATCCCCCCCTCCCCGCCCCCGCCGCCGCCGCTGCAGCCGCACACGCCGCCGCTATGACCGCCTGCTGCAAGTAGACAGCACGAATTTCCGCGGTACGAGCGGGACAGCGGCCATGGATATAGACATGCAGACGGGTGCCGGGGCGAAAGCGCTGCAGGTCCCAGCGCGCACAGCACAAGCACACTCAAAGCACAGCAGAAGCACACTCAGAAGCAGAAGCAGAAGCAGAAGCACACGATCAAGCAGAAGCAAAGCACAGAGCTCGTACATATCATAGCTAGTACATAGCTCATATGTATTGTGAAGACATACATATCGCCGGTGGCGGGCGGCGGGCGGATCGATCTGACCTGGAATATCATAGCTCATCGCATGTGTCCTGTACTCTACCTACCACGGTAGCTACTACGGTACCTACCACTAACAGGTACCGGTATGTGTAGAATAGGTGGGTGGGTGGGTATTACCGCAGTTAGTACCGCAGTTACCAGTAATGCCAAAGCGGAGTCGAGTGGAGTGGAGTCGAGTGGAGTGGACTCGAGTCGACTCGAGTACATAGAGCAGAGTATTGCAGACCAGGGCACAACAATTCTCCAGTAATTCTCCAGATCTCCACTCCAGAAAGCCTCCGTAGCAAGCCACTGTCGCAGGACGCCGCCAGTGGCCACCATCAGCGAGCCCGCCACCAATATGTAGCTGCAGGGTGTCAGCCCGCAGGCCGCAGGCCGCAACCCACTCTCTACATACTCTACATATCACACATAATACGGGGAACAGTCCGTCGGCAACACCGCCAATCAGACCATACACAACCGCCGCTGCGCACGGCCTGCAACACTGCAACAATTGCGTATCGGGATTACTACTAGTTAGTGGAGCAGAGTAGAGTATGTAATATATGCGAGCGAAGCTTCTAGAAGCTCGCCCTGCAGCTTCCTTCGTGCTTCTGCAGATTCTATCCACCCACTCACTCGCGGACTGGCTCGCCCACACATATCCTACACGCACGTTTACACGGCTACATATCACACACACGCACGAAGCATGCAGCAACACGGCCGGCCATCTCGTACCCGTTTGCATGCGTTCTTTTTCCGTGGCAGCTGCCAGGTAGGCGAGAGTAGGCTCGGGCTCCAGCTCGACTCTCGAGGCGGGAGCTGAGAGTAAGGGTAAGGAGATGAACATCTTGCGAGCAGTCTTATCGGTGGCTCTCTGTAGCTGTCGGTGGTGGTCTGCGGTTGTCGGTGGTTGTGTTGGCATGGCATGGCAGATGGTATCTGCCTATGGTACGTATCCGCGGACCTGCGCTTTCGGAGTTTCAAGTTGCATGTTTAAACCAACGCCGCGAAAAAACAAACGGTGTAGATGTCATGCTACCAGGCCTTCGTAGGAGCCGTGGAACTACCATAGAGCATTGCCGTCCGTGACGGCCTCCCACTACTCCCGAGAGCCACGGCCAGTGGCCAATGGCACAGGAACCTCCTCACCTCACATCGCCTCACCTCACTTCACCGCCCATCTGCCATCTCGGCTTATCATCCATCCATCCATCCAGGCTTGTTTTGCAATCACCATCTCTCCAGAGTCTTTGACAACCACCCTTCATTCATTCCCATTCCCATCCACATCCCCCATCCACATGCTCCATCCACCTCCATCCATATGCACCCATATCCAGTCCAGAAACGAAACCACCAAGCAAATAATTACAAAATTCTATAGTATGTAGATGGTTTCTTAATCGCGCTCATGGGTATCCATCATCCCCCTCTCCCTCCCGCATTACCTGTATCTTCCCAACAAAACAAAAACCTATCGACCGACCGACCGAGCAAGCAAACAAACAAAACCCTCCGACCATCCGACCATCCATCTATCTATTAGGCTCACTCACTCACTCACTCACCCATCCATCCATTCCACCACCCAATCCAATGCGTCCGCCCCGTCCTATCCCATCGCAGCGTAAACCGTGTGTCCCGAGTAAAAAAACCAAAACCAAAAAGCAGAAAACAGAAAACAAGTGAGTAGAGGAGTGGGCAAGTTGTGCGGAGAAACCCAATAATACTCCGGCCGGCCCGCTGTCTGGCATTAATCCTACAGCAAATCAAAAAGACACAAGACAAAGACAAAGACAAGACAAACTTTTCCCAGTGCATAAACCCCCGAACAAAGAAAGGAAAGTAAAAAAACATCGACATAGCCTGCCCCCGCGCGGTCCCGTCCTCCATCAATAATACAATAATAATAGTAGTAGCAGTAGTAGTACCAAACAATAACCCGGAAACTAGAAATTATGGAAAACGGGAAAGGAAACGAAAAGTGAAAACGAAAGCAAGTCGCTGTATCCGATCCACACTCCCTCAACACCCTTTGCACCCTCTCACCCCCGTGACCGAGCCGGATGTCAACCCGTCAGATCCGACACGCGCACCTTCTTCCGCGTCGGGCTCTCGCCCCGTAGCTCGGCAATCTCCCGCTCCATATCGTCGACCTTGCGCTTCAGCTCGTCCCCTCGCCTGGTGGCCGCATCGAGAGCGTGTCGCAGGTGCGCCTCGGCCTCTTTGCGACCCACCTCTGTTCGCCGTGTGGTGGCTTCGGAATTCTCGAGTTCTCCGACCCGCCCCCGGAACAGATCATTGACCAGCTCCAGCTCCGCCACCCGCGTCTTCAACTTGTTGTTGACGGCGATCAGCGATTCCATCGTGTGCGAGTCGTGCCCATGGTACGGTGGTGACGGCTGGTTCAGTGCGGACAGGGAGGGCAGTGTGGGCGGCGAGTCGGCGCCGGTGTGGTGCAGCAGCGAGTGGTCGAAAATACTGGGCAGCGGTGTCCCCGAGCGCGACGACTGAGGTGACACCGAGCGGTGATGGTGATGGTGATGACCAGGTGGAGGAGTGCCGGCTTCCGATCGCGGGGTGGGGTGCGAGCTCGAACTGGTGGGGCCGTGCGAGTTCGGCGAGTCGAAGAGGCTAGCCTGTAGGGGGAAGCCGGTCAGAAAATAAGGTCGGCGGGGGAGAAGTGGGAGGAAGGGGAAGGGGAAGCTCCATTCGGCGGCGTACCTTCTTCTTCTGAGGCTGCCCGGAGTTCTTGACTCGGTTTCGGCTCTTGATCACGTCCGTCTTGAGGGAGATTGGTCGAGGGCGGCCATGGAGCTTGAGGAAGAGCCCGCATGCATTGCAGAGGACCGAGCCCGCTTCGTCGCGTCGCCATAACGGTGTCGTCGATGTTGTGCAGTTTTGGCAGATTGGCTGGTCCCAATTGTCAGTACTTTGACCCACAACTGGCGCGATGAGGAAGGAACAAGCGCGGGGCGGGGAGGAAGCTCACAGGTGTTGTCCCCTGACCGGCGGCGGTGCTGGCCCCGGGTGACGAGGTAGCGAAAGTCATTGCAGCAAATGGAGAGGCTCCGCCATTCAACCTACAAGTGCAGAGACAACAGCATCAGTAAAGAAGGAACGACAGCATACACCACAAACGCACGCAATCTCTTTCTTCTCTCTCGGTCTCCCTTCCATTCGGATAAGGGTCCGATTCGTTTGGGGGTGGTGAGCGAGTGCGCGGGAAGATAAGGGGGGGAGGGGGGTAGGGAAGATAGTTGATAACGGGTAGATAGCGGCAGCGGCAGCAGCGACCACAGGCAAATAAAGGTTAGGGGAGTAAAGTACAAAAAAAAAAAAGTCTAGCGACGCAGGCGAGTTCAAACGAACCGAACCGAGAGAGATCCAGAGAAAGAGAGACGGACGGACGGACGGACGGAAGCGGAAACTTACCGCGACGGCGGAGACGGGAGAGCTACGGCGGAAGCCAGCGTGCTGAGCGAGGGCAGCGGCGATCGAGATGAGAAGCGCGATATCGCTGGCAGATGGTTGAGATCGTCGCGGTCGTTGATGCTGCTGCAATTGCTCGGGCTCGGACTGGGTGGGTGTAATAGTTCCAACTGGTGGGGAGAGGGGAGCCGCTCCGGGAGGGGAGAGTAATAGAGTGCGGGCGCCAGTTTATTATCTGGGGAAGGGCAACACCTGCTTGGTGGATCCAACAGGAAACGGCGTCGATGAGCCGTTGGGTGATGGGGGAAGTTGGAGTCGGAGTCGGAGTCGGTAATGATTGCAGACGTGATGACGATTATCGATTACTTTGATAGGGGAGAGAAGAGAGATCGAATGCGAATCCTCGGAGCTTCCGGGGGTGGAGAGTTGCAAAGGGGGGGGGAGGGGGGGACCGGCGGCAGATAATAGGCAATAATATGTGAGTGAGCGACAAGTACTCTGGCTTAGTAGTCTACGGAATTCGAACGCGTGTGATATAGCGGTACTCGAGTATGAGGAGAATGTGGTGGGAGGAGTAGTAGTAGTAGTAGTAGTAGTAGTAGTAGTAGTAGTAGTAGTAGTAGTAGTAGTAGTAGCAGTAGTAGTAGTAATAGGAAGAAGAAGAGGAGGAGGGGGGTTGGAATGAAAGCGGGTGAGATGATCACGGACGATAAGAGGAGTTGCCGAGAGTGTGTGCGGGAGTAAGTAGAGTAAGTAGAAAAAGGGGAGGAGAATGTCTGGGGCCGGCGTGTGTTTGAGGGAAAGAAAAAAAAAGTGACAGCGACAACAACGGAGCAAAAGCAAACAAGCAGGCGGCAGGCAGGCGGTCAGGGCAGGCGCAGGCAAGTAGGCACAGGCAGGCAGGGCAGGCAGGCAGACGAGTAGATAGGTCGGTATGGTAGAGTAGCCAGGCACAGATGGACAACGACACGACAGCAGCAGCACGCGGGCAGGTGAGGCAAGTGGTGAAGTAGTGGGCAAGTAAGTGTGTAAGTAATAGGTAGTAGGTAGTAAATAGTAGGTAGTAGGCGGGACCGGTAGACAGGTGGGTGGATAGCCAGATAGTTGGATAGATAGGTGGAAGAACGACCTTTGGATGGATGGGGCCGGGTGGGGAGAGGGAGGGGGGGATGATAAACCAGGATCTAGGTACCTAGTTGATGGAGGTGGTTCAAGAGATTACGCGGTACTTATTGGAGGGATGGAGTGTTGCAAGGGACACAGACAGACAACAGACGACCATCGAAAGGGGTGGGTGGGTGGGTGGGCGGTGGAAATGGCGGCGACGGGGGAGGGGGGGGCGGCGGCGGGTGGAGGGCGTGGTGAGATGATTGTGTATGATCAGGAACCTCCCGAGTATACTGGGTACAGAGGAGCCCCCGATGCGTTACATGGAGGTTATGTTATCGGCATGAATCATGGGGAACACACCGGTCGGAGGGACGTGGTGAGATGATTGTGTATGATCCGTATGATTAGGAACCTCCAAAGTACTGCATGTAGGTACCATAGTACATTGAGCCCGCGATGCGCTACATGGAGGTTATTGGCCTAAAGCATGGGGAACACACCATACAGCAGAGAGGCGTTATGATCAGGAACCTCCCGAGTAGAGCCCTCCGATGCGTTAACATAGTATACCTAGTACATGGAGGTTAACTATTGGCATGAATCATGGGGAATACACCAGTCGGAGAGACGCGCGGGTGCTCTACGGGGGGTATGTATGTACTTTTGGCAGTGGCAGTGGCAGTGGCAGTGGCAGCAGCGCTGAATCAACACTTTACTCAGGGTAGTACATAGATTGGTACATAGAGTAGCTGGTAGCCTGGTAGGGTGTTTGAGATAAGCAACGGCCTGATATCAGCAGCGCAATCACGGTGGGTGGGGGGGATATGGCCACGGAGAGTTGGAGATGGGCTTCACGGTTCTGGCCCTCAATAACGGTCATTCCCATGGCCGGGAGGACATCATGCGTTGTTAACACTGTCCGTTGGTCTGTCTGTCGACCCGACTCGCCCGTTGGGAGGGATACTTGGGTACATATCGCCGAATATTTTTCGTCTCGCTCGACAGACTCGATGGCGGGAGAGAGAGAGAGAGAGAGGGAAAAAAGAAAAAAGGAAAAAAGAGGGAAAAGAAAAGCAAAAAACACACGCACCCCCTCCCCGCTCTCGCCCCTCACCTCTGACGAAACCGTCCTGACGCAACCTGACGACGCTGACGATGGGACTAGGTACGTGAGTAGGTATGATGGCGATGGAATGACAGCTCTGTCAGGTACGGCGGAGGACAGGTGCCTAGAGGATTTAGCACCAGGCCGGAGCAGGAGAAAGGAAAGAAGGCCAGCTTTCGTATGTGCTCCGGCAGAAGTAGCAGGTACTGTCGCACCAATCGATACCTACTCCAATCGATACTCCAATCGACACTCCATCACCGGTAGGCATGTCCTTCTCGGTGCGCCATGGGTTGCCGTCTGATTGGCTTCCATCCGTGACGGTCGATCTGGCCGTGTCTCTGTCTGCCTGTTCTTTGTCCGTCTGCCTGCGAGCACAGAGCAACTCGTTCCTACCGTATCCGTGGCAAGTAGGGCCGTGGACTGTGGACTCTGGACTGTGGACTGCGGACTGTGAGACCGTGGGACTGTATGACCTTCGGCGATGATTTGGAGCGTGCCCGCCGGCAATGCAGCCAGCCACCGTCCGCCTACACATCGCAGCTGCTCGTACATAGAGTGCATAGAGTAGGTAAGTCCTTAGGTATTCGAGTAGAGGTGGTTAGTTGGTCGTACACAGCCCATCCGCTGCTGACGATGGACGGTAAATTATCCGTTGCAATGCTCGCATGCGACCGAGTGCCGACTCCCTGTCGAAAGCTAGAGTAGAGTACCGTATCCTGAGGAAAGGATGCTATCTGACGCTGCGCTGCACCTGTTGCAGTCCTTCAAGGAGGGAGCGAGAGATTGCCCGAGGCGGAACCCCCTCCCATCCACCATCCATCCATCCATCCAGATTCCACAGCACACACCCCCATCCCCTGATAAAATAGGTAATCGGCTTGACGGCCTCCCAGGCTCTCGCACGCATTGCTCAGCTGCCATGGATCCCCCCCTCCCCCGAGCTAACTAAGCCCTTTCCTTGCTCCGACCTCCCTGGTCGATGAACACTCAGATTCGCCGATATCGGGTCCCACTTAGCGCCTGTGAGGAAGGAGAGAAGGAGAGGAAGGAAAGAAGGAAGGGGGGTTTCACGGCAGACACCCTGTCCTGTTGTGGTTGTGCCATACCGATGCCCATTTTTGCACCGCACCAAGCGGCGATGGCTAGGCTTCCAGAAGACGCATGGAAGGGTGTTGGGGGGAGGGGGCCCTTTCGTGCGCACTAGTTCAGGGAAGTCGCTACCGACTGAACTGAACGGAGGGGTTCGTTCCGCTGGCGTCGGTGATAATGCTGAATCGTGACGCCCCCAGTCCGCCAGTCCCCCAGTTCGCCAATCTCCCACCCCCTCCACTTGTTTTCTTCCCCAGAAAGTCAGAGAAGGCGATAACTAGAGTGGAGTGCCTACTCTTGTTAGACTTCTTCTTCTTTCCCTTCTTCCTCTTCTTCCTCTTCTTCCTCTTCTTCCAACCGGACCGGGGGGTATATAGACGAGCGCGAAAGAAAGAATAAAGAAAGAAAAAAAGAAGCTGTCCAGAGTAGATTAGACAGAACACCGGCCAAGTTCTCCACCTAGCACCATAGAGTCCTAGTCAATCCGTATGATAGCAGATTGCCTCACACACCCGCCGCACCCGCCGCCGCCGCACCCCGCGCCAGGTAGAGTACCTATACCGACATATACGGTAGTTAGAGTGCTTGCGACGATTCATTCCAGTCAAACGACGCGATAGTGGTTAGTTAGGCAGTTATGGTAATCGCCCGAAACCGAACGGAGTCCCCCCGCCCCCTGCAATCGATAAACGGATGTATATAGCATCCTCGGTATGAAACTACCCTGGCACTGTGGAGTCCAGTCAGCCAGGCAAACCAGGCCAGCCGGAGAGGGACCGATTGCCGTGAGCGCTCTTGCTTTCTCTCTCGCTCTCTTTCTCTCCCTCTCTCCCTCTCGGATATGGTGTCTGTCGGGACTCGGCGGCAACATGCGCCGGCGCGGTGAGCTTGAAGAAGGGGAAAAGCAAGCTTCTAGGCACTCCGTACTGTGCGAGCTCGGAGGCAACGGAAGTTAAGTCGAGTAGAGTAGGTAGAGTATTGAAGGGGTTGTGGCTGTGGCTGTGGCCTTGTGTCTTCTGCCGAGCGGCGAGAACGGTCCACGGATGTGTAGGAGGGAAGGAAGGACAATAATGTCAGATCTATTTTTGACGGATGGTCCAAGACTGTTGCGGACCCACGGAGGTCCGAAAGAGAAGGAAGGATGGATAGAAGGAGGAAGGATGGAAGAATGGAAGAATGCACGAGCTCTCGATACGAGGTTATCGGACAACCAAGTAGGACAGAGTACCTGATAATGTGGAGGATCTCTCCGATGATCGATCCTCGTCCCGAGTAGAGCACCTACCGTATGTACCTACCTTAGGCACTTACGTACGGTAGCCAATGTTTCCCCATCGGATCGGTGCTGTCATGCAAGAAATTTGCCGACGCGATGTGATGTGCGGGGGAGGATCGAGTCCGGTGCATATCGACACATCGGCGGTATGCTCTGCAATCATCATGTAGGTACGAGTACGGCATGATGTCGCTGCTGCTGCGGCTCCCATCCGACACACGACACACGACACACGACACACGACACACGACACACGACATGACATCGAGACTCGAGACTCGAGAGCCGTGTAACGGTGAATGATGAGGTTGCACTCGCACTTGTGGCGGGCGTGAGTGGCAGTTATGCATAAGTAAGTGCATAAGGGTCACTGGAGTGAGACGGGGTGGGCACTGTCTCCGGCTTTGCTTAGAATCCCTTCCCGACGCTGCTGCTGCCACGATGCGGAACCCTTCGTACATGCTCGAAATCTCCGGCGGATCGCCCTCCCCAAGCTGTTCTTCGGACCGGAAGAGGGCGATGGCCGCGGCTAGGATTGCCCGTTGACGGTGGTACGACACCGTGGTAGGGTGAGTACCGGTATGGAACGCACATCGTGAAGACTCTATTCCAGGCTGCAAGGAAGGTGGAGAAATCAAAAGTCACTCTACTGCTAGTAGCGCATGCTAGGTAGGCTCATCCCCGGGTACGTATGCTTCTTGCAGCGGCCAGAGTCGGCGATGGCATCCAGACAAAGCTCAGCTTCAGCGGTTACTAGTATACTGGTAACTGGGCGTCTCGCCTGGGGTTGCAACTACCTAGGTAGTGCCCAGAGTGTCCTCAGAGAGCAATCCTGAAACCTAATTCAACGTAAACCGGAACTACATACCTTTCCATCGCGTTCACAGTCGTGGGTCGAACCGCCTTTCCATTGCCTTCGCAGTCGGTGGTGCGTCCGGATACTGATTGATGTTCATGCCCCCCGCCAAACAACTACCGGTACACTACCTGGCACGGTCGGGGTGCACTCGGATACCGATGTTCATGCCTCAAAATAACTGCCGGTATACTGCCGCACAGTCGGTTCTCAGCCCAGGTTAAGGTTGAGTGCTGAGTGATGCTCTGTGCCGATGGAGAGTTGCCCTTTCAATTATCGGGGGTGACGTATGCATCGTAAAGGTTAGTGTGTGCTCTGGATCGAGCTCCCTGTCAGTCTGCACATGTCACAGACCGAGCACCACCTTGTTTTGGAACCAAACCTCACCACCTTCATTCGAGAGCTTCGGATCAGGACCTCCCCCAATCATCACCGGACCGCCAACCTTCCCCGAGACGAGACGACACTAAAACCTACGCTTCCTACTCGGCCCACACCCCCGGTCGTTAACCCGCTGAATATCGGATCTACGAACGAGCCGTTCCGCCCACACCACACCCTCCCCCCGTCCGTTTGTCGGCGTCCTAGTAGTCGCGTCCCGACGTCTTGCAATGCCGCGAAGGGGGCCACCGACCTCGGGCTACGAGCGGATCGCGCAAGATGCGGAGCTGTCGGATTCGGACGACGATGAGTCGAGCTCCCTTGTGGCTCAACACCAGGCGGCCGGACGGTACGTTCCGATCCAGCCGCGTTCGTCGTCCACCCTCCTCCCTGCCCTGAGCAGCTCCATGCCCAGTTCCGGCCATCACCACCACCATCGGAATAACTCTACTGTCGACATCAAGGTGATCAATGCGCGGCTGGAGAAGTGGGCCGACCAGATTGCAAACAAGTTCAAGTTCAAGAAGGATCGTGGCCCTCATGAGCATCCGCCCCTCGAGATCTTGCACTCGGTCTTTGTACCCCCCGAGGGCTTTCGTGATATTCCTTTCGACAGTAGCCACCACGACCACCAGCCGTCGGACGTGACTGAGGATGCGCAGCTTGCGCGGGAACAGTTCGAGCAGGCTGTGGAATCCGTCAGGACCGCCATCAGCAAGGGGATAGATCCAAAGCTCATCAAACAGGGCTCATCTGGCAGCTATTTCATGCGCGACAGTGACGGTAGGATAGTAGCTGTCTTCAAGCCCAAGGACGAGGAACCGTACGTGACTCTGGTTTCCCGCCATCCCCCCGGGAACATCCTATCCTATCTTATCCTAGTGCACGCGTGTAACTAAGCGCCCCCCGTCGGTGCATGCAGGTACGGAAAGTTGAATCCAAAGATGATGAAGGTAAAGCTGCCCCCACTATTACTTCTTCCCTTCCAATCATCACCGTTGCTATCACTATTGAAAGGCATCAATACTTACGATCGCAGTGGTTACATCGCACGCTGTAGGTCTCCTGCGCCCTCTCTCGGTATATGTTTTTCGTGCTGCATAATACCAGCCGCTAATAATCCGCAGTTTTCCGTGTTTCTTCGGTAGATCTTGGTAAGTTTCCATTCCCCCTTTGTGTGGACAGCAGCTGTTGTGATACCAGACTGATGTAATATCCGTGCAACAGCTTGATACCCAATTTGAGTTATATCTCCGAAGCCGCCGCGTGTCTCCTCGACAGGCAGCTCAAGACATATCTCGTGCCGTACACAGACATTGTACATCTGTCGAGTAAGGCATTTCACTACGATTACTGGGACCGGAGGGCGTTCTACAGGAGACATAAGCCGTTGCCTCCGAAGGTCGGCAGTTTTCAGGTATTCTTGCAGGGTTTTCAAGGTGATTGCGCCCTTTGCCTTTGACATCCAGTGATGATGGTGATGATGATTATGATGAGATGTATGCTGACGGCATTCGTTCAAAAGATGCAAACATATTCCTGAGGAAGCATCCGTGGCCCGATCCATACAACACTGGCTTCCGAACCGATGCCGCACCAAAGAGGCGGGCACCTTGGAATTATGCGTGCAGGCCCAGTGGGGATGAGGAAAACGATGGTGCCGATGACGATGACGGCGCATCGTGGGCACCCGAAAATGGAAGCGCGAATCGCAGATTCGTGTGGACCGAACAGCTGAAGCAGAATTTCCGTGAGGAGCTAGAGAAGCTGGTGATTTTGGATTACATCATGAGAAACACCGACAGGGGCTTGGATAACTGGATGATCAAGATCGATTATGAAACCGGGGATGTGTCGGTAACGTCTGGGCCGGTGAATTTGAATCTCGCTGCGCCGGCACCTACGCCGTTTGCGAGGCCTGCTTCCACCGACCCCAATACGATGCGCACGGCATCGCCTATGCCGTATCGCGTACAGGAGCCGATGATGGCGTCACGATCTTCCACGCCGCAGCCGGCCAATGCCAATGTTCGACTTGGTGCGATTGACAACTCCCTGGCATTTCCGTGGAAGCACCCGGATCAATGGCGGAGTTTTCCATTTGGATGGCTGTTCCTCCCGGTGTCACTCATCGGCCAGCCGTTCTCGCAGAAAACCAGAGATCACTTCATACCGTTGCTCACGTCAACAAAATGGTGGTCGGAAACACAGACGCTCTTGCGGAAACTGTTCGAGCAGGATGCCGATTTCAAAGAGAGGATGTTTCAGAAACAGCTGGCGGTGCTGAAGGGACAGGCGTTCAATGTGGTTGAAACCCTCAAGGCGATGGATCAAGGTCCGCTGGAGCTGACACGGCGTGCGAGAATGCATGTTTGGGTAAGGGGTTCACGTTCCACTTATCCGAGTAGTGACTGACAGATTCCCCGTAGGACGACGAGATGGAGGTACCCATAGCCGTGCCACTGCGGATGCCATCCTCGGAGGAGCGACGGCGCAACGAGTTGGATCTGGAGAGAGGTCTCGACGAGGACGAGATGGACATCGGCAACGTCGTCTCGTCTGCGCCAACATCTCGCGAGCACGATCTGCTCGGTCTCTCAATGTCACCGCGATCGCAGCTGCCCAGTGCCTTACGCCTTGGCATATCGCGCGCCCAGTCGTCCCTCGACATGGAGCGCGGCGACGACGGACAAGTAGATTCTGAAGCATCCTCGCTCCACGGTCACAGCAATGGTAATGGCAATGGTATTCGCTCAGGCGCCCAGAGCACAAAATCGGAGCCACACGGATACCCACGTCCGAACCACCGCAGCCGTGTCAGCTACGATTCGGGGATGGTTACCCGGGGAGGGCGCGTCGGGAAAGCGTGGGATGTAGGCCGCCCCGCGAGACGGGGATCACACACTTTTGGCTTTCCAACAAATCTCTACAACGACGATGATGTGGAGGGGGATCTGGGGTACTCGGCGGTTACGGGGAGTGAGGGTGCACGGAGACGGGTGATTGCGGAGAGATTGGAGGCGGTCAAGAGTCGGAATCCAGTTTTTACTTGGTGTTAGAAATGAAGTTTTGGTTCTGTCAGCGGTAGGGGAGTGTTTGGTATCATATCTGGGGCGTACACAGGGAGGGGGGGAAATATCTACAAATATTCTGACTTTTTATCTTTCTTTTCTTTCTTATTTTTCTCCGATGAAAATATAACTTTGTTTTGTGCACCGCCACAGTAGCACAAGCCACGTCCAGGGTTGTTTCAGGGATTTCCCGGATAACAACTCTAGTTACCTGCGAAGTGGTGTGACGTGCTAACCCACTTCATCGCCCTTCCGCCTTTCTCCTCCTCCTCCTGCTCCGCAAGACCCATCTCCACTCAACACCCCCAATCCAACTCAGCAAACCTCACTTACTCCGCCACACTCACATCATCACCATGCACCCATCTCTCATCCTCCGCAACTCTGCTGGATCCGCTGCGCTGAAGCAGGGCGCAAAGCGCGATCCCGAACTCTACGTACGACCCAACATCCGATAACCCGTGGTGGGAGGATGGGAGGGGGGAGGGACCGGGCCAACAACGAACCCAACCCAACGCCCTGCGCCCCACCCACCCACCCACCCGCGGGGACAACCCATTGAAATCGAGCGCCCAGCACTGACGCCGTGTGTGTAGGTTCTCGCCGCGGTGATGTCTGGCATCTTCGGTGTTGCCGGCTACTACTTCGGTTCGTGCATCCGTCCGACCCTCTTCTGTCCGTCGTCGAGGGAAGGAAGAAAAAAAAATCTTTCGTAATCGCTGGTGCTGATGGATATGCGCTCGACGACAGGAAGCAAGCCCACCTCCGCCACCTCTGAGGATACCGCTATTAAGGTCGCCAACATGCCCTGGCAGGGCTCCTCGCAGAGCGGAAAGTACCAGTACCATCCCGACGGCAACCCCGCCAACGCTCCCAAAGACGCCCCGAGCGCGCTGCACTCCGTCATCGTGCCGAATGTTTCCCTTCCCAAGGTATGTGGATTTGATTGTAAACCCTGGGGAGAGGGTGGGCTCAGTGGGGCGGTGGCTAACCGATTGCGATAAATAGGAGCTCCATGAGAGGTTCAATAAGTACGGCAAGGACGGTTACTAGATGCGTGCGTGTCGGAACTTGGATGGACGACGTGGTGTTTGTGTACTGTAAATTTTTCGCAGATATCCGATGTGCGGCGGCGGCGATGGCGGCAGGGAACGGGATTTATCAAGGCTTCTTTTTCTTTTGACCGGTGCACGGGTTCGTGATGGTGTTGCGAAGTACGTGGGTGGGGCAGTGAAGTGGAGAGAGGGGGGGAGGGGCAAGAAGAGGGGAGGTCGACAGAAGAGTTGCCTGGCCCGGGCGTTGTTTAAGTTTGGCTTACGACATTATGGGCCCGTTGCCTTACGGTATGTATAGGCGTGACGTCGTGTTGAAGCATTGACATCTGATGGTTACCTTTGCTTCGTGGGTGCTGAAACATGCTAGAGCGCAGCGCTACGAGGGCGGGTAGCCACCGTGCCGGTAGGTGTTTGGGTGCCGCCGCCACTTCCAGTAGATACAGGAAAGCCGTCTTGCCCACGAGTGATCCATCGATCAAAATTGCCCATCCTCTCTGCCGTACGGAGCCAGCGCAGTCGAGTTGTGGAACGCATCCGATCCCGAGCGCACTCCGTCAGCCAACGAGAACCGGAATTTGGCTTGGCAACGTTAGAGCAGTTACCCGCCGGGAGGAAGACGTCAGCCTGCTGCGCCCAGCTAGAATACTCTAGTCAGTGGAGGACCTATCCGGCTTCCTGCATCGCGCGCATAACACACTTGAGATCCACAAACGAACCAACCGTCTCTCCACAAACCACCGCATCGGATCACCAACCTCCAACTACTACGCACCCAGAAAGAAGCCTTTGAAGTACCGAAAACAAAATGGGGGCTTTGCTCTCCATTCCGTTCCTGGCCGTGCCCAGTATCACGACTGTTAGTTCCCGGGTTGCGACGGAAGATATCTCGGAGCGCCACTGACCGACTATACGTGCACAGGTTGGCTCGTTCGTCGCGTCGTGTTGCGGCGCTGCAGCGTGTTCGGCCATATGTAGCGCTTGCGGGAAGTGTCAGGGCAGGTGCGTAGAATCGCGATGCGGTGGGGACGTTGGAGAGTTGTGGGCTGACCATGTGGATGAATAGCATGGCTACGAGAATCACCTATGCCTGTACGGCCCCCATTCTTTACGGCTCACGTCGCTGATTTCGCTGATTTCGCTGACTCTGCCGTTCTGTAGTGTTGTTCCTCGTCAACAGTATCCTATCGTGGATCATGCTCACGCCCTGGGCGATCAAAAAGATCGAGCACCTCACGCTGGACACACTTCCGATCAGCTGTTTCGGCGAGCAGTGCTGGGGCTTCGTTTCGGTACACCGCATCAACTTCGCACTCGGCGTTTTCCACTCGGTTCTAGCGGTTCTACTCCTCGGCGTTCGGAACTCGAGGAGTGGTCGCGCGGCTATTCAGAATGGTTACTGGGGACCGAAGATCATGGCGTGGCTGCTGCTGATCGTCCTCACATTCTTGATCCCCGAGAAGTTCTTTATCGTCTGGGGCAACTACTTTGCGCTGGTCGGCGCTATGCTGTTCTTGCTGCTCGGTCTGGTGCTGCTCGTGGATCTGGCGCATAGCTGGGCTGAGACGTGCTTGGCTAAGATCATGGAGAACGACGATTCGCGCATCTGGCGCGGCATCCTGATCGGCAGCACGCTGGGAATGTACATGGGTGGTTTCGTGCTGACGATAGTGATGTACGTCTTCTTCGCCGGCGAAGGATGCAAGATGAACCAGGCCGCCATCACCGTCAACCTCCTCCTCTTCCTGATCGTCTCGTTCATCTCGGTCCACCCGACGATCCAGGAATACAACCCCACCGCTGGGCTGGCTCAGTCGGCCATGGTCGCAGTCTACTGCTCCTACCTCACCATGTCCGCCGTGTCGATGGAACCCGACGACCGCCAGTGCAACCCGCTCCTCCGTGCGCGCGGCACCCGCACCGCCTCCATCGTCCTCGGCGCAATCGTAACCCTCCTCACGATCGCCTACACGACCACCCGCGCCGCGACCCAAGCCCCCGCCCTCGGCCGATCCTCGTCTCCATCCAACGGCGGCTACTCAGCGCTCGACGCCGGCGACAACGAACACAGCCTCATCTCGACGGAGCCGACGCGCGCGCAGATGCGGCAGGAAGCGCTTCGCTCCGCCGTCGAGTCCGGTGCGCTCCCCGCCTCCGCCCTCGACGAGGACACCGACGACGAGGATGACAACAACAGCCGCTCCGGCGACGACGAAAAGGGCGGCACGCAGTACTCGTACTCGTTCTTCCACATCATCTTTGTTCTCGCGACCGCTTGGACCGCGACACTGCTCACGATGAGCATCGAGCCTGGAAAGGGCGACGAGGAGGGCTTCACTCCCGTCGGAAGAACTTATGCTGCCTCCTGGGTCAAGATCATCTCCGCCTGGGTCTGCTATGCGATCTACATCTGGACCCTTGTTGCCCCGTGGTTGTTTCCCGATCGGTTCGATTACTAGAGTTCCGTAGCAGTAGATGCTTGGGCTTTGGACGAGGACTGGCAATTGAGAGTGGCGTTTTTCTTCTTTGCGTCAGCGATTGTTTTGTTTTGCTTTGGCTTGGTCGTTGTTGTAATGCTTGTGCTTGTGCTTGTGCTTGTGCTTGTGCGTGTGCTCACTGCTCGTATGTCTGCTTGTTTGCTTTAAATGGGATTGTGCGATATTCTGGGAACTGGACGTACCTACTATATCCTACTATATGCAACTGATGAGATGATGAATGGCCCCACTTTACGCAAATGCTTCACCCACCTGCGGTGGTGATTGTTCCAGATTGGCAGATGGATCGTACGACGATGTCGTACTCCGGCTGCACCGGTAGGTCAATCGCATGGCCGAATAGTCCGCCATAGACAGGCGTGAGGTTCAATTGATACCTGACAGCTGTTGGTACATATGGTAATCATACTGACACCTGTTGGTACAAAGCACAATGTATCCAGTTGAAACACGATAGTGACAGCGGACGATTTCACTAGAGCCGGTTTTCCAAGCTTTGGTTCTCCAAGTTTAGCTGTTGTGTAGGTAGCTTCTCTAATGTGTATGATAGTAGAGTACAAGCCGCCGTACCCCGCACAGTGCAAATTGCAAGTTGCAAGTTGCAGCTACCTAGCTATTCGGTAGATAGCTCTAACGATCACTAGGCCGGCGAGTGATATCCCACATAATCACCTCTTGCTAGTGTGGTCTTATCTAGAATAACTCATACTGCTATCACCTTCGACTACGATATTACTACGATATTACATACCACGAGGCCGAACGAAGGCATCGGGGGTATACTAATTCACGTGCCGCCATAACTGGCTGGAGTATGTCGATTCCAACCTACATACTCAATAATCGTGAGAAATACACTCTTAGTGTGCAGACTTGAAGAGCCATAGAAATGATATCCACTACATACCGGTCGGAAAGTCTGAGTAAACACATACCTACGCTGGAGGGATGGTTTCTGGGCTAAGTACTTGGAGTGGACTCATGTTCCATCGGCTCGGTACGTACTTATTCCAACCGCAGAGTATTGTCTAGTTGAGCTCAAGCTTTCCATCATGTAATAACCCACCGTTGCCATACCGACAGCGCCTTTGCCGAAAATCCCGGCTGCCCGGGGGCGTCTATGGGGCCCGCCATATCCACATACCCGACGACGGTAGCATACAGCACTTTCCACGGGCCCTGCGTATCCTCGGACTCCGACTCCGTCTCAAAGTGGTGAAGTCCAGCACCGACCATCAAGTCCGGCATCTCCCACACGTCGACGTCCTCCTCCCTCTCGATCTCCACGATGGCCGCACCATTCAGACTCCCGAAAACTATCCCCGAGCTCCGCGATAGCTGCAGTGAGTTTCCCCCCGAAACTGGATCGATTATGTTAAACGCCTTGAAGCGCGCGCCTGTGGAATCGTCGTGGAATATGAACGAGCCTGTTACTGTTACCGTTACCGTGGTCTCGCCCTGGTCGTGCAGCAGAAACCCCGGGTAGACGATATTCAGCCCGTTGGGCGTGCAGCTGCCCCACTGGCTCGGCGTGACGGTGAGGGTGTTTGCGTGTCTGAGCAGCGAGGCTGGCGCCCAGCGGAAGGGGGCGTGCAGCAGTTTGCGGGTCGATGGGTCGAATACGACGTCGGCGGAGAGTTTGCCCATCATCTGGTAGAGCGCCTGGAATTTCTGCGGGATTGTCGGCTGCTGTAGGATAGCAGAGACGTCGAGTTGCATGATGATTGCGAGGATCAAGGGCTCGTCGTCCAGCTTGCTGGTGGTCCGGCTGGCTACCGCGTTCCAGATCAGTGTGAAGGAGGAGGTGGCGGCTTGGAGCGCGCGGAGGGACGGTATGCGCCGGAGTAGCTCGGAGTAAGCTCGCTCGTAGAGGTGCGCACTGATGAATTCACTCTCTTGGAGTTGGAAACGGCCGTCTCCGACACCAAGGTGGTAGGCGAAGGAGGCGAGAGAGTCGTAATTCAGGGTTCCGTCCGCCATTTGGAAGAATAGCATCCGGCCGTTGAGGTTGGCAAGATCCTCAAGCGCGCACGCCGCCTCTTGGTACGTCCAGAGTCGCTGCATCCATCCACTACAGACTATTCGGAGCGTGAGCTCAAGGAAGGAGGTGCGCGAAGATCGTATCTTCTCCAGCTCCCGATCGAGGACGAGGATTGATGTTGCCTCCAGGAAGGTACGGCCAAGGAGGGTGATTGCTTTCTTGCGGTATTCCTTCAGTTCGGGCTGCACGGGGATGCAGAGCGTGTCCATCCATAAGGAGGGAGACTGATGTCGAGATGCCGCTGAGATCTGACTCCGGAGCCGGAGGAGTTGGCAACGGGGAAGGGAGTTGCTATGGGGGTTACCCATACCATGCATCCCTGGGCTCCGTTAGAAATATGCACTCGCAGAAGGATGTCGGTGCACTTACAGACGTGTGAGATGCAGACATATGGTCCTTCATCGACAACAGTTAATTGAAGATCGTCAGAGATCGCGATTCTCGGTATGCCTCCACGCTTCAGCACTGCTGCGAGTTGTTCGCCGTCCACCGAAACCAGATCGCCGCAAGTGCCACTACAGTCCGAATAATGCACACTCCTGTAGCCCGCCTCATCGCCGACATGATCAGCTTTACAGACCAAATCATTACACTCGCCGTGATTCGCCTGTGCAAGCAAAGGCCGTTCCAGACTATTCGCAAAAACAAGGTAGCTCGTGTCGAGCTCGCCCAACCGCCTGGTCTGGCTTCTACACCACCCCTTTGCCTCGAGCGCTTTGCTCTCGATCTCCTTCACTCGCTTTTCGGGATTGAAATGGGTCCCGTGCAAGTACCGCTTATCCTCCCGCACCCCATCGGGAGAGGGCGCAGAAAGCTCATTGGTGATCTCCGGAGGATGGTAGCTAAGCGACAACACCACCGCCTTCTGCAAAACCTCAATCGACAAAAGCACGCGATAATCTCTCGGCTCCGCAACATTCCGATCCGGCCCCGGAGTCTGCTCTGTGCGCGGATACAGCAAGAATGTCGAGCGTACAACCGTGAGCTGCCGCAGGGCGGCCAGTACACGCTCCAGGTTCCCTTTCTGCCGTTGAGGATGTTGCCTGCCGAGCGCAGAGAACCACCCGAGAGCAAGCCCATTCACTGCCGCCGTCGACACGCTCTGCCCGCCGTCCACGAGAAAGTCCGCTTCGATATCAATGGGGAACTCACACGCCGCGGAGACCTCCCCAAGCATGCCGAAGAACAACCATGCTTGCAAGAAGCACACCTTCTCGCTATTGGAAGAAAAGCCCCCATCCGCCCGGAAGATCAGCTGCGATCGGAAACTGCCATGTGTTGCGCAGTACGTCCCCGGCGATTCCGTGCACGCGGCCTCACACGGATCGGACGGTTGTAGGCGCCATCCCTGGCGGACCGCAAAGCCCGCGAAGCCGAGATTGTCGTAGTGGATGCCATACTCCTTGCAGAGGTTCGGTGCCGTGAACGGTATGAACTCGGGACGGGTCGGGGCTATTCTTGTGGGTTGCGGGAGGCGGGCCCTGTCCGGATCGCTCGACCGCCGGAGTTTCTTTTTTGCCGGAGGTTCATCGCTCTCCGCTGCCGCATCCATCACTACCACCGCCCCTCTTCCCCCATCCTCTTCCTCCCCTTTCACTGTTTGTAGAGTCTGCTCGAGATCGGTGGTGTCGGCCAGGGCCTGCTGGGCTAGTACCGGATCGGCGGGGGTAGAGCTCTCTGCAGCTCCCACTCCGGCTGTGTGGTTCTGTGGAGCATCAGATACGCCTCTATGTATGTACCGAACGGCAGCGGTCCCGGCTCACTTACTCGAGCTTGCGAGGACATAGCTAGCTGTGGTCGAGGATGGCGTAGTTGTGATGTCCGGTGGGGTAACTATCACCGGCGGGATGTGGATTGGAAGCTCTCCTTACATATGTACGGGCGCGAAGCTGATGGATCACGGATAGACGCCAGCTCCACCGCCCCGGTCATTTGCCAAGCACTGGAGAATCCTACGCCGTAACTGTACGCAAACAATTTTACAGAGCATCCACTATCTATTTGAGTTGTATATGGGCTACCTAACCATTCTAGATTATGTGTGGCTGGAGCACGCTGTGAGTGGTGAAGGCGGCGTTTTTTTGTTTTATTTTGTTCAATCATCATAGCATTCGACCATAATATTACTAGATCATGACTGAGTACAAACTCCATTTCCCTACCCACCATCGTTTTGTCGAGTCGGCGCAAGGAAATCGATTGAATTGGCCATCCAACTAAGTACCTTCAAAGCTCAAACGATTCGAATATCTAGAACGAGCCCATACTATAGTGTGAAGGACCACCGTACCGTACTCGACGCTCGCTCGTTCCATAAACCCGTCTTACCGTCCCAGGTGTGCCACTACCACATCCAACAAGAAGAGAAAAACTTGCTATGTACGTCGCCTGAAGGCTGAGGGGATACAACCGCCAAACTACCAGTATGTTAAACAATTGAAGCGCCCGGAATTCCGAGTGACATCTATGATTGCAGCCTGCGCGGCGAGATGCTGTACATACCACTCTACATAGCGGAAGGCGTGTTGCCCGTGGTCTGTGGCGCTGGCTACTCACTCATATGAGCTCCGCTACGAGGCTATTATTCGGTATCTCCGCCAATTCAAACGGCCAAATCGTAGCCCAGCTGTGGAATCGGACGGCGATGGTACCATACTTAAATCCAGTGCCTCTATAGTAGAGTAGCTGCTAGGTAGGTAGCTACTCAGTACTATGTAGGTAGTTAGCTACTCAGTACTATGTAGGTAGTTAGAAGACGACACGCCTCGGATATTTACATCAAGGCTTCTGGGCTCCAGGGGGTACGAGTCGAGATGGTTTCCGATATATTTGAGTCCCCTCGAGACTCCGGAGCCGGGCGAGTGACAGGATATGAGCATTTCCGGCTCAAGAGTCAAGAGTGGGAACGACGGTTCGGACCCCGACCACGGATACCTAGGAGACCGAAGACGTTGTTTTTTCTTCTTTTAGTTGGCGATTGTTTTGTCTGTATATGTTGGCTGCGATGTTAGACATACCTAGCCGTTGCTGGCTGCGGGGGACCGGGGGTTCGACCGGGACGGGTCGCAAGTCACGTGCGATGCCTTCAATCATAGTCTGGAGCGATTAGTGATGGTAGTATGGTACACATCAGTGCGCGTCTGTCGGAAGTTGGAACGGGAGTGTGCGTTTTCAGGACTGTGCGGAAATGCGATGGACAGGAGGCGAAGCTTGAATTGCTGGCACCCTACTCTAGTTATGTAGGTATGCATATCTGTTGTCATCAGGCACTGGGAAACGCGACATGTCGAGGTGGTAAATCTGGTGATGGATCTGTATTTTACAATGTTACATGCGTAGCTACATGGTGTTTTCAGTTGCGATGGTCGTTGGCAGTTGACTTGTTGACAGTCATCTCCCCCTGGAAACTCCGAGCTCGGCAGATGGACGTATCCCACCATGTCTCCGGCCCCATCCGAAACTTCGCCAATGTCCGCGTGAGTTCAGACATCACCGGATGGCGGGATGGCGGGGGTGAGCCTGAACGAAGGGCACGGGATGCTCTCTTTCTCTAGGTATTTTCTCCAGCTCTTGCTCTTGCAGTGCGGGGGAATGGATTCCAGAACGAAAAAGAAAGAAAGAAAGCTTCAACTCGGTCGGCGCTGTCGCAGCTGCCGGGGGAGGAACGGACGTCCGCAGCGGTATGATACACGGACTGCATAGCACCGGTACGTAACCAAGTACTCTAGTGGGAACTTGGGGAAGTTGTGATGTGCGGAGTCCGGGCTGTCCCCTCTCCTCTTGCGTAACTATTACGACAGGACCCTGCGTCTGCCATCTCAAGAATGCGCACTGCACCGTGGCTGCTCTAGCTGCAGCATGTACTATGATGTTCTGTGTGATCTGTATGATCTGTATGTAAGTCGTCGGGTCGCCGGGACGACCGGCTGTGGCCGTACATGAGCAAGTAGCAAGCAAAGGAAAATAAAAAGTCTGATTAGGCTATGTAATCTGGAAGGGGAGTGCCGTGGACACTGGACTGAAGAACTGCAGCGTGCGCTTATCTTGCGTCCATCTCTGTGCTCGCTATGTGAGTAGCCAGGTGCCCTGGAGCTGCGACAGGGCAGGTCTACAAAAGCTACAGCTCCCCCCCCACCTCTCTCCCCTAGTCAATCTCCGCACAACACGAACGACAGACAGACGATGGCGCGCACTCGGGAACAACAACTCCACGCCGCGCGCGTGGTGAGCTTGGTGGCTTCCATGGCCATTTCGTTGGCGGCGGGGACGAATGTACGCTCGCTCTCTCTTGTGGGAATGTGGGGGGTGGTGGTGGTGGATAGGAGATGGGGGATGGGGATGGGATAGGAGATGCGAGACGGGGGCTGATGCAAAATAGTACGCCTACTCGGCCTACGCACCACAACTGGCCGAACGACTGGCGCTGAGCGCGACGGAGAGTAATCTGATCGTGAGTACTGTCACGCGGACGCGGTGCGAGATGGGAGCGGAAGGGGGCTGATTGTGGGACGTGGACGGTTAGGGGACTTTTGGGAATCTCGGTGAGTGCGCTGGCGGGGGAGCTTAAGGGGGGAGTGTGGAGTGTGGAGTGTGGAGTGTGGAGTGTGGAGTGTGGAGTGTGGAGTGTGGAGTGTGGAGTGTGGAGTGTGGGTTGGAGAGTGCGGAGTGCTGAGTGAAGAGCGCAGAGTGCTAACGGCTATGCGTGTAGGAATGTACCTCTCCGGTATGCATCGATCGACTACTCCCGGCCACGGCTGCGGGTGCGAGGAAAGCGGACGTTGACGAGTGCCGTAGGAATCCCGAGCGGAATGCTGGTCGACAACAAGGGCCCGCGTCCGCCGATGCTGATCGGCGCCGTCTGTCTGTTTTTGGGATATTTTCCTATTCACCTAGGTACGTCGTCGGCGGAGAAGAGAGGCTATGGGCAGAGGGCTGATACGGTGTGGAGGGTAGCGATGTTGAATGGCGAGGGATACATGAGCATTCCTGCGCTCTGCTTCTTCTCCACCTTGACGGGGGTAGGGAGTTGTTGCGCTTTTGGGGGGGCGCTAAAGATGGGTGAGCTCTCCCGTCCGAAGTCTGGTGCGACGGAGGCTGACGGCTGGAAGCGGCCCTCAACTGGCCCGGACACCGCGGTACGGCCACAGCCCTCCCGCTCGCCGCATTCGGCCTCAGCGCCTTCTTCTTCTCGTGTCTATCCTCCTGGCTCTTTCCCGGCAACACGGACTCATTCCTCCTCATGCTGGCCATCGCTACGAGCGGCATCGTCGTAGTCGCATTCTTCTTCTGCCGCATTGTGCCGGTGCCGGGATCCTACGCCGCTGTCCCGAGTCACGACCCCGAGGCAGCCGCCAGCAGACTGCATCTCCACCGCACAAAGTCCGGAGAGAGCGGACACTCGGGACGGTACGCCGATGATGATTCGCTAGGTACAGCCCAAGACCATCCCCAACTGCCAGCCCTCATTGTCATTCCCAACCCCGACCCGATCCCGGACGAGGAGTCGTCGCTGTTTTCAAAATCCACATCGTCCTCGACATCGAGTGATGAGAACATCCGGGATGCCGAGAGTATTCGTAGTACTAGGGACGCACATAGTGACTCGGGTGTCGGTGTTGCTCACCATGTAGATATTCGAGGATGGGCGCTCGTGCGGAGCTCGGAATTTTGGTTGATATTTACCATGCTGGGAGCACTTACCGGAGTCGGGTTGATGACCATCAAGTGGGTTCTCTCGTTGGGATGGAGCGGGAGTGTGTGTGCTGATGAGAACAGCAACATCGGTCACAACGCGCAAGCCCTCTGGAACGTGTACGACCCCTCCAAAGGCGCTGATTTCGTCCAAGCCCGACAGTCACTGCACGTCTCGATCATCTCCATCGGATCTTGCACGGGGCGCATACTCAGCGGTTCGTCCCCTCCACCCTCTCCCCCAAATTCCACTCTAACTTGCGCAGGCATATCCTCCGACGTCCTGATCAGAAAGTTCGGCACGCAGCGCCTCTGGCTCATCATCTTCAGCTCGTTGCTCTTTTTCATCGCGCAACTCGCGGCATTGAACATCAGCAACCCCGTGCACCTCTGGGCAGTGTCCACCCTGACAGGGCTGGGGTACGGCTTCCTCTTCGGCGTGATGCCCACAATCGTCAGCGAGGCCTTCGGTGTCCACGGCCTGTCCACTAATTGGGGGACCATGACGATCGCCGCCGTCATCTCGGGGAACACGCTGAATCTGTTCTACGGCAAGGTGTTTGACGACCACAGTGTCCGCGACGACCAAGGACGCAGGTGGTGCAGCAGCGGATTGGAGTGCTATCGGAATGCGTATTGGATCTCTACCCTCGTGGTGATTCTGGGCTTTGCGGTTACTGTGGTAGGGTTGCTCAGGCACAGGGGCAGGGGGAAGGCGTGATTGATAGTGGGTGATTTCTTTGGATCTTGTTTTGGTTTTGTGCGCTTTTGGATAGATGGTGGGGTTTGCGATAGATGTGATACCATTGCTGTTATACTGGTTGATTTGGTTTACTACTGCGTACTTGTTTGTGTAGCTGGCGGAATAGAGAGAACATTAATTGCTTGCAAATACTGAAGGAATGGGGGAATACTAAAACTAATAGACTGTCCCCAAGACCAGACGAGTGACATCTCCTGCAACCTACGCCTTCCTCTCATCCAACTCATTCCCACCCTCCGGCTGCCCCTCGTCCTCCACCTCCTGCTGCCCCTCGTCCTCCACCTCCACCTTCCTCCCTCCCCCAATAATCACCCCCTTCTCCTCCGTCTCGACATCCCGCAGCTTCAAGCTCTTCATACACAGCGCCATCGGCCACAGCGGCGCACACACACACAGCGCGATGATCAGCAGCGTGCGCATCGTCTCATCGTAGGCCCTCCCAATGGCCACCCTCGTCTCCCCACCCATGGGGAACGCCTTCGCTACAGTAAAATCCCCAAAGATATTCTCCAGCATCCCCATGCTCTCCTCGGGGAGATACGCCACCAGCTTCGCATGCAGCAGGCGACTCCACACAGCGCCGCTCACGGCACTGCCCACCGCGCCGCCCAGCGACACCGTAGTCAGGAACACGGCGGTCGCGCACGCCACGTCTCCACTGCCCACACTCGCCTGGATCCCCAGCTGCGTGGGAACATTGATCAATCCACCACCCACCCCGACAAGGACCTGCACTATTACCACAGCCGCAGTACTCGCCTCCCTCGTGCGAAACCTCAGCATGAGGCCTATACCCGTTGTATACGCCGCCACCCCCACCAACAGAATCCGCTTATACTCTCCCACGCGCTTAATCACCGCACCTGCCCCCAGCACCGCAACCGTGCACGCAAACGAGAATATATGTACGATATGCCCCGCGGCGACGGGGCCATGATCGCGTGCCACAACCAGGTACGAAAAGAAGTAAGGCTGGACCGACAGGAAGAACGCAGCGAAGTAGAAGAGGCCGAGCGTGCACCCCGCCACCACCGTGCGGTTCTTGAACAGCTCCAGCGGCACGATGGGGTGCGGCGCGCGCGACTCCCACACGGGGAACAGCAGCAGCGCCACCCCGCCGATGACGAAGCAGGCGATGATCCCCGGCTGGTTCCAGCCGCTGCCGCCCTGTCGCAGCGTCAGCGGCGCCAGCAGCAGCGCGAACCCCGCGGTAAGCAGGAGCATCCCGCCCACGTCCAGCTCGGTGGCGAGGCGGCGCGCGCCCGCCCAGCACCCGCCGCCGCGCCACGGGTATGTGATGCGCGCGCCCGCCCGCCGCGCCTTCCGCTCGCTCGCCCACAAGCACCAGAATAGCGGCGCGGAGCACACGGGCGTGATGAGCGCCCACATGCCGTATGCCCAGCGCCAGGCGCCGCGCGTGGCGAGGGGCCCGCCGATCACGGGGCCGAGCCAGACGGTCGCGAGGAAGGGGACGTCTGGCAGCGAGCTCATCAGCGCGCGGTTTAGGAGGTCAGAGGTGTCTGCTATGAACACTTGCTGCAGCATCCGTAAGGATGTGTTGCCGGCCGCGTCGAAGACTTTGGCTAAAGTGTACGCGGCGATGGATCCGCTGCTTGCGGTCAGGGCTGCGCCGAGGATGTACAGTGTTATGGCGAGAGTGAACGCTTCGGTCCGCCCGAAGACGTCGGAGAACTTGGCGATGGGTGGCTGCATCACCGCGTTGAGGATGTTAGTTATTACGGCGACGGTGGAGAGCAGCGAGTGAGAGTTGAAGGACGACGTGGCGAAGGAGACGAGGTTGTTGGTCGTTTGCTGGTCCAAGGAGGTCGAGATGCACATCAGGAACATTCTGTCCCGTCTGCATCAGTACTGCACGGGAGGGAGGGGGGGGGGGGGGGGGGGGGGGGGGGGGGGGGGACTACCCAGCGTATGCTATCCAGAGCGACCGCCGAGTCCACGTCCTGCTGATGGCCTGGGCCTTGAGCACGCCGGCTTGGGGTTGCGGCCCACGCTCAGGGTCGGTGGGTGCCATTACTGATGAAGATGTTGGAGGATGGGAGCATTTGGTTTTGGTTTTGATTTAAGACTGTGAGGGCGGGGGCAGTGGGAAGTAGAGTTAAGCTTTCCTTGGGGACAGCTGGCTCTTGCAGCTTGACTTTTGCACATACTTCATGGCGTAGGTTAGAGTATTCTGACGATGGGCATGGTGTGTCACTCGTCAGGTCTGTGGCAGGGGGCCGATGGTGATGATGGACCATGGGGGAGACACTCAAGAGTCACCAGCAGGGACAGCGCCGAGTACCCTGCGTAGAATCCGAGAGGACTCTATCGATAGCTATGTAATCACTCGGACCATTCGATCCCACGGCTGGCCGTATCTATCTATCAACCAAACCATAGTATAATACGGAGGAGTGTACTCCACACATGTTGGGCTTTGGCATTGTTGGATGTACCATCATCATTCATGGCAGAGTCTGGTGACAGTAACATTGACGCAAAATCCAGGCCTTGCATAATGAAGGAATCCTCAGTTCATTCCACTCAACTCAGTAGTAATATAGCCTTAGAGCAGTCTCTTCTCCACACATTTCGAAGCGGTCAGAGCGAGCATCCAAACCGAGTGACGATTTGTACAAGGCTCCATTCCATCCTCTCTATCACGCAAGGGACGTCAGTCCTCCAGCTTACGAAGTCACGAAGTCTCCCATGTGTGTAATGTCATTCAAGCCTTGATATCGCTACTTCCACTCGCACTCCCACTCCCACTCCCCTCCCACTCCCACTCCCCTCCCCTTACATCACTCCAGCCACTCCAGTCACCCCAACCGCCACATTTATGCACGGTGATATACTGTACACACCACCATCCGATCCAAAGACAAATGAACCCCCAAACAAAGCAAAAAACGCACACTTCAAGCAGATGTTTTGTACAATACAGCAATAGATATCCCGCCCCCACCCCCGTCCGCCCCTCAAATCCACAAATCCACAAACTCCCTACCCAAAACAAAAAAAAAACACAAATGAAATCAAACAAATGAGAAGAAAATGAAAAACCCCTCAAACAAATGGAACAGGAGAGACAACCGGAACACCAAACCCCAAAGAAACACAGGAAACACAAGACAAGACAAATCGAGTAAACTTATTCTACGCAAACTCGCTCGGGCTCCCCTTCGCGCAAAAGCTGTGCCTCTGCTCGGCCCGCTCCCTCTCCTTCTCATTGTCATCGTCGCCCAATGATATTCCCAGGCCCAGTCCCGTCTGTTGCTGCCGACTCCGCCGTCGACGCTTCTCCATTGCACCCCAGTTGCCACCCGTGCTGCGGGGTACACTCTGCGATAGTCGGGTTACGACGGGGACATCGAGGCTTTCGACGACCGGCGAAGGAACCTTGGGCAGTGGCATGCTCGGTGGAGGATGCTTTGGCGCGCCGCGGGCGAGCTCGTTCTCCAGGGCACCCAGACTGCGGCGGCGGAGGGAGCGCGAGCGATAAGGGATGGTGATTGGGGGCGGGTGACCCGGCAGACCCGCTGCGGCGCTTACGCGGCGGGGAGAGATGGTGACCGGGGAGAGTGTCGAGACCGTTGGTAGCTGCGTGGCGGGTGAGGGTGCCGAGACGGTGGTGAGCAGTTCCGACGAGGACTTTGGCGTGCGGAGCTCGGACGTCGACTTTGGCGTGCGGTAGTGGTAGTTGGATTTCGACGGAGAGTCGAGCATGGATACGGGTCGCGGTTTTGTCGAAGGTGACGGCGTCGATTTCGGTGACGCGGTTTGGTACGGCGACATCGTCTGTATCGACACTGGACGCGGACGCCTTGCGCGTGGTGTCTGCGACTCCTCGAGCTGCTCGGACGAGATGACGGTGGTCAACGGTCGCGACGCACTGGGAACCGCAGGGACGGGAAGGATCGCCGAAGTCCGCGGTGTCCGGTAACTCGGCAGCGCGAATTTGTTGCTCGGTGAGGGCGTGCGCGGGATCCAGTAGAGGTTCCCGTCCTTATCGATAGCGCTGAGACCATGCGGGGGCAGCCGCAGTTCGATCGATGACCGCGATTGCGTCGACACTGCCTGCGACCGTCTCTTGTAGGAATTCCGACTGCTCTTCGTCGAGTATCGTTCGGGCGAAGTGTCCGGCGACATTTGCACAGTCATGACGCGCGTGGTGTCTCCACCAGAGTGTAGCGACAAACGCGAACCGCGCAGCTGATCCAGCACGATCTGATCGTGCGAGATGATTGATCTCTCCGCGTCCGTCGAGTTGCGACAGGTCGACGCGCGCTTCGACGCATTCTCGTCTGAAGACGACCACTCGGTCTTGGAGCTGTCGTCGCGGTTGATGACGATTCGCCTCGAGAACCTCGTATCGAATTCCTCAGCCTCCTTCTCGGCCTCAACTTCAACCTCCTGCTCAACCGCCGCGATCTCCAAATCCACCGACGTCCTGGGTATCTTCGGCAGTGGCTTGTCCTTCTTGACCAAGGGCTTCCCTCCCAGCCTCGCCGCCTCCATCCTCAGCGCGCCCATCCACCCATCCATATCCTCCGCCGACTCAAACACCAGGAGGATGGCCGAAACGCAATTGCGCATGGACCCCCAGAACGTGACTTTGGCGATGAACGCATTCCTCTTCTCTGGAACCAGCGCACCGCTTCCATCCTCTCCGGCACTGCTATAAACCTGGAGCACCCACGGTCTTCCTGGAATCGCATCGCTCGCGAATGCCAGTGAGCTCGCCGTCAACTGCAGCACCTTCTCGGGCAGCCGATCATCCATCCCTTCGCCTGAGTACTGCAGCAGAATTCCTGGCACCAGCACATACAACTTCTTCGTCCAGTCCAGATCCGCCGATTTCGTCGAGACGTGATGACGGTGAATCGCGCGACCGCGTCTCGAGCCGCCGCCGGCCTTCTCGACTTCCTGCTGTCGCAGGATCTTTTCGGACGAAAGCGTGCATGCCGGCAGCGACGATGTTTTGATGGCTTGGACGTATGCGACGCAGAGCGGGAATTGCTCTATCGTTCGAAAAGCGCTTGGCGGTGGTAATGGGTCGACGATCGGAACCGAGAGTTTCGCGGCTGGCACGATGGTTGAGGGTGTGTTAGGCACCGAGTTATGTCGTGTGTAGCGGTGGGTGGCGGTGCTAACGCTGTTGCTACTGCTGTTACTGCTGTCGCTCTTGTTGGTGGTGGTGTTGTTCAGCTTCGGCGACGACACGGGCTCTTCGACATCGATAGCGATGGTGAGTCTCGATTTATTTCTCGCTCCGAAGCGAGAAAAAAACGACGACATTTTTCTGCTGGGTTTTGGGTGTTGCTGCAGGTCGTAGTCGTCAGTGTGGGTGTAGTTGTGGTTGTGGTTGTGGTTGTGGCTGTGGTGGTTGTGGTGGTGGTAGTGGTGCTGATCCTTCTGCTGCTGCTGGTGCGCTTGCTTATGATGTTTCTGCTTCTGCTTCTGCTTCGGAGTGTTCGGTACTACCGGGCTCGAACCGTCGAAGAGATTTAGCTGGGTTGGATCTGCGCTCTTGGAGGTAGTGAGCGGCGACCAGTTGGACAAAGACACCGAAGCTCTTTTTTTCGGGGTCAGGGTGAGGGCGGCGGCAGCGTAGTAGCCGTCTAGTGATGCACGGATTCCGGAGTTTCTGGGGCCATGATCACGGTCACTCGTGAACACCATAACGGAGGGGGAGGGGGGGGGGGGGGGGGGGGGGGTGCGAGTATGTCGCGCGTGGGGTGTGGTGGTCAGTATATATATAAATCGTATATATATACTATGGAAATCGCTACGAGAAGGCACCGGACGTATATGGGTTAGGGGGGTGAGGAGTGCCAGTGTGCTTGCCTACGCCTATGCCTATGCCGGTGGGTGCCTATCCGTGTGCAGTGCGTGTGCACGACGGGAAAGGGAAAAGCTGGGGAATGGCGGCGGCGGCGTGGTCGCGGCGGGCGGGTGGGTTGGGATTGTGTTGGTGGTTCGGTCGTATCGCAGATTGGGCGGTAGAGCAAATGACAGCTGCAGAATAGTCGAGTGGTGACAGGTGGTAGTGGGTCCGAGTCTGTTGGTGCGCTCCAGCGAACAGTGGAGGAGGGTGTGGATCGGAACGGATTGGATTGGACGGCGGGAGGGGGGGCGAGGGTGGATGTCGAACCGAATTGTCCGTAACCGCCGGGGCTTCCGAGTTGAAAACTGTGAAGGAAGTTGGTATGTTGTGTGTTCTAAAGGGTGTTGTTGTTGTTGGGTGGTGACGGGGCCAGCCAGCCAGGCAGGCACAACAGAGACGGGACCAGTTCGGCGGTGACGAAAGACAAGACACGACAAGACAAGGCCAGGCAAGACCAGGCCAGACAGTGCGGGCAAAAGAGGGCGTTTTTTGCCGGAGAAACAAGCGAAGCGCCGGGGAGGGATGGGGGTGGAGGGAGGGGTGCTGAAGAACAACCGGCGGCCGGATCTAGGGAGTTTTTCGATATGCGGGTATATATGTAGAGTGAGTATGGGAGGACTTGTGTGGATGTTATGCGGGGTGCTTGCTGCTACTGCTGATGCTTAGATGGTATACATATGTGCGTGATTGTGCAGCAAGAACGAGCGTGGATGCAATGAAGGCGGCGGCTGGGCTGGGCTCAATGTGGGAGGAGGAGGAGGATGAGGATGAGGATGAGGTGGCGAAGTGAGGGCGAAGGTGAAGAGTGAGCAGCGAGCGAGTGAGCGAGTGAGCGAGTGAAGGGGAGTCTACTGTGCTCTGCCCAAGTATACTCGCGGTAGGAACGATGGTGGTCGTGAAGACCTGGCAAAATGTGGTGATGATTACGGGGAGGGGAGGGAGGGGGCTAATGATGCTGGTAATGTGTAGAGGACGGTATGTATGGTGACGATGATGACTGATAGAGTAGGGAAGATGAGAAGGGAAGGTGAAGGAACGGACGACTCAACGACTGAGCGGGTGAATGGCTGATCGATTGACTGAGACTGAAGGAGTGAATGGGGATGGTGCAGAGTGAATGGGGGAACGAGTGAACGAGTGGCCGAGTTGGAGGAGTGGCCGAGTTGGAGGAGTGAGCGGCAGTGGCAGAGGCCGTGGCCGTGACAGTGACAGCGGCAGTGGCAGCAGAAGATGTGAGGGTTGACCAGGCAGCCGGGGATAAGGCAGGCGGGTGGGGGGCGGTGATAGAGCTCGATTGTCCTCGAGGAGGATGAGTAGAGTAGAGCAGAACGGGGGGAGGGACGTGAGAGCAGGAGGGGGATAGGGAAGCGGAGGGAGTGAGACTATCTACAAGGCAAAGTAAGGGAGGATGGGCAGAGGCGGAGGCGGAGGGGAGAAAGACTGAAGTGGACGTTTGGCCCGGGCCAGGCCACGACGTCTCCCCTCCCTCCCAGAGATCAATCGAGCCAGACCTCTCTCTCGCTCCAGCACTCTTCACAAACAGACGCAACAACACCATCGATCCGACCATTGGTGTCCATCCAGCCGTCAATCGTTGCCTTCTGTTCCTCTTGGCTGTTTGCCGTCGCCCGCCCTCCGAGTTTTTACTTCTTTTCCTTCGTTTTCGCTTCGGCCATCTGCCGTCGCGTGCACTCCAAGGTTTCCAGCTGGTCACGACTCACGAACAGATCCAACATCGATCCGACCATATCTAATATTGCTGCCCGCCCAGCCGTCACTCGCTGCCTTCTTTCGGTGCGGACATCTGCCTTTGCGTGCCCTGCTGCCTCCTGTCTTCTGCCTACTATCTCCTGCCCTTCTGCCTACTATCTCCTGCCCTCCTTCCTCCCAGCTGAGTAGAGCACCTGTTCCAGCTCCTCAACATAAGTTCATAAGCCGCGCCCATCTCGTCACCCTCCCCCCTTCCGACCCAAACAAGACCAAACCACACAAACCGAACCACACCAGCTCAGCTCAGCCCACCAACCCCAACCCCAAACAACAACCCCCAAACCCCAAACCCCAAACCCCAAAGCCCTTCTTCTTCTTTGTCGTCGTCGCCGCCGGAGCAAGAGCAAGAGCAAGGAATAGAATACTCTAGTTTGGTTAGCTGCACCAACAGGATGAACTTTCTGGGACCGCCTAACCTGCTGAGGCCTCGCACCAACCCCACGCAAGTTAACCATATACAACCCAAGCCGTGCACGGTCCCGTTTCGAGCGAAGTCAACTTGGAAGGGAAGGGCACCAGCTTCTCTCCAGTCGCGATCCACTTCCGTTTCCGTTCCAGTCCCAGCGAAAAAGCAGCAGCAGCAAACATGTCTGTCTGGATTCTGCATCCGTGCCCACACACGTGCCGGCTATTCCGGGCGTAGTTAGTTGGTACAAGGGGGGGGAGTCTGGTTTCATCTGGACCAACACGGACGGCGCACTACGGACGACGATGGACGGCGGACCATGGACCATGGACGGGACTCTTCTGCACGCTGGATCGGGCCGTGGCCGTTGCTGTCGTCGTTGTTGCGGACGGCTGTGGACGGCTGTGGCACAGCTTCCTCTCTCTTCACGCTTCACTGTCCCCGTCCCATCCCCAGCCCGTGGGAGATTCGGATTCAGCACAATTCCTCTGCTCTGCTCTGTGATGCCGTAGTGACATTCCCGCCCGCCCGTCCCGCCGCATTTAGTGCCTAACTGTCCAAATATGTGTGTGTGGACGTCGCTTCCTCCGAATCCGACCTCGCCCGTCCCTGTTCCTGAGACATTTGTTTTTTTCCCTTTCCTTTTCCTTTTCTTCATGGCTGTCAAAAAGCAAGTGGCATACAGACAGACAGGACAGGACAGGACAGGACAGGACAGAAGTGGGCGGATAGCAAAGTGGGTGGGTGGACCGTGGTGTGGACCGTGGTGTGGTGGTGGTGGTGGTGGTGGTGGTGGTGGTGGTGGTGGTGGTGGTGGTGGTGGTGTGGTGGTGGTGTCCGTGTCCAACATCGAGCACCCCCTCCCACCCCACCCCACCAACAAACCCAACCCACTCCCACACTCCCTCACTCCTTCCCTGGCGCCCGCACGCGCAGAGAGCAGAGAGCACAAGGCAAGGCGTTGCCTGTCCAGGGTGCGAATAATGCACGTACCGCACTCTACTTTGTAAAGGTAAGCTGATGCCTACCTCTCTATCCACTTCATGCATGCACGCATAATTCTCTGCGACTTTTCTACATCTTTGCCACTCACTCTCTTCACCGCTCTACACACATATCATAGCAGCAGCAAGAAACGAACGGCCCCAATCCAACAGAAACGGAAACGGAAACGGAAACAAAACTACCTAGAAGAAACAACCCCAAAAAACCCACGAGAAACCCCCGCTCCCACACTCCCTCGCTCGCACGCACGCCGCAGAGTACGCACAGACTACTTTTTGAATGATTGAATGATATCACAGCCCCCCCCCTCACCCTCCCAATCATAATCATAACTTGTTGGGAGTGGGAAGTGGGCAGTGGGCAGTGGGACTGGTATGTAGTGGGAGTGCGAGTGGGAGTGGTAGTGGAACTGGAAGAGAGCCGAGAAACTGGTCGTGGTCATGGCCATGGTCGTAGTTACCGTAAGTGAGTAGAGTATAGTAGAGGAGTAGAGTGTGTAGGGTACGTGCGTGGTTCCAGTGAGCTCTCTCCCTCTCCCTCTCCATCTCCCTCCCTTTGTCTCTGTGTCTCTCCCTCAGTCCCTCTCCCTCGCCCTCTATGTATATCTCTCCCACTCCCGAGCTCTCGAGCTTTGGCTATCGGCGCCCCAATACCGTATCTCCGGACGCGGTATTAGAATTTGTGGAATTTGGGGGCGACGCCGACCGGCCGAGCACTGGTCATACCCATGCCATGCCTGGAAAGCCTGGAAAGCCATGATGAGGGAGTCCCAGAGTCCCAGAGACGGAATACCGGGACATCTGGGCGCGCGGGACGGGGGGCGTGCGGCGTAGCATTTACATCATTTATAGATATACCAGAGTAGGTAGAAAGGCAGACGCTATGGCCGTTCCCAATCTCTACAGGTGCTGATCCGTGGTTCTGGTGCGGGTTCTGGTGCTGGTGGTGCTGGTGGTGTTGCTGCTGGTGCCAACGGGGACCGGGTCGGGGGTCGGGGGGGGGGGGGGGGGGGGGGGGGGGTGACGGGGGATATCTAGGAGGGGGGTGGGATTGATGGGATTGGGGTCAGTCGCGATGGATGCGGTAGGAGGGTATGGTAGGTGGGTATCGATATGATACCGGTAGGCACTCATGTCACGATAGTTGGGATGGGTGCCTATCATACCATGCCATACATAGCATGTCGTAAAGAGCACTGGGCGCCTTGCTGTCTTGCTGTCCCCGTCGCCTTCGCCTTCGCCGCCGTTTGTTAACGATGGCGACGATGGCTTCGACGGGAGTTGGCATCGCAGCTTCATGCGAACCACGTCGCCGAATTCTCCACGTAGGTGTGTAGAGTATGTAGAGTAGGAGGTCAAGCGAAGACGCATGACACGCCGTACTGGAAGCGTCGTTTCGAATCCGTTTGACTGGCTGTACCACTAGTAAGAAGTAGCTAACCTTTAGCGATATCCAGACTCCAGAGGGAGAGAGGGACAGAGAGAAAAGAATTGTGGTCGTGGTCGCATACGGCCAAGTTAGCTGCTAGAGTAATTAGCGATATCCAGCCCCTGCCCCTGACGCTTTTGAGCGTCGAGTTCTGCGCAGCGTTTCCGGGTGAGTTTCCATGCAGCTCGCACGCAGCTCACGTGCCTCGTACTCTAGTTAGGGCAAGGATTTCGCAGTCCCACACAACCGGAAGACGCACACAACGCAACTTGACTTTTTACAATCGTGCACACAGCGCGATCACGCCCTCCGATCCCCGACGACAACGACAACGAACTTCCGCCCGCCAACCCTCCCTTTCGCCCACGCAAACCTCGTCGACAAACCTGCACCTCTCCCTCCAACCGGTAAGTTCGCCTCGCCTCGAAACCCGAGCTTTTTGAATCCCCCTTACCTTTTCTCCCATCTCGTCCGATGGCCCGGACTATGATCGCAAGAGAAAAGAAAGGGCTTCGGACACTCAAAATGGCTCGACTGACGTAAACCCCCACCCGGGGAGCAAAGCAAACATGGTCAAGACTTCCGTCCTCAACGATTGCTTGAACGCCATCAACAACGCCGAGAAGGCCGGGAAGAGACAGGTCCTCATTCGCCCGTCGTCGAAGGTCATCGTCAAGTTCTTGCACGTTATGCAGAAGCACGGTACGATGGATTGTGGGGGGCGAGGGTGCAGGGGATGGATGCGGGATGGAAGGATGTGCAGTGTGTGTGTGCGGACAGCGCTCGCGCGCCCCGGGTTGATAACTAGACGAGCGTTTCGATCCCACGACGTTAGTCCTTTAAGTATCCGGCACATTGAACACCACACACGCACTGGCTTCCACACGTCTCCATCCACCTTCTTGGGCCCTCGCTCTGGTAGACACCGGGAGCCACACGCTGACACTTCATACCAGGTTACATCGGCGAGTTCGAGGAGGTCGACGACCACCGCTCCGGCAAGATCGTGATCCAGCTTAACGGCCGCATCAACAAGACCGGCTGCATCAGCCCGCGCTACAACGTCAAGCTCGGCGACCTCGAGAAGTGGGTTGCCAAGCTCCTGCCGTCGCGTCAGTTCGGCCACATCGTCCTGACCACCTCTGCGGGTATCATGGACCACGAGGAGGCCCGTCGCAAGCACGTTGCCGGAAAGATCATTGGATTGTATGTTCTCCGCGCTCCTCGAACGAGTGAGATGGGATAAGTGCTAACGGATACCACAGCTTCTACTAGATGTTTTTCGCTAGATAGTCGAGTTTAATAATAAAAAAAGGATCGGCGTTGGTCTGCTTTGGTTTCAATGGGCGTGAATTGAGCGTGTTTCGGTGTATCTTTAATAAATGCCATTTCTCGGGTTCCTTCACGATGGGATTTCTTCTTTTTCCAAACTCAATTCGAATTGACTTTTGCAAAAGTCACCAACTTTATAAAAGACAAGTGACCGGCTGTGATTATATCGATTGCGCGCCGTGCGAGTACCCTCTCATGTGAAGTTGTTGGATATATTTCGTCCCACCGTTCCCATACCATCACCGTTCATACATAAAGCCATTAGAATAACAAACAAAACAAACCCATAACCCAGCACGCAGCAAAAGAAAACCGATCGTAAAGTTACACGCGCCCCCATATATACATCCACATGCCCTCACACATCCACGCCCTCAAAACCATCCAAAACTCCCATCAAACGCCTCCTCAAACACCATTTTATCCGCATCGAGCAGATCCTCATCGTCAAGGATATCATCATCATAGACCTCCTCCTCCTCCTCCTCCTCCTCCTCCTCAGGCGTCCCCCGGATCTCCCTCAGCGTCGGCACCCGTCCCTCCCTGAACCCATCCAGCAGCGCCTCCATCTCCGGTTCCGCCATCTGACACAGGTCCGCGAGCGACCACTCCTCGCAGACCCTCGACATCCACTCCATCCTTTTCGGGCCCTCCTCCTGGCTCGTCGCAATCTTCCTTAGCCGCTTCCTGAGCACGCCGACGCGCGTAATCGCCTCGCCGAGGTTGTCGGGCAGCTCCTTCGCGATCTGCCGGCGCACGATATTCGCCAGCTTCGGCCCGTTGCCGTTGGTCGACACCATGACCTGCAAGGGCCCGTCACGGTGCACGCTGCCGAAATAGAAGTCGCACTCCGGCGGGACGTCGGCGACGTTCACTGGTATGCGCAGCGAGTGGCACAGCGTGTAGATCTCGCTTGATACCCGGGGGTCGTCGATGGCCGTCAGGACGAGTGTCGGCGAGAGGCTGTGGATGAACGACGGGGCGTACTCGCTGTCGTGGTGTGTCAACGAGCTGGAAGGGCACGTGCGGATCCGGTGGAGCACCTCAGCGTTGCAGCCCGAGAGGGGGCACACCAGGTGCACGTGCGCGTCGGCGTTGAGAAGGCTGAGGATGCGCCCGGCGGCGACGGCGCCGCCGCCGATTACGAGGACCGGCTTGGACCGCACTTGATACGCGACTAGGAGCGAGCCGCCGGATTGCACGGGCGGGAAATTGTGTGCAGTGGTGGGCGGGATCGGTGTGGTTGAGGGGGATGGCGTGGGCAAGGCTTTGGGCGTCGGCGGTGGCGACATCGCGGGTGTCGGTCTCGTGGTGGTGGTGGTGGGACTGGACATGGTTTGTGGGGGGGAGTGGGCGGGGACAGTACGGGCAGAAGCGCGTGCGGAGTGGTGGATGGGGTTGTAGTTGTGGTGGCGGTGGGCGCGGAGGGGGGTGGTGAAGAGCTTTCTGGTGCGGTGCGCGGTGGTGAGGGAGGAGAAGAAGTAGTGTTGTAGTGGTGGTGGTGCAGGTGGTGGTCGCATATCTTCGGGTCGGGTCTAGGTACCGCCAGCAGCAGCAGCAAGCACGCGAGAGCGCCAAGCAATGCAACGCTCTGCACTCTGCGCAGACTTTCTCCGAGGCAGTGGGCGGAAAAGACACCGGGACTCGATCTTGTGACAATCGGGATGAGCAAAGAACTTGCGCGATGTTTATCAGAAACGACGGATACCCCACGTTTGTCATCAAAGAACGGGGAATGCAGTTGGTAATAAATATGTGCTCAGCTCCACATTGCTGCAGACGACTCTTTCGTTTGGACAATTTGACTTTGAGTCGGTCACGACAGCTGCCTGAAGGTGCTGTGCATGTGCGGGGGACCAGCAGAACATGTGAAGCATCGCATAGATCTGTGCTTAGGCCGTTGCATAAAGCTCTGCTCTCCTCTGCTCTGTCTGCACGCTGACTACGCGTCCGCTCAGCTGATTACTTCATCAATCTATGATGTGCTTCTGAATTTACCGCATCGAGTAGTGTGCCAGTGCGAGCAAGCAAGATCCATAGCTCTCTCATCAGCCGTGAGCGCGAGCAAGCAAGCTCCGTCAACCCCCGTACCCAACCCCAACACCACCGACTGCTTGCTTGCCGAGAACACGACAGACAGATAGACCGACCGACAGACAATGGCCTCCCCGCGTCCATCGCCGCCATCGCATCTTCACCCTCACCCCAAGCAGATCCCACGCGTCACCCGCCGAGTGCTTGGCAGCTCCAACCCCTCGTCGTCACTGCAAGCTTCCAACCGAAATGCCTCCAACGGCGGCCGCCTCTCGCCCTCCGCCTCGGAGGTGTCGCTCACCGCCACGTCCGAAATCTCGCGAGGGTCGGCGCTCGTCTGTCCTATTTGCTCGGAGGAGATGGTAGATACCCGTCGTGCATTGTGCGTCGCCGTGCGTGGGCCATGCTAACGGCGGAGACAGGTCACGCTCCTGCAGCTGAACCGCCACCTCGACGATACGCACGCCGAAGTCGAATCGCTGGAAAAAGACGACATCACCACGTGGTTCCGCAAGCGCATGCTGAAAGCCAAAGCGTTCCAGCCGGTCGCAGTGCTGAACCAGAAGCTGAAGGGCCTCGACGTCTTCGAGGCGAACGACCTCCCCGGTGACCCGCAGCAGGGCTACCAGCAGCCACACCAGCAGCAGCAGCAGCAGCGCGACGCGGACTTCCACGTCACCCGCGCTCACTGGCAGAAGTCCTACGGCGATGATTTCTGTCTCGACCCGACTTGTCAGCGCCCGTTGGGCGTCGTCAATGGTTGTGTCAATTGTAGGAAGTGTGGGAAGCTCTTTTGTGAGGAGCATACGATGTATCAGATCCGGCTCAGCAGGAGTGCGCAGCATGAGCCGGTGAGGGGGTATTGGAGTAGGGTCTGCGAGACTTGCTACAAGAGTCGAGAGGGGTATAATGATCATCATGGTGTTGTCAGGGATCATACCGAGATGTTCCGGAATGCCAGGAAGAGGACGGTTGAGAGGTCGTGCTTGGAGGTTTCGAGGCTGGAGAAGAGATTGACGAAGGTTTGTTTGTTCACTGGTTTCATGCTGGGTCAAGTGCTGACTGGTTGCAGCTCACACAGCTCCTCATCAACCCCCCACCGGCGACCATCACAGCCAACGGCGACAAAGCGAGCGTCATCCGCGGCCTTACAAAGCCACTAATAAACCAGCGACGAGCCCTCGAGCAGAGCGTGGTAGCTTGGGAAGACGACGCCGCCGTCGCCGCCTGTCCCTACTGCCTCCAAACCTTCTCGCGCTTCACGCTTCCCAAGCACCACTGCCGTCTCTGCGGCAAAATAGTCTGCGGCGACCACCGCACCTTCTGCTCGAAGGAGATCACGCTCGACGTCGCCCCATCCACGGCCGAAAAGCCGCTCTCCACCCCCGACGGCCCAGTCCTCCACGTACGAATGTGCACGCCCTGCGCCACCACACTCTTCAGCAAACGCGACTTCGCCGCCTCGCTCTCCACAACACCCTCCTACGTGCGCCCCTACACCACACTCGTCTCCTTCCAAAACGGGATCAAAGAGCAACTCCCACGGTTCCAACGGCTCGTTGATAGCCTACAGCGGCGGCCGGGTGACCGCGTCGCCGTCGTCGAGGCCGTGCGCATGAAGAAGCGCGTGGTCGAAACCCTTGGGAAGGTGGACGCGCTGGCGAAACAGATCGCGGGGCAACCCGCCGCACAGGGGAGCGCGGAGGAACGCCTGAGAAAGTCGATCGCCCTCGCCACCGCAAATTGGGGCCGCGACGTCGGCCTCCGCGTTAAGTCCGCCGCTATGATGCTCGATCGCGTCGTCGATAGCACACGCCCTTCGGCCGCGGCGGAGATCGCGCAGCGCACGGGAAGAGCCCCGCCGAATATGGCGAAACCGCTACCCACCCCGAACCACACTCCAGCCCCCGCCCGAACGGTGGAAGAGGGGGAGAACGACGAGGACAACCAGCGAAGGGATGTGGTCGTCGTGCTGGAGGAGCAGAAGTTCCTTGTCCTTGCGATGATGGAGGAGGCGAAGAAGCGAAGAAGGTTCGATGAGGTCGAGGCGCTCAGTAGGAGTCTCGACGAGATTGAGGACGAGATTGGGAAGCTTGGGGGTGGGGTGTTAGGGGTGTAACTGGGTGGGTCAGTACTCCAAGGATAGGAGGGGAGGTAATGGGGGACCCAGGTAGCTAGGATGGGGATGAGGATGGGGAAAGAGAAGGGAGGGAAGGAGGAGGGGAGGTGTGCATATCGTCTTTTGAGCATTTTGGGGTGGCGTTTGGGTATACTTTTGTGGCGAGTTTGGGATAGAATTCTGTTTTGTTGCATGGTGGTCACTCGGCGATTGCCTGGGTACCTAATGTACCTGGTGGTGGAGTATCAATCAAGCTATGAGTTGTCTATCAGAGTCTTGCTACGGTGATGGGATGAATGGACATTGTACTATGGTTGCGGGATCTCGTCAATCACGATCGACATACGCTACCAGGCCTACCAGACGGCTGGTAGAGTAGGTTGGTGGGTGAGTATCTAGATGGAAGGATGGAAGGATGGAAGGATGGGAAAGCAACATCTCCAGTCTATTCTCCGATCCCTTCTCTTCCCCAAATTCCTGCCTCCGTCTCCGTCTCCACGAATGCTATCCTCCACTTCCCACCCGCGATACTTCTTCAAACTCGAGCCCTCCTTAACCCTTCAGGAGAGTCTATGCACCCTTTCAGCAATAAAAAGTGTGGACAGCCACCTGTTATCTACTACTTCCATAGCCCATAGTCCAAGCACGCAGACAGAGTGTCAGTACGTGGCGCCGCGAATCAAGCCCGTCCCTGGTCACGTGACTAGGTGAAATGAGGACGTGTCAAGGAGTCTAATAGATACCACGAGCACTCTACTCCAGAATCGCATACTCTACCTACTCTACCTGTGGTGCGGGATCCGGTTTCAAGTGGTCAACGGGTGTCGAGTATGATATGTATGTAGGATAGGTATGATATGCTACGTATGATATGCAGGACTGCAGGCTTCGAGAAGGAGTTGACGGGTGGGGAGGGGGGAGGCCCTGAGGGCAACTGCCGGGAAACGTGTCGAACAGTAGGTAGAGTAGAGTACATTGGCGTCTGACGGTTGCTGCTGCTGCTGCTATCGCAGAGTATGTATGAGTAGAGTGTTCACCGGTTCCAATCCTGGCTGCTGAATGGATGGACGGGATCCTGACGGGATCGAGAGGTGATTTCGACAGCCCTATTGCGTCGGTAAACCTTGGGGGGACGTCGATTAACGGCTGGCTGGTTGTATGGTTGTATAGTAGGCATAGCATAGGCGATTGCGTTTGGGAAGCGAAGTGAATGGGGATGGAGGTGGTGGTGGAGGTTGTCGCGAAGATGGAGGATCGGCTGGATTCTTCAGGTTTCTCTGCCTGTTTCTATTCCGCTTCATTTTCCTACTCCTCTTCTTCCCCGACTCTCGTCTCCCCATTGCTGTCTGCACCGCGACAATCGCCTTCGTCTTCAGCTTCACCACACCCCAGCAGCGTAGTCGAGTGGAAGCTATCCTAGAAGAAGGTGGTGGTTCAGCCAGCCAGCCAGCCCCTTAACGGTTTCGCTACTCTACAGCAGAGTAGAGTAAAGCACAGCACAGTCCCCCTCCCAAGCAATAATCAATCAATTACCTCCTTCCTTCACGGCCCACTCTCTTTCTCAGTCCTGTCCTGTCTTGTCCGTCGTCGCCGTCCTTGTCCCTTTCTCCATCCCTCCTCACTCCCTTCCCTTCGATCTCTCACCCGTCCTGCCTCGGAGCCACAGCAGCCAGCAGCTTTCATTCACTCTCCTTCGCACGCCCATACCCTGTCCACCACCACCACCACCACACTACCATCCGCCGTCCATCATCCATCGCACCCGCCACTACTCCCTCCCACCACCACCCACCACCCACCACCACTTCCGGCGTCCACGCTTCGCCTGCCATTTCTCCCACCATATATATCGCCGTCAGCACGACGATACCGCGACGAGTACCGACTATAGCACCCCATCGCCGTCGTCATCTTCACCCCGCCCGCCCACCTCGATCGGCCCATCCCTCCCACGTTCCCCTCCTCACACGATAACCGCAGCACGTCAGCATTCGGACGGTTCCTCGGAAAGACCAGCCTACGTATCCGTCACCTGCTCTTCTCCGAAACCTACTTCGCAACTCCGGACTATCTCTCTCCCATAGAAACCACAAGTATACGACGACAGCATAGCATAGGGAACCGTACGGATCTCCGCCCATCCATCTCCGTGCGCTCACGCACCCGATCGAACCGCTTCTTCTCTTCTCTACAGCAACTTTAGATAGCTTAACCAATATTGGTTTCTTTTTTTTTAGCCTTTTATTTACTTTTTATCGAGAGATACTACATATTGCGGCTCTTTTTAACCCATCCACCCGGCGATCATAAGTGTTCTTCCATAAAGGTGAGAGAGCTCTCTTTTGTGCTGCACTGCAGTCCCGCTTGTCTTTGCAGATTAACCTTCGCACTCTGTCGTTCTATCGTTCTATCGCTCTGTCACTCTGTCACTCTGTCACTCTGTCACTCTGTCACTCTGTCACTCTGTCACTCTGTCACTCTGTCACTCTGTCACTCTGTCACTCTGTCACTCTGTCACTCTGTCACTCTGTCACTCTGTCACTCTGTCACTCTGTCACTCTGTCACTCTGTCACTCTGTCACTCTGTCACTCCACTCCTATGCACACATTTCCTTGCACGCTACCACCTCGCGTTTTGTCACGGGTCGCGATGGCATTTCATGGCTACGCGTCGAGGAGTAGCGGGCGACAGCAAGACTCGTCGCGTCCTCCCCGCCTTGCCCTCCCCACGACTTGCTCTGTACTACCTTTCCCACTTCATCTCTCCTCCTCATCCCCTTCTTCCCCTCCACCTTCAACCTTCCATTGTTTCAATACGCCTCTATCTATACTACCACACCCTTCAATCATCCATTGTCTCAATACACCTACACTATCACACCCGACTCACATTTTCCCCAATCCCAATCCCCATCTACTCTATTCATCATGAAGCTCAAGGAGTATGCCTCTACCGTGCGTTTGAGTATGCTCGGAGCATTCTCTGCTGCACAGAAGCTGACATGGGTGCTTGCGGCATCGATAGACTCGCCACTCGTCCTCTCCATACGAGGTACCCCCGCCACCGCAGAGATCCGCTGCTCCCACCGGTCCGCGACTGTGCAATCGTCCATAATCTTCCCGAACGGCCAAACGATATGGTGGTTGCTACAATCAAGTGCGTTTGAGATGCCCCTCGTTTCGTACTGCGACGCTGCCATGCACATGGCGCCCATCTGGCGTTCTCGCGCTGACTGGTGGTCTCTATTGCAGGTGTGTCGTTGTCGGAGACGGAGCTGTTGGCAAGACTTGTCTGCTCATTTCGTACACTACGAATAAGTTTCCCAGCGAGTATGTTCCTACGGTCTTTGACAACTACGCCGTCACTGTTATGTAAGACTCCCCCGACTTCCCGCTGTCTATTCTCGTGAAGCCGGCAACGCGTTCGGTTGTCGCACTGGTGCTGGTTGCGCGACGATCAATTGGCTCGTCTAGCCGCTGTGCAGATGCCAAGCAGCACCATGCGGTGTTGTTTCAGTATCCCACGTTGTGTTGTGGCACGCGCTGAGAATCGACCGCGCGCAAACCTTGGAGTATTAGAGTATTGGCTAATTGTCGTAGGATCGGTGACGAGCCATACACGCTTGGACTGTTTGATACCGCTGGACAGGAGGATTACGACCGTCTTCGTCCCCTGAGCTACCCCCAGACCGACGTCTTTCTGATCTGTTTCTCGGTCAATTCGCCCGCGAGTTTCGAGAACGTTAAGGTACCTCATCTGTTGGTTATCTATTGGTGTTGGGCTTGTTTCTGACGTGGGTGATCGCCGTGTAGGAAAAATGGCTTCCCGAGGTTAGGCACCATTGTCCTGGGGTTCCCTGCCTCATCGTGGGCACCCAGATCGATTTGCGCGATGACCCTGCTGTTATCGAGAAGCTGGCGAAACAGCGTCAGCAGCCCATCTCCCCCAAGCAGGGTGAAAACCTCGCCAAGGATCTCAATGCGGTGAAGTGAGAGGTTCCCGATCGACTCGAGGTTTTGTTTGCATGCTAATCAGAGGGTGCAGGTATGTCGAGTGTTCTGCTTTGACGCAGAGAGGCCTTAAGAATGTCTTCGACGAGGCTATTGTGGCCGCATTGGAACCGCCAGCGGATAAGAAGAAGAAGAAGTGTGTCTTTTTGTAAGGTGGGTATCTTTACAACGATGGCAGGCTTCCAAGCGTGTGTTGACGAGTCTGTAGCAATCACGACTTGAGATGTCCTCCTATACTCCGGGATCGAGACGATCATTGAAGGAATGACACCTCGGTATGCATGGCTACGGTTTGCTCGTCGGTGTCGTTCGGTCCATTCTCCTTTCTACTTCATCGTTGTTTCGCTACAGGCTAGGGGGTTGCTTTTCTGTACTCGTCTTTTCGTCTTGTAATGGGGGCTCGCTTCGCTTCAATTCTTGTGTAGCATTTGTTTCCGTTCTTGTGCTCTTCAAGTTTTCTTCTTCTCCCTTCCCGTACTGTTGAAGATTTCCCGTCTTTGGTTATTATTTTTTTCTTTGAGGGATGGGATGTGTGATGTATTTTTTCTTCTTTCCCTTTTCCTGTTCTTTCTTGGATGTTTGTTCTCTTTTTTTTCTTTCGTTTTCTTTGGATGATGCTCTGGAGATTGGAGCGATTTGAGTTGCCAGGCGAGTAGTGTGGAATGTGAGGAATGATGTGATCTACGACTGCTACCGCTGGTGAGTGATGCTTCGTGAACCGTGATACGTGAAGAAGCGCAGAAGGGGCGCGGGATGGATGTTTCGATATCTGAGTTTGATTTGAGGGTTCTTGCTATTTGCGGCGGGGTAGGAGGTACGTAAGCACGTAGATTGTCGTTCTGCGACTTGGAAAAGTAAAAAAAGGGAACGATAGGATATTAGGATGTGGGGTAGTACGGAACTCTAGCAGCGCGGGTTTCTATTCTTAGATCCAGCGCTTGCTTGCAGTTGTGAAGAGGAGGAAGGGAGGGGCGCGCGGAGGGGGGGAGGGGGACAAGCAAGTAGGAGGAGGAAGGAAGGAAGGGAGACCTGAGACCTGAGTCCGCATATCGTCGTTCGTCGCCGTTAAGAAAGAGCTGTCGCGATACTCTATCGATATTTGGCCCAACACATCAATCCACGCTCGCAAACAGCAGCACAGTGCACACCACAATGTCGCCTCCTCCACCTCGCTCGCCCGATCCCCCGCACCCGCATCCGCACGGGATCCGTCCCCCGCCACCACCACCACCACCACCACCACCACCAGCACAACAACCACCACAACCACCACCACCACCACCAGCACAACAACCACCACAACCACCACCACTAACACCATCACTCCTTCGCCTCCCCCCCGACCTCCTCACAGCGATCGCGCACTCCCTGCGGCCCCCGCACCTCCTCGCTTTCCTCCTGACGTGCCGGCGGCTACACCGCCTTTTACGACCCACGTACCACACGCTCTCGGCCTCTCACCCCGCCGCGCTCCTCTCCGCGACTCTCCGCCTCAACGTGCCGCTTACGACCTCCCTCCTCACTGCCGGCGCCCCGCCAGACACCGCCGATGCGCACGGGATCTCATGCTTGGAGCACGCCGCGCGCGCCGGCAGCGTGGCGCTAGTAGTGGCGCTGATCTCCGCGGGCGCCACGGTGGCCGCACGGAAGGGCGGCCGGCAGTTCCCGCTATTCTCGCCGCTGGATCTAGCCGCGAAGGGCGGGCACACCGAGGTCATGGGTGTGCTCGCGCAGGAGCTCGCGCGGCGGTATGATAAGAATGAGGTTGAGGAGGCGATAGGGAGGGCGCTGGTCCTGGCGGTGAGTGAGAGGAGGGAAGCGGCGGTGGAGTGGGTGCTTAGGTGGGGGGGGAGGGTGGGGAAGGAGCGATTGGGCGAGGCGCTGCATAAAGCTGTGGCGATTAATGCGGTCGGGGTTATGGCGCTGTTGGTGGGCGGGGGGGCGGAGGTGGATGGGAGGGCGGGCGGGGTCACGCCGCTGCAGAGGGCGGCGGAAAGGGGGAGGGAACATATGGTCGGCGTGTTGTTGGAGTACGGCGCGGATGTCAATGCGGTGGACGGCGTGGGGCTGACGCCGCTGCATTACGCGGTCAAGGGGAATACGGTCGGCGTTGTCGAGTGTCTCCTCGAGGGCGGCGCCGATGTCGATAAGGCGTGTGCGCTTGGAAGCCCGTTTGAGGCGGCGGTGAGGAGGGGGTGGGGCGCGGGCGTGGAGGCGATGGCACGGTGGGGGCTCGAGGGGTGGGACCTCGTCGCGGTCTGGGGGTTTGTTAAGCAGAAGAGGAATCGCGGGCTCGATGAGGGGTTCCTCAGAGCTGTTGCGGAGGTGTTTGGTGAGGATGTGGCGGAGGGGCTCGTGGAGGGGCGGTATGGTTAACGAACGACACGATGCGGAGGATGCGGATTCACGAGATGTCACCCGGTGTTTGGATTTGTATTTTTTCTTCTTTCTCTTTACTTTTCTTTTTTTTGTTGGTCTGGTCTGGGTTTGGGCGGGCGCTTCAAGCTTCTTCTGCGGGATCGGGGGGAGTTGGGGAGGGGGCATATTGTCATTTAGCGAGGGGATAGAATGTTGGTTGGAGTGTACTTGGGAGGAGTCTGGGGCCATTCGTTGTAAATATATCAAAGCTTGAGCGTTTTGTATGTACATACTAGTAACTAGCATAGCACCGTCTTCACGGGCAGGGCAAAGGATCGAGAGAGAGAGACATTCTGCTCTCTCTCTCACCATTCACCACTTTCCACTCGATCGCCGTGCCGAGATGTTTGACACCTGCGGGTGGATGTGCCGACTACCTACCTACAATCTACTCTATAGACACTACGGAGTGGGGGGAGGGAAGGAGGTTTCAGCTGGTTGTGGTCGTCGCACGGCGCCAGCCAGCATGTGCCATCCATCCATCGATGCACTGGCATTGAGCATGAGATGTCGGTCTACAGGTGGGTGAGGAGGGAGGGTGATGAGCTATATAGGTTTACAGTGCAGCGCTGGGCATTGCAATTGTTTTTTGGTAGATGGAAGGCCGGAACGGGAGCGACTCGGAACAATGCCCCATGGATCAACACAACACCCCGCCGCTGGATGCACACAGTGATGTTTTGCCTGCGGATTTTACGGGTTCACTCGTGCGGAATGGTGGATGTACTCGAGCTGGGCAGATCGCGGGAACGGGGGCGGGAACGGAGGTTGGGAGTCCACGGCGCGAGAAACCCCTGCAAAAACTCACTTTATGTATTTAGGTACGGCTGTTGATGTTCGCGATGCGCTTATCCCACCCGTATCGATAGGCGAGCCCGCGGGCCCCAAGCCTCCCCTCCCCTTCCCTTCCCTTCCCCACTATCCCTGCCGGGAAAGTCCATCCACCCACTTACCCACCCACCCACCCACAAAAGCACAGTCAGTTCACGCAAGAAACCACGAGGGCTTCAAGGTCTTGGATGGGGTGGGTGTGGTGGATGGATTGTGGATGGTGGTGGTGGATGGATGGATGGTGGTGGAGATTGCCGTTGAGGAGAACGGCAGAGGGAGGCGAAAACGGCGGAGGATGGGAGGGGGGGAAGCCTTGTGATGCCTTACACAGGCCGGAGATGGCGAGAGGGTGCTGGTGGAGAGGAGGGAGGACTCAGGACTCAGGACTCAGGAGGAGGTAGTAGGGGTATTAATAGTACTATGTAGAGTAGTAGATACTCGACTCTAGAGTGTGCGCAGGTAGATTGGCTTAGGAGTGTTTTCTGCTTGGGATAACATTTCGAGGATACCCGAGAGTACTATGTACCGGTAGTCGGTAGTGTCTCGAGAATATTTGAGACGATGGCCAAACCGACCAGAGATTGTCGGCGGTGGCTTCAGGAGAAGATCACCGATATAGACTGGGCGGTTGGTTGTTTATCGCCATATCCAGAGCTCGAAACATAAGGCAGACCCCGGCAGTTGGATACGGGGCGACGCCTTCTGGCACAAGCCCAAACACGCCCACTCACTCGCGCTTAGTCACTCCATATGAAACTCGTGCTCCCCCCCCCAGTGGAGCTCTTCCACATGCTCTCGGGTCCACCTCCCACCCCCCCACAAGTCCATATCCCTCCTCCCTCCCCCACAGACTTGGATTTAACCCTCCACATATCCCGTCCTCCGCCTTGCATTTCTCCCTTGCGAACCATCCTCATCTTCCACTCCGGATCACCCAGCTAACCAGTAAGTCCACCACAAAAGACCCCTTCTCACAGCACTGCTTCCGGATAGTGCCACGTCGAGTTGCAGTTCAAACTTACTTACTCACCACTCGCCTTAGATACCTATCCTCCCCCTCCAGCCATCTGCAACTAGCTCTCCCGACTCGGCCGGGCCATCCACGTTCTTGCTCTGCCTGGGCCGGTTCAACAAGTCGTCTCGTCTCGTCCGCAACGCGCGGTAACAGTAGCTGGACGGACGGACGGACACATCGCACGCGCGCTAGGAACAGCTCGGGTGCTGCGGGGGGGAAGAGAGAGATCGAAGGCAAAAGAAAAGGCCGGCCTTTCAGTTGGCGGACAGAGATCGAGAGGGAGAAGAAAAAAAACGATACGGTCTGCAACCGCACCGTGCACCCTGTCTAGGTTTGTGCATTTCTCCTCTACTCCACCTGCATGCGTTTCCGTCATACGCAGCGCTTTTTCGATATTCCCCTAGTCAGTCCTGCAATGCCATGTCGTGCCATCCAGATTGCTGGATGGATGGATGGATGGATGGGTGGATGGATGGGAGGCATGGCGCTGTTTCTTGGCTGGCGACCGTCCGCCTTCTGCGCGCGCGCAGCTATAACTGGCTCCTATAGTGCGCCTCCACCTCGTCCTCGTCCGGCTGATCGATAGCCAAAGCTCCTCGGGATCGGGCAACCCGTCGCCTCGAACAAATCCACATACCAGTCCTGTACTGTCATGTCAGACGGATGTCTTAACGCGGATGCGGAGGAAAATACTCTTCCTACATATGTGTGTCCCTAGACCGAGAAGCCCAGAGAGCCCGATCGAATTCCGATACTGCCTGACGCCTGCCAGCAAAGCAGCGAGCCGCGGAGAAGAGCTTGTGGACCGGAATACCCGCTTTCAGCTTTTGCTTCTTCAAAATAACTGCTGCTCTGCTTCTCTCTGCTTGTTACTTTAGCTGACGGATTTCCCTCTTCTATAGAACTGATATAGGTTGCTGCTGCATTGCGACTTCCGAGCTCCGAGCAACACCCACCTCTGCATCTCCCAACCTCCTACTTCCTGCTTCGGAGAGAGGCAACAACGCCACCGCCCGCACACGAGCAAAAGCAGCCATTCTGTCGTTTCCACAGCACGTTCGTACCCCCTCCACCGCGGGCCGGATTATGAGCAGATCTTGTCGATCACGCCGTCCAAAACCTCCCATTTACTCTCATTTTCCAAATCTCCGCCGTCTTGCTGGATAGGCCCTTTCACTCGCCCCTTCCCCGAACTCGGACACACGCAAAAAAAAAAAAACTTCGGACGAGATAATCAACCCAACACATCGCAGATTTCATCACTTGTACAGTTGTTGCAGCCGAGACAGCAAGCATCCAGCCTCCTCAATTGAGACTAGACGGCAATCGCTCGGAACGTCACTGGCCACAGCTGACACCACCGCATTCGATACGAGCCATTCAAAGTTGAATCCCTTCTCCTTATTCTCCTCTCTATCTCTCCCTTCTCGTCGCCGCCAAAATGCCTCCGGATAGCGCAAACTTCCGTTACTTTAACACACCGGCAAACACTCCCGTACCTCCGTGGCTGGGCAACTTTGTCCTCAAGGCGCGGTATGTGCCCATCCGCCCTCATCGTGTGCTGTGGTCGTTACTGACTGGGGTATAGCTCCGGAACCGACCTCTGGCGGAAACCAGCTCGCGACACCTTTACCGCGCCGGTCCTCTACACCTCATCTCCGATATCCTTCTTCCGCGCCGAGGTGTCGGTGCATATCCGGCTCACCAACGCCTTTGAATGGGACCAAGGCGGCCTTGTGATCTTCGCCGGCCCGCCCCCAGTCACGACATCGGCCACAGGCCTACCCGCATACGACCAGCCGCCAGCCGGAAAATGGGTCAAGGCCGGAATCGAGTACTACGACAACCGGACGACCGCCTCGTCCGTATCCGCCTCCTCCGACGGCGCGGACTGGAGTCTGATAGAGCTGCCGGTGGGGATCACGGAGCTCAAGGTGCGGTTCGAGCGTGTGGACAACGCGCTCTGGGTCTACTTTGATGATGGGTCGGAGTGGAAGAAGCTCCGCGAGGTCACGTGGTTCTTCTACGGCGTCGACGAGAAGAATGTGCGCATCGGCGTCTATGCCAGCAGACCAGCGAACTTTATGAGCGGACGCCCGCTGGAGGAGCTGGTGGTCGAGTTTGAGGGTCTGGAGATTTATTAGGCGCTGGGTTTGTTTATTCTTTTTTTTTGTACGCTGTGCTGTGCTGTTCTGGCGGTCGTGAGCTATTGATACCCTTCATACATACATACATACCCTTCCCTGCCTTCTGATTGTTCTGGCTTTCTCTGGTTTTGTTGTGGGATTTTAGCGTTGGATTCATGGGCATTGGGGGCCGTGGTAAATCACCGGGCCCGAGGAGGTGGAGTGGGTGGGGTGGGTGGAGTAGGTGGAGTACGGCAATGGTGGACAGGTGGTAGGTACTAGTTATTCTAGTACAAGTCACACCTGCATAGCATAACATCTATGGGCGACAGATGAATATACCAAATATCCAACCCACAATATGTAACATCTGTGACTTCACGAATGATGACCATAGTGTGTTGTGCTGCCATTATATTCCCGTATAGCCATGATCATTATATCCAGTACATACTCCTCCAACCCACATGCACACGGTATCATTCGGGCACAGGCACGCCCCTCCACCTCTTCCCGCCCTCCTCAGGGTGTTCATTCATGACCAGTAGCTTGGGACTACCACAAAACCCGCCCTTCCCGGCTATCCTCCCCTCGACCAGCTCCCCCTCCATCTCCATGCGCCTCTCCCCGCCCCAGGGCATTCCCACCGCCCACGTCACGACTGCCTGCACGGGGGTCAACAAGCGCTCGACATACTTCACTGCGGGCAGCCAGTCGAACGTCTGCCGGTCATACGCGACACGGACAAACGGGTTAACGAACGTCTCTTGCGGGCGGTCGATATCCGCATGAACGAGGCAGCACTCGGAGGCGTCCCAGAACGGCTCCTTCTCCGCACGGAAACGGACTGCGTTCGCGCCGCCGCTGGTGAAGTGGCTCGCGTTGAAGGCGATCGCGCCGCCCCAGCAGCTTTTCACCGGGATGGCGGGGGAGGAGAGGCGGATGAGGCGACGGGACGGGGGCGTGGAGAAGAAGGGGTAGATCGGAATGCCCAGCTGGTACCCGAATACGTCGCGCGTCGCGAAGGTGTCGTACAGCTTGAACGGGTTGATGAAGTCGACTGCGCAGGCGGCCGCGTACGCGCCGTTGTTTGTGCCGAAGAGGAGGTGTGTCAGCTCCAGCGGCGAGAAGACGATGTCGTTCAGGAAGAGGATTTTGGTGATGCCTTCTGGTTGCGGGACCCAGGATGGGGGCAGCGCGGGCGGGTGCACGGATGAGGGGATCGGCGAAAGGACTTCCCACTCGCTGAATTCCTCCGGCAGGGCCGGGCGAGGCCCGGTTTGGTTCCAGCGGGAGAGAGATGGGATGCCGCCAAGAAGCGGGAGGAGAGCACGGTTCCGCACCTCCGCCAGGTACCGTATCCGCTTGACGTACGTCTCACCGGTCGGCACTCGCACCCGCGGCACGCCCTCGAGCGGCAACGTGGTAGAGACGATACTCCTGCCTGCTTTGGGCATGTGGCGTTTGATCATCTCGTCGAGCTCCCCGAGGGCGGCGGTAGTTTCAGGTCCGCTATCGTTCTCGAAGACGCTCAGGAAGACGTTCTCCTCGCCGAGGAGGTCAAGCAGCTCCAGCACGCGCACTCCCCACTCCGAGCGGATCAGCTGTGCGTCGACGATATTCGCCGCGATGAAGATGCGCTCGTTGCCGGGATTGCCGCGGCCGCCGGTGGTGCGCTTTTCCCCGCCTTGAGTCCAGTAGGCGGCCGGATTTGAGCCTCCGCCCGCCTGCACGCTCGCCTCCAAAGCCCGCCAGGCCGGTGGGTATGATGCGCGTGTGTACGATGGAAAGAATACCACATTGGCCACGACCAGCAGTAACAGCGCACACCCGACGACTGCCAGCAGCTGGCAAAATAACCGTCGGCGCCTTAGCCGGCGTCGCTGGAGTCGTCTCCACCATGACCCGGCGGGCTTTCGCTTCTTCTCTGTGGGTTGTGTCGAGGTGTCGGCGAGGAGGCCTCGCTCGTCGTCGTCGGCGTCGTCATCGTCGTCGGAGAGCGCGAATTCGTCGGGCGAAGGGGTAGGTAACGGGGGTGTACGGGGGTGTAGTTCGTATTCCATCGCTGTGTCGTGGAGACGGTGGTAGAGGCGGGAAGGGATTGCTGGAATGGGTTATCGCATGTGAGAGCTTAAAGGAATGGTGAGGACCCTGAGGCGATGGTGTTCGTAGAATAGACGTTAAGCTTAAGGTTGGTGTTTACCTTCAGGGTCTTGAGCCGGGAGATTTAACGTGGGCCGGTGAGGATGAGCCACGGCGGCAGGGTGGTACAAGGCATAGCTCGCCGATGCTTGACGCGTACGCGTACAGTTCTTGCGGATGTGACGGGAGAACACATTCGGAATATTTGCAAATGGTGATTGAGGGACTGCTCAGCATGGAATTCGAGGGGCGGTACCGCTGCTAGTAGCTCATGCAAAGTTCAAACCCGAGAGACGTGATCATGAGCTCACTGCGCACTGTCCACTGTCCAAGACCTCGTCGCCAAGTGAGAAAGGCCTCCGACGTCCCAGACCCCAAATCCATATCATCAGCATGACGGACCCACTGGTCTCCGCCAGATTCCGGAAGTACAACTTCAATGCGGACCCCTCAGTAGAGTAGCCAGCACCGCCGAGATTTCCATTCTAATGTTCCTCGGACACTCGCAAACGCCACTAACGACCGCCGGGACAGCCAGCCAGCCAAGCCACAACCCTCGACGTCCACACGGTGCTGGCTCGCGTAACCGACGCGCATGTAGAGTATAGTACAAGGCCTCCCAAATGAGATGCGCCTTTCCTTTCCTCTCGCAGCTGCTGCTGCAACGGACACTGCGACGACCAACGCGACTTCCCGCGCGACTTCCAGTCCTGTTCCTGTCACCAACACCCACACAGCGACTCATCCATTCCTCCTCCACCACCACCACCACCACCACCACCACCACCGCCGCCGAAATGCCCCCGAAAAAATCTCCCATCACCCCCAAGAAGCCTGCCGCTGCAGGCCCTAAACAGTCTACACTCAGGTATGTCAAGCTGCAGACGACGCTGGGGTATTTCTCTTTCGATTGAGACCGGGATCGTGGGACTGTGACGAAGTGTGCTGATGGGGAGGGGCGAACAGTAACTATTTCACACTCCCCAAGGGCGTTGCGAAGCCTGCACCACAGCAGACTGTCTTGACGAGCAAGCCCAAGAAGGAGGCGAAGCAGGAATTGGGTGGTGACGATGAGGTGAAAGTCGAGGAACCGCAGGATGAGGTCATGGTGGACGTGGACGCCGAGGATGCGTTAGCAAAGAAGGAGCTGGCAAGTGAAAAGACGTCGAAGAAGGCGGATGGTACTTCCAAGAAGACTGGTATGTTCGCTTCACTTGTTGTGGGGTAGGTGGGGTGTGCTGACGATTAATTGCAGTGCCAGCAAAGAAACGTGCTCGCGATGAGGTTGAGAAAGAGGAGGCGGAGGTCAAGATCGAGAAGGAAGTGTCTGAAGTCGAGGACGAAGATGAGGAGCCAGTCACGAAGCGGGGACGGAAGTCGAGGACGACGGCGGCTAGTCCTGTTGCAAAGAAGAAGGAGCCCGTGACCAGCAAGGTGTCCGCGACCAAGAAGGAGCCAGCGATTAAAACGGAGCCTGCGAAGAGGGGGCTTGCGAAGAAAAAGAAGGAGGCTACACCTGAACCCGAATCGAAGAAGAAGGCGGTGAAGGGGAAGACGACGCCGACGAAGGAGACAGAAGAGGCAGAGGACATCGAGCAGGATGACGAGGAGGAACCTGCGGTGAAGTCGAAGAAATCTCCGAAGGTGAAGGCTGAGACCACTACGGCGAAGGGCAAAAAGGCGGCAGCTGGAAAGACAGAGGAGAAGTCTGAGGAGTCAGCGTCCGAGTCGGACAAGAGTGATGTGGAAGCTGGAAGCGACGTCGAGGTCGAGATCAAGAAGCCCGTCATCACTATCAAGGGGCGCAAGGTGGTACAGGCGAAGCTCACTAGCAAGGGCAACGACGTGAATGCATATCCTGACTGGAAGGCCGGTGCATCGATACCCTACGCGGCTCTGGTCGCGACGTTCTCGTTGATCGAATCGACCACCAAACGTCTCGAGAAGGTGTCGCATACTTCGCTGTTTCTGCGGCAGGTGTTGAGGCTGACACCCGACGAGTTACTATTGGTCATCCACTTGATGATCAATAGAATCGCCGCGGACTACGAGGGCATCGAGCTGGGAATAGGCGAGAGTCTGCTGATGAAGGCTATCTGTGAGTCGTGTGGACGGACATTAGCGACACTCAAGGAAGAGCATAAACAGATTGGGGACCTGGGCGAGATCGCGCAGAAGAGTCGGAATACCCAGACGACCCTGTTCCCGCCGAAGCCACTTACTGTTCGCAGTGTCCATACTGGACTCAGGGACATCGCGTTGGTCAAAGGAGATGGTGGTCAGGGTCGCAAAGTAGACGGCATCAAAAAGATGCTGTCTGCTGCCAAGGGAGATGAAGCCAAGTTCCTTGTTCGCGGACTCGAGGGAAAGCTGAGACTGGGACTGGCGGACAGAACAGTCATCGTGGGACTGAGTCAGGCCGTCATCGTGCACGAGGCGGAAAAGGCAGGCAAGAAGGCGCCCAGTCTGGAACAGATGATTGCCGCAGAAGCCATGCTCAAAGAGGTCTACAGCGAACTACCAAATTATGAGATCATCATCCCCGAGATCATGAAAGTTGGTATCATGAATCTCAAGGACGCCTGCAAACTCCAGCCCGGTGTTCCACTCAAGCCTATGCTCGCAAAACCCACCAAGTCGATAGCTGAAATCACGGATCGCTTCGAGGGAAAGAGATTCACGTGTGAGTACAAATACGACGGCGAGCGAGTACAGATCCACTATGTGGCACCTAACTCTTCGGTCGAGTTCCCGACTATCGACCAAAAGAAGGGGATTGCCAAGGTCTTTTCCCGCAATTCGGAAGAGCTGTCGCCCAAGTACCCTGATATACTGGCTGCTCTAGATAAGTGGGTGACAGATGGTGTCGAGAGTTTCGTGCTCGACTGTGAAGCTGTTGCTTGGGACCGGGTTGAGAAGAGGGTCCTCCCTTTCCAGCAGCTCCAGACGCGTAAGAGGAAGGACGTTGCCGCCGAGGACGTCAAGGTTAAAGTCTGTGTCTATGGATTCGACCTTCTCTTCCTCAACGGAAAGGTAAATTCTCCGTCCATCCGTTTCGCTACGATAGCCACTAACTCTCATGCAGTCGACGGTCCAAGACAGTCTGGCAGACCGCCGCAAGATGATGTACACATCCTTCAAATCTGTGGAAGGCGAGTTCGCGTTCGCCACAGCCATTGACGGCCAAGAAGTCGAAATAATCCAGGCCTTCCTCGAAGAATCCTGTAAAGCATCTTGTGAAGGCCTCATGGTCAAGATGCTCGACACGCCCGACTCCTATTACCAGCCATCGAAGCGCTCCCGCAACTGGCTCAAGCTCAAGAAAGACTACCTCGACGGCGTGGGCGACTCCCTCGACCTCGTCGTGATCGGCGCCTACCACGGAAAAGGCAAGCGCACGAGCGTCTACGGCTCGTTCCTCCTCGCCTGCTACAACCCGGCCACGCAGAACTACGAGACCATCTGCAACATCGGCACGGGCTTCTCGGAGGAGGTCCTCATCAAGTTTCACACCCAGCTGCTGGAATTCGAGATCGAGAAACCGAAGCCGTACTACGTCCATGCCACGGGGAACATGCAGCAGCCAGACGTCTGGTTCGAGCCAAAGGTCGTCTGGGAGGTCAAGACCGCCGACCTCTCGCTCAGCCCGAAGTACATGGCCGCCAAGGGACTGGCCGATGTCGAGGGCAAGGGCAGGGGCGTCAGCTTGAGGTTCCCACGCTTCATTAGGGAACGCGACGATAAGAAGCCCGACGATGCTACCTCCGCCCAGCAAGTGGCCGAGATGTATCAAAACCAGGACGTTGTGAAGAACAACGCCAAGAAGGGCGTCGATGATAACTTTGAATACTAGTCAGCATTACATAGACCAGGTACTTAGTCGTCGATTCCGATGGTTGAATCTTGATGTTAATGTTTTCGATGGAAATGCAAATGTTGTCAATGGAAATGTTTTCGATGGAAAAATATGGTTCTTCCTTTCTGCGGAGCAATTGGGAGTTGTGTCATTGTCATTGTTATTGATTTCGAGTTTTATGCTGGGTGACTTGTTGTGTACTTGTAGTTACTATGATAGATACTCGGCGGAAACCCCGCCTTTGCACGTGCACTCTGACTCTGACAGGCTGACGGTTCACTTGTGCCCCGCCCCGCCCCGCCCCGCTCTGACCGTGGGCACTGCTCAGCGCTCGGCGTGTCAGGGCACTCCACTCCACTCCACTCTACGCTCGAGCACTCTGTGAGGTATGTAGAGTGGAGGTAGCACCCTGTCCGCATCCCATCGGACTGTCGGACATCGGACATCGGCCATCGGCATCCTGATTCCTCACCTCACGGATGTGATGAGGACATACCCACATACCATCTAGGTGTAAAGTGAGTGCCTATGTAAAAGTCATAGATGGAGAGGTATTTAATTCGTTGTGCTTCTTCCACCTACATACAGAGGTATTCCTCGCGCATCCCCATCTGGTTTGCGCGGATTACACCCGTATGTACGGTACATGGCGATACTCTATGGATGTAGAGTAGAGTAGAGTACGTAGAGTACGTATCGCATCACGATGGCAGGCAGATATAGTAGTATGTACCATTGTTACCGTTGATGGTTTAACTACGAAGTAAGGCTTACGACTTACGACTTGCGATCTCCGATGGGAGGGATCTCGAAGTCCGACTAGGTACTCGAACGACCGCGCAGCCTGCGGGAGCCGATGGCCAGTAGCCATGCGCTTCGAGAGTTCTTTGAGTGCGCGGAAGCGGCAAACGAAGGAGAAGGAGGAGACGAAGTGAAGAAGACGAAGAAGAAGAAGCAGAAGAACATCGCAGGCAGCACTGGCGGTTTAACTACGAAGTAAGGCTTACGATCTCCGATGGAGGTCTCCGATGGAGGGGTCTCGAAGTCCGACTGCCCGACCCGTTCGAACGGCCGCGCAGGAGCCGGCGTCCAACAGCCATGCGCCTCGATAGGACTTTCGGTGCGCGGAAGCGGCAAACGAATGAGAAGGAGAAGAAGGAGAAGAAGGAGAAGAAGAAGAAGAAGAAGAAGAAGAAGAAGAAGTAGAAGAAGCCAAAGAAGCAGAGTCGAAGCGACACAAGTGTCCTCCACCTCCGCCTCCGCCTTGTCCACTGTTTCTCCGCCCGCGATCGCGTGAGAAAAAAAACACTTCAGCACCACTTCAGCACCAGCCAGGACCAGCACAGCACATCACATACACAAGCACAGCACCAGTACATAGCAGCACCAGTTAGCAGCACAAGCAGAAGCACAGCGCAGCACAGCACAGCACAGCACACGAACAAGCACAAGCATACATAGCACAAGGAACAGGGATCCCCGTAGCGCACGGACATCAAAGTTGAAAGGGAAGGGAAACACCGGTGTCCCCCTCCCCTTCCCTTGCCTTTCCTTCCCTTGAACCCTGAGGTTGTGTAGTTCGCGCGTGCGGGGCCAAGCCACGTCTGGTTTGCCGAGTGGAAGGTCTAACGAAGAAGGAGAGGTGAGGGTGAGGGAGGGAAGGGATGAAGGGATGGAGAGAGGGAGGGGCTTGCCTGGCGGAGGGGCGGGAGGAGGGGGAGGGGCAGCTGACGTTCGGGCATAATCTATCTCGGTTGTGATGTGGTTTCGAGATCGGGATGGGGACAAGTACTGTAGAGTGCGTACCAGTACGATAAGGAAATGGAAACGGTGGATGAGGAGGGGGAATCGGGATGAGGGGGAGGATGCCGTTGGCCATTGGTACGACTGGCTGACGTGGTCGTCGGTACTTGTACTATGGTGGCGGTGGAAGGGAAGAGGGAAGAAGAAGAAGATGAAGAAGCGGACAGGTGATGCCAATTTACAGTATTAGGTAGCATGTACCGAGTACTCCATCTAGGAAGCATGATGTACTGTAGAGTTTACTCCATGCGTAAAGTTAGATCGATTGATGTCGGAGCTCGGATGGGGAAGCAGTGTAGAGTTTGGAAACTGGGTGGGTGTGTGGATGATGAGTGAGGCGGATTTGCGGGCGGACGCAGTTGGGCGGGGACCCAATTGCGGAGAAGGACGACTGGTTTCAGCGTTGGATGGGGATGGGGGTAGGGTTGGTTATGACTGGACGCGGACGGAGGGAGAGAGGACAGATGGAGAGGCGGACAAGAAGGCGGGTGAGGCCTGAAGATTGTCTGCCGCTTTCGTCGTCCCGTCTTTTGATTACTTGCTACCGTGTTTGGTTGGTTACTACTCTGTTGTATTCGTGACCACAACCTTCACTTCACTCTTCTCTCGCCATTCACCTCAGCATCATCATCCCACATCCCACTCACACCACCACCCCCTCCCAACCACCCTTGTAGTTGCCCGCCTCGACGCCTCGCCGTTTGTGCAGATTTCCATCTAATACGCGCAGCACACGCACGACGCAGACCTGCATCGCACAACCCCACCACTCACCACACAACCGCTCTAGAGTACATCTCCTGTCCTCAGTAACCACTGCCACCACTCCCGTGACCAGAGCCCTCCAATCCAATCGCGAATCGTCTGTTGCGCGTGCATGTCCCGTACATAACAAGCCAAGGATATCACATCACAAACCCACGAACCGGCAGTAGTACTCTGCTTCAGGTAGGCCGTATCCTCTTGCTCGTTCTCGGTGGGGCGGGTGGTCTGTCTGTCCACCGTCTCATTGTCGTGGTTGGTTAACCGCCAGAGCCCACTCCCCTCCTCCCTCTTCCTCTTCCTCTCCTCCTCGTCCTCCTCCTTCTGTTTCCTCGTCTGTCCCCCTCCCCCCACCAACCAACCACCTCCCTCTCCCCACCCCCACTTCCACAAACTCCATCTCTTCAAACCCCAACCCCCCAGCCTCATCTGAATCCGCCGGACGGGGAAAAGATTCTTCTCCGACAACTCTGTACCAACCTCTCACTCCCGTCTTCCTCTCCCTCCGTTTCCGCCGCATCTCTCCCCATACCCACCGCGCCATAGAACACAAACGGACCTGGATGAGGATAGAAGAGGTTGTTATTCGTCCGCCACTTTCCTTCTGCAGCATAACATCATCATCATCATCATCAGCCATCATCCCTCAACCAATAAGCACGGTCCTCCGCTAACCGCGATTCGTTCTAGTCGCCCTCGTAGTTTTTCCCAACGCCCCGTCACGAACTCGCTCTCTCTCTCCCTCTCTCCGGACGGAAGAGACCCTAACTACCTATCCACCTAGCCAACCCAACCTCCTCCAGCCATCCCTCCTACCGCCACCTATTCATCATCCTACTTCTTCTGCCCCAAAAAACCCCTCCACCTGTACCTTGCCTACCTCCATACCTCTACTATCAACGTCTACAACTCCGCCTCTCTCCGCCCCGTCCGCCGCCCGCCCCCGTCTCACCCGCGTTCTTCCACTTCATCCTACTCGGAGGACTGTAATATACCCTAGCCATCATGGATTCCGCCGCCGAATCCGTAGCCGTCAATGTTCCCGAGAAGGTACATCCATCTCCATCTCGTTTCCCCCCGCCCCCCACCCCCCGCCCCACCTCCCCCACCAGACTGACATGAAGGAACAATCGTTTCGAATTACTCATAGCCCATGCCCGCGCCTATCGATACCTCCACGACAAGCTTACCAACACCCGAAGCCTCCGCCACAACAACGACTGCTAAGAAAAATAAGAAGAAGAAGAAGAAGAAGAAGAAGAAGAGCAACAGTGGCAGTGAAGCTGGCTCCTCGATGTCCACATCCACACCGTCAACACCGACAATAGGCCCAGATGAAGACGAGGAGATCTCCGGCCCCCCAACTCCTAGCGACAGCATCGAGGGTAGCAACAATAACCATAACCTACCTCCTACACCTCTGTCGGCTAGCGGTATCCTGCCGTTGACGGAAGAGACGCCGGAGGCCATTGCTATCGAAGAGGCGGCTACCATTCCCGTGGCTGCGGTCGAGGACGTGCAGGCTGAGGCTGAGCCGGTCAAGATGGAGGTGGTTCCCATACTCGAGGAGGAGGAACCCACTGCGAAGTCATTGGAGGAGAGCACGACGACGACGGAGGAACCAATAGCCGAGAAGGAAGAGGACAAGGCTCACGCGGAACCCGAGTCGGAAGTCGCGGCGCCGGTCGTCGAGGAGGCACCGGAGAAGACGGCTGAGCCGATCAAAGGGGAGCCACCGATTGAGGATGTCGTCGCTGTTGCTGAGCCTATTACTGAAGCCGAGTCAATTGCCGACGTTGCCGAGACCGAGAAGGCTAATGAGCCGACGGAACATGCCGAGCCCCCACACTCCGGCTCTAGCGAGGAGAGAGTGGAGGAGGAGGCGGAACATCCACCGAAGGCCGACGCTCCGATCGAGGACATTGCGGCAATACTCGATGAACCTAAGGTCGAGGAACACGAGGACCTCAAGGCTGTGGAACCCGTCGAGGCACCCGCACACCACGAGGACGAGACACCGAGGGAGGAGCCGGTAACCACCGAGCATGCTGTCGAGGAGACGCCTAAGGTCGAGGAGGCGCCCACGTATGCGGAAGTTGCTGCGCCTGTGGACGTCACCGAATCCGAAGAGGTCGCGCACAAGACCGACGAGGCTGCACCGGAGGTTGCGGAGAAGGCCGAGGAGACCCTGGCAACCCCCGAGGTGGAGGGAGTCGGGCAGAAGGAAGTTCCTAACGTCGATGACGAGACACCCGAGGTTGCCGAAACCCACAAGGTCGAGCATGTCGAGGAAACCCCCAAGGCCGAGCACGTCGAGGAGACTCCCAAGGTTGAGGAGGTCGCGGGGACCCCCGAAACCCACGAGGCCGAGCACGTCGAGGAGACTCCCAAGCTCGAGCATGTCGAGGAGACGCCTTCATACGCAGACGTTGTTTCGACTGGAGAGGCTAACTCGGAGATTGCGGAGAAGGCCGAGGAGACTTCCGAAACCCCCAAGGCGGAGGTCGCGGAAGCCGCTGAGAATGAAGAGACTTCCTTGGAGAAGGAGGCACCCAAGGTTGAGGAGGCCGCGGTGATCTCCGAAGTCGCCGAAACCCCCAAGCCCGAGCACGTCGAGGAGACTCCCAAGCCCGAGCACGTTGAGGAGAGTCCCAAGCCCGAGCACGTTGAGGAAACTCCCAAGGTTGAGCACATCGAGGAGACTCCCAAGGTTGAGAAGGCGGTGGAGATCCCCGAAACCTCCGAAACCCACGAGGCCGAGCACGTCGAGGAGACACCCACGATTGAGCACGTCGAGGAGACACCCAAGGTTGAGCACATCGAGGAGACTCCCAAGGTTGAGAAGGCGGCGGAGATCCCCGAAACCTCCGAAACCCACGAGGCCGAGCACGTCGAGGAGACACCCACGATTGAGCACGTCGAGGAGACACCCAAGGTTGAGCACGTTGAGGAGACTCCCAAGGTTGAGAAGGCGGCGGAGATCCCCGAAACCTCCGAAACCCAAGAGGCCGAGCACGTCGAGGAGACACCCACGATTGAGCACGTCGAGGAGACTCCCAAGGTTGAGCACGTTGAGGAGACTCCCAAGGTTGAGGAGGCTTTGGAGACCCCCGAAACCGTCGAAGCCCACAAGCCCGAGCACGTCGAGGAGACCCCTTCATACGCGGACGTTGTTTCGACTGAGGGGGTCGCGGAGAAGGCCGAGGAGACTTCCGAAGCCCCTAATGTGGAGGAGGTCGCGGAAGCCGCTGAGATCGAAGAGACTTCCTTGGAGAAGGAGGCTCCCAAGGTTGAGGAGGCCACGGATATCCTAGAAACCGCCGAAACCCACAAGCCTGAGCATGTTGAGGAGACTCCCAAGGTTGAGGAGGCCGCGGAGACACCCGAAGTCAACGAGATGACCTCCGAAACCCCCGAAACCCACGAGGCCGAGCACGTCGAGGAGACTCCCAAGGTTGAGGAGACGCCTTCATACGCGGATGTCGTTTCGACTGGGAAGGCTACCTCGGAGGTCGCGGAGAAGGCCGAGGAGACTTCCGAAGCCCCTAAGGCGGAGGAGGTTGCGGAAGCCGCTCAGACTGAAGAGACTTCCTCGGAGAAGGAAGCTCCCAAGGAGGAGGCCCCCGAAGCCGTTGCGATGACTGCAGCCCCCGTTGAGTCTGTCACGGAAGAAGCGAAGACTGGTATGCAATTTGTTTCACACGATATGGACGCATGCTAACAAACCGCAGAACCCGAGTCCGAAGAGTCAAAGGAGGACGTGTCTGCGCCCACCGAGACGGTGCGTTCCGAGACCCCCGAGCCCGCAGCGTCCGAGCACGTCGAGCCTGCATCCGAGCACGTCGAGCCTGCATCCGAGCACGTCGATGAGAAACCCAAAGACGAGGAAGTAAAGGACGAGGACGAAGAAATTGTCCACGTCAGCCACGATGACGCTCCTTCGGAGGAGGTTACAGCCGCCGAAGCTGCCGTCGTTCACCCTGAGCCAGAAGCCGCCACAGAGAAGGAGGTTGAGGCCGCCGAGACTGCTGCGGAGGTTGCCGACGTCGCCGAGAAGCTCGACCAGCCAGAACCGGCTGCTACTGAGAAGGAAGTCGAGATCGCCGAGACTGCTGCCGAGGTTGCTGACGTCGCTGAGCACCTGGATGCTCCAGAGCCCGCCGCCACTGAGAAGGAGACCGAGGCTGCAGAGACTGCTGCCGAGGTTGCCGACGTCGCCGAGAAGCTCGCCCAGCCAGAACCGGCTGCTACTGAGAAGGAAGTCGAGATCGCCGAGACTGCTGCCGAGGTTGCTGACGTCGCTGAGCACCTGGATGCTCCAGAGCCCGCCGCCACTGAGAAGGAGACCGAGGCTGCAGAGATTGCTGCCGAGGTTGCCGACGTCGCCGAGAAGCTCGCCCAGCCAGAACCGGCTGCTACTGAGAAGGAAGTCGAGATCGCCGAGACTGCTGCCGAGGTTGCTGACGTCGCTGAGCACCTGGATGCTCCAGAGCCCGCCGCCACTGAGAAGGAGACCGAGGCTGCAGAGACTGCTGCCGAGGTTGCCGACGTCGCCGAGAAGCTCGACCAGCCAGAACCCGCTGCGACTGAGAAGGAGCCCGAAGTGGTCGAGACTGCCGCAGAGGTTACCGAAGCTGCCGTCCTTCACCCTGAGCCAGAAGCCGCCACAGAGAAGGAGGTTGAGGCCGCCGAGACTGCTGCGGAGGTTGCCGACGTCTCCGAGAAGCTCGACCAGACAGAACCGGCTGCAACTGAGGAAGAGACCAAAGTGGCGGAGACTGCTGCGGAGGTTGCCGATGTTGCGGAGAACCTCGACCAACCCGAGGCTGTCACTGAGCAGGAAGTCGAGGTTGCCGAGGCTGCCGCCGTTCACCCCGAGCTAGAGGTCGCCACAGAGAAGGAGACCGAAGTTGCTGAGACTGCTGCGGAGGTTGCCGATGTCGCTGCGCACCTGGATACTCCAGAGCTCGCCGCCACTGAGGAGGAGACCAAAGTGGCTGAGACTGCCGAGGTTGCCGAAGCTGCCGTTGTTCACCCTGAGCCAGAGGCCGCCACTGAGAAGGAGACCGAAGTGGCCGAGACTGCTGCGGAGGTTGCCGACGTCGCCGAGAAGTTGGATGTCGCTGAAACAACCACTGACAAAGAGGTTGAGGCTGCGGACACTGCGGCTGAGGTTGCTGATGTCGCCGAGAAGCTGGATCAACCCGAAGACAAGACTCCCGAAGTTGTGGAATCTACGGAGGAGCCTTCCCAGGAGGTAAACGTCGACCCGCTTCCCGCATCGGAGATTGGCGAGAACCCCATCCACCTTCAGCCTGGTGAGGAAATTCCAAAGGATATCACTGCCGCGGCTATCGACACTCATGTGAAGCTCGACCAAGAGCCATATGAGAGTGAGGAGTCGACTGTGCCGGTTGTTCCTAAGGAACTCCAGGAAGATGTCGCTACCGACGCCCCCGCCGAGGATCTGTCCCAAGAGGTTAAGGTTACCCCCTTGCCCAGCTTTGAGAACGCCGAGAACCCGATCCAGCTCGAACCTGGTGAGCCCATTCCTGACAACATTACTGCGTCCATCCACGACAACGTCAAGCTCGACAAGGAGTCCTTCGAGAGTGAGGAGCCTAATGTTCCCGCCGCGCCAGTCGAGGAGACTCCCGCAGCAGTCGAGGAGACTCCCGCAGCAGTCGAGGAGACTCCCGTAGCAATCGAGGAGACCCACGCGGCAGCCGAACACGAGGAGGAACAGGAGGTCAAAGTTACTCCTCTTCCTGCATTTGAGAACGCCGAGAACCCGATCCAGCTCGCCCCCGGTGAACCGATCCCTGAGGATGTCACTTCGGCTTCTATCGAAGATCGTGTGAAGCTCGACAAGGAGTCTTTCGAGAGCGATGAACCCAATGTTCCGGCTGCACCCGTTGAGGAAGAGCAAGAGGTCAAGGTATCCCCTCTGCCTGCATTCGAGAATGCCGAGAACCCGATCCAGCTCGAACCTGGCGAGCCCATTCCCGAGGATGTCACTTCGGCTTCTATCGACGATCATGTGAAGCTCGACAAGGAGTCTTTCGAGAGCGATGAACCCAATGTTCCGGCTGCACCCGTTGAGGAAGAGCAAGAGGTCAAGGTATCCCCTCTGCCTGCATTCGAGAACGCCGAGAACCCGATCCAGCTCGAACCTGGCGAGCCCATTCCCGAGGATGTCACTTCGGCTTCTATCGACGATCATGTGAAGCTCGACAAGGAGTCTTTCGACAGCGATGAACCCAATGTTCCTGCCGCACCCGTTGAGGAGGAACAGGAGGTCAAGGTATCCCCTCTGCCCGCATTCGAGAACGCCGAGAACCCGATCCAGCTGGCACCCGGTGAGCCGATTCCCGAGAGTGCCCTGGCTGCGATCATCGACGACAACGTGAGGCTGGAAAAAGAGTCTTATGAGAGCGATGAGCCTACTGTTCCGCTGGCGCCTGTTGAGGAGGACCAGGAGGTCAAGGTCAACCCTCTTCCCGCCTTTGAGAACGCCGAGAACCCTATTCAGCTCGCCCCCGGTGAACCGATCCCTGAGGAGGTCACTACAGCTAGGATCAACGATCACATCAGGCTCGACAAGGAGTCCTTTGAGAGTGAGGAGCCCACTGTCACTGCTGCACCGGTTGAGGACGACCAGAAAGTCAAGGTTTCGCCTCTTCCTGCCTTTGAGAACGCCGAGAACCCCATTGATCTTGCCCCTGGCGAGAAGATCCCCGAGGAGGTCACTACCGCTACTATTAATGACCACGTCAAGCTGGACCAAGAATCCTACGAGAGTGAGGAATCTACAGTTCCGGTGGCGCCTATTGAGGAGGACCAGGGAGTCAAGGTCAACCCTCTTCCTGCCTTTGAGAACGCGGAGAACCCCATTCAGCTTGCCCCCGGTGGGCCCGTCCCCAAGGTCACCACCGCCGCCGTCGGCGATCATGTCCAACTGGACAAGGAATCCTACGATAGCGAAGAGCCGAGTGTTCCTGTCATGCCCGTTGAGGAGGAGCAGGAGGTCAAGGTATCCCCTCTGCCCGCATTCGAGAACGCCGAGAACCCGATCCAGCTCGAACCCGGTGAGCCCATTCCTGAGGATGTTACTTCGGCCTCTATCGACGATCATGTGAAGCTCGACAAAGAGTCTTTCGAGAGCGATGAACCCAATATTCCGGCTGCACCCGTTGAGGAAGAGCAAGAGGTCAAGGTATCCCCTCTGCCCGCATTCGAGAACGCCGAGAACCCGATCCAGCTGGCACCCGGTGAACCCATTCCTGACGTGGCTGCTACCAACATCGACGAGCATGTGAAGTTGGACAAGGAGGCCTACGAGAGCGAGGAACCCAATGTCCCGGCTGCACCCGTCGAGGAGGAGCAGGAGGTCAAGGTATCCCCTCTGCCCGCATTCGAGAACGCCGAGAACCCTATCCAGCTGGCACCCGGTGAGCCCATTCCTGAGGATGTCACTGTGGCTTCTATCGACGATCATGTGAAGTTGGACAAGGAGGCCTACGAGAGCGAAGAACCTACCGTACCGGCCGCGCCAGTTGAGGAGCAGGAGTTCAAGGTGTCCCCCCTCCCTGCGTCTGATAATGCGGAGAATCCAGTTCATCTGGCGCCTGGTGAGCCGATTCCGGATGTCGAGCCTGCCCATATTCATGACCATGTCAAGCTCGACAAGGAGTTCTTTGAGAGCACCGAGCCTACTGTCCCTTCTGTGCCTGTGGAGGACCTGGAGCAGGAAGTTCAGATTGCGCCCCTGCCTGCGTTCGAGAACGCCGAGAATCCCATTCGGCTGCAGCCCGGGGAGCCCATTCCGGAAGACATCACCACTAGGTCTGTCCAGGACCACGTCAAGCTTGACCAGGAATCATACGAAAACACTGTGCCAAGCGTGCCCATTGAGCTGCCTGAGGAGACGAAGACCGAGACTCCCGTTCAGGAAGTTGCGGAAACAGCGGCTGAGGTGGCAGATGCTGCCCAGAAGTTGGACCAGTCCACTACCGAGGAAGTAAAGGGTAAGGTGTCCGTATTTCATAACCCTCATTCAGTTCTTGCTTCGCCCGGGTGGAAACTAATATCTAGGAAAGATGTCGAACCGACTTCGGAGGTTACCCGGGTAGAGGAGCCAGTCCTCGCTGTCGAGGAGGCTCCTGGTACGCCGCCCATTCCAGCCGGTATTGTGGGATTGCGCACTGACCAGGGATTAGCTACTCCGGCAGAGAACAACTCTACCCCTGAGCCCGCCAAGGAAGAGTCTGGAATCGACTTGAGCGACTTCGTCGTTCCCGGCGCGTTCGCTGGTGCTGCGATTGCTGCTGGTGCTGCCGCTGTCGTTCTTTCCCGTAAGTCGGATGGGACCGAGGATAAATCCGTCGAGCCGCCAAAGGTTGAGCACCTCGCCGACGAGACGGCCCAACACAAGAAGCCTGATGCATCACCGGTCACGGAAGCAGTCGACGAATCTACTGCCCACCGAGCGGCTGGAGAGGAGTTGATCACGGAGCCCGCTCCGCAAGCATCTCCCTCACCCGTTCACGGTAAAATCGTTCCCGAGACCGAAATCCCCAAGCTTCTCGAGGATTCTGAGGCTACACGGGGTGTTACACCGACGGTTCTAGTATCACCTCCTGCCGTAGAAGAGGGTTCTGGCCAGGCGACACGCACAGTAGAGATCGTACAACCTACCCCTGCAGGTGAGATCTTCACGAGTCCGGTGTGGAACCAGTCCGTAAGTCCTTTCTTACAATATTCTTTAGAAAATTCGCCAGAAGGCATTAGACAGAGGAAGAATCTTGGAGCGACCTCTACCCAGGAGCGTCCGGCAAGCTCAGGAAGCGACATTGTGTCTGCTAGAGCGCATCGCAACATCATGCACAATTTCTGGCAGATGTTTTTCTTTGGTTGGTTTGGAGGCATGGGACGGTTCTTCTCTGGTGTTTTTGGAAAGAAGAAGAAGGAGAAGAACGCCGCAAAGGCTGCTGCGGCTGCGGCTGGAGCTTCTTCATAACGGGGAGGCGCGCTCGGGGAGTAAATAATGTATGTTATGTGTGGAGGCTTGACCGAGAGACGGGTACGTAATGTCATAGTAGGGCGGTTTGGGCGGGCGGGCGGCTGTTTTTTCCCTTTCGTCGCTGTTTCTCTGTATTGGCTGTTTCTTTCTTGCGTTTTCCCTTCGTTTCTTGTTGCGGTGCGGCTTTCTATTCTTCATGCTCACGCGGTTTCACATCGGTTTGTTCTTATTCACCTTTCATCCGCGCTCCATGTTTGTTGTCAGGAGATATCAATGATGGTTTATGATTTTGCTCTTACTCTTCTCTCAGCTCTGTTCTTTTCTCGGTGCAAAGGAATCTTGTTCTGCGTTCCTGATGGACGGATTATGTTGTCTACGGCGTGACGATTCGCTTCCGTTGGAGAAGCACTATCTGAGTTGATGTGATTACCGTATTCCATACGAAGCATCCAGGCATTGCGCGTGGACAGGGACAAGACAAGACAAGCCCCAGCCCTGTCGGTCTCAGGCACCCCGCAGATCGCCGCCGGAATTGGACGCGGTGCCGACATGCCTGACCGGGTCGTGATTGGAACGGGAGGGCGGCACGTCACCAGTGACTCGCTGGCCCTGCTGGCACGCCTACATAGAATGCATATAAATTCTGGGAGTGCTGCCCGCCCTGTGATCGTAACTACAGCCACAACGTGCGTGACGATGCTGTTCTCCTGGATCCTGCTCACTACGGCTGCCACTGCCACGGCGGCGACGGCGCTGCAAGTCCTGCCGCCCGTCAACTGGACTTCCACCACTACTACTACAGATGTCTTCAAGATCGCCAATGCGCCGCCGACGGTGTACGTCTCCTCCTCCTCAGCCGCAGTCCGCGACACCGACGGCATCACCCTCATCCCCCCCTCTACCCTCGAGTTCGCAAATACCTTCGCCGCCGATCTTTTAGACCTCTTCGGGAGAGAATTCACGGTGCAGGTTGTCGACGAGCCGCCGAGTGCCGGCGTGTACTTGACCATCCTGCCAGAGGAGGCGAGAGGCGGGCTGGAGTATGAGTCCGGCCAGGCGACGACAGAGGGGTATGAGCTCGAGATAAGTGGAGCGTTGGTGCAAGTGAAGGGGGCCGGGGCGAGGGGGGCTTGGTGGGGGACGAGGACGCTGCTGCAGAGCTTAGTGGTTGGTGATGGGACTGTGAAGGCGGGGAAGACACGGGATGCTCCCGCCGTGAGCACTCGCGGGTTTATGCTCGACGCTGGACGGAAGTGGTATTCACTCGGTGTATGTTCATCCTCCTCCTCTCGGTTTTCCTCTATCTGACGCTGGGTAGCTCCTCAAAGAACTATGTACCTACGCCAGCTTCTTCAAGTTCTCGGAGTTCCAATACCACGCCAGCGACAACTACCCTTTGAACCGGGGGCGGAATGAGACGTGGAGCGAGGTGTACAGCCAATTCTCGCTGCTTCCCGAGGATGAATCACTGCTCGGACTGATCGCTCGGAAGAACGAGACGCTCTCGCGCATGAAGTTTGCGGACTTCCAGCGGCACTGCGCGCAGCGCGGGATCACGGTCATTCCCGAGATCGAGAGTCCCGGGCACGCCTTAGCGATCACGAAGTGGATGCCGCAGCTGGCGCTGGCAAAGAAGGATCTGCTGAATCTTACGCACCCAGAGACGATTCCAACCGTCAAGAAGATCTGGAACGAGTTCTTGCCGTGGTTCATGACCAAGGAGGTCCATATCGGCGCGGATGAGTATGATGCGACGCTTGCGGATGTCTACATCGCGTTTGTTAATGAGATGGCGGCTTGGGTCAAGGAGGTCAGCGGGAAGAGGGTCAGGATCTGGGGGACCAATGAGCCCTCGACCACGATGAGTGTCAGTAAGGATATTGTCATCCAGCACTGGCAGTACGGCGAGTCGGACCCGGTGCTACTCGAGCAGCAGGGATACGACGTGATAAACAGTGAAGACTGGTGGGGCTACGTCTCCATCAAGAACGACCACACGCCGATCCTGCCGCGGCCGTACCCGCAGCATTTCGATACCGACCGCACACTGAACTTTGCCGGCGTCGAGGGGTGGCAGTGGGAGCCGCGCCTTGTCAATCCGTTCAATACGAGCGAGGAATGGCAGATTCCGCAGGGGAGCAAGAGGCTGCGGGGTGCGACAATGGCGAGCTGGAACGACAACGGTCCGGATGCGAGCACGCAGCTAGAGGCGTACTACGCGTGGAGGGAGGGGATGCCTGTCGTTGGTGCACGCGCCTGGAGCGGGAGTCGTGGCCCGCTGCTGGATACATCCACCCTCGCCGAATCCGTCGCCCGCCTCGCCACCGCCGCCCCCGGGCAGAATCTCGACCGCCGTATCCCAGCTCTGCCTGTGAGCTGGAACGGCACCACTCCTGCGGTGATAGGCCTCGGCAGCAAGGGGATGAACTACACCCTCACCATCTCGTACACCGCACCATTCACTCTCTCCTCTCTACCCGACGCGAACCTCACCCTCCTCCCATCGGGCGAACTCCACTTCATCGCCGACGGCACACACTACCCGCTCCGCTCGACCTCGTCCTCGGCCGGCTACGACGCGGGCCACCCGGGCCGGATCTGGAGCAACGACACCAGCTCATCGCACGAAGCAGTGCTGCTTCCGTCTCGGGGCACGGTAGTTATCCGGACCGACGAGATTGGCGGCAGCCGCGTGTGGGCTGGCGGGGAGGACGAGGAGTTTCTGGGTAGGTTTGAGGCGTTTGTCTACGGTGGCAGGAATACGGTCACTAGCTGGAGTCAGATGGCCTTCGTGGCGCCGATGTATGAGGCTACGGGAGACGTGGTGGAGGCGACGATCAGTGAGGGCGTGTGATACGGGAAAGCTTTGTAATTGAGACGCGGCAAGGCTGGTATCATAATGGCAATAAATTGAAGGGCGGTTAGTTCTTAGGGCAGTCTGCTGGTTGAACGTCAATGGATTTTACTGGGTGCTATGTATGATACTATGTACACTCTAGTACTGACTGTTTACGTGATTGACGGCCATGGAGAGTCTGCTACTATGGCCGGCTGGTGCTGGTACGACATGCTTTTGGGTGACCAGGGGCGACCACAGGAGCCCGTACTCGGTTTCGCCAAAGGAAGAGGGATCATGGCGAAAGGCTCAACGGTAATAGATTCATGGGCATTCACTCGTTAGTCTGGAAGATTACACTTACCAATAATAGCAAAAGTGGGGGGCGATTGGTGCCGAAGGTCTCCAGTAGTACTACCGCACGGATTTAAATCCAGCAGTCTCATGAGAATACATATTTACTCTGTAATCCTTTTTCCTCCTGTAGTTAGTCTCAATCCTACGGTATCGAAAAATTATACGCAGTGTTATGAAGATACGCTTACTAAAAAGCCGGAAGAACTACCGTAGTTCTTCCGAATGCAAAGTGATACGCGGTGTCCGGAATACCAGAGACCTACCAGAGAACTACTATACCTTATTCGCACAATAGCGTAGATGGTGCAGAGAAAACGATGTCATGCTGATCAAGTAGGTAGTTCCTAGACTGTAGTAAAACTATGACGACGAGTCCTACGGAAGAAATGCCGTGCTGAGCAGAATGCACCGGTCATTTAATTCGGTATGCATACAGTAGAAATCCTGTAGTTTCGAGAATACGTACTGTGAGTAAGACGTGCTGTAGGCAAGCAAGCATTTACGACATTCGTGTAGTGGAGGAAGTGCCGTAGGGATACAGAATAAATGCTGGAAAGGAAACTCCGCAACTATACGGATTGAGCTGAATATAGTAGAGCTGCCGAGTCCCTACAGAATTGAGAAGTATCTGTCAGTGCATTTATGTACTTTTATGGTAACCATGGAAATCCCAAGGCTTATACGGTATTATGTAGGCACTGTATCACGCTTGTGGGTAAGCAAAAGCGAGTGTAGATCAAGCCAAATATTTACCGACAGGTGCATGATACAAGTAGGCGGGCGAGCGATCGCTCGTGCTGCTAGGGGTGGGGGGGGGGTGTTGGCTTTTTCCAACTCAACTTGTTTTCAAACCTCTGGACAGATAGCAAGTCCAGCCCCACAATACCAAGCTATCGAGATCGTCTGGGTGGATCCAAAATACTTGCATCGTAATCGGTGTCTATCCAGCACTGTCCCTGACGAATCCAGCTCCGTGGGTTTCCGTGGAGTGGATGAGTCGTAAATCGATGCTCAAAATGTTCATATCCGTGTGCATAGAGCAGTGATAAGCAGTGGAGCATGAACATTCTGACGCCACAGAGTTGCGGAAACTAAGGGATAATCTCCCCACCAGGAAACGTTATACGAAAAACATCTGAGAGAGAGACCTTCCTGTTTTGTTTCGCATGCAGCCTATCTAAACTATGGCGAACTAACGAACTCCTTTTCCTGCCCGCCCTGGCCAGTCGAGGTGAAATCCCCGGTACCGGCCAGTCCGTGCCTTACTTCCCCTGCCCATCCGCCTCGGGCCGACGGAAACATCTTTTGGCATAATCTTTTCGGCAGCTTTCAGTCGATTGAGTGACAGCTCATGTCCACGGCCTTGTATGTACGTGTATCGCTGCTTCGTCCGTGTTGCTTACTCCTTCAAAGCACTCTCATTCAACTCCATAAGGCTATTGAGTGCTCAATGTATCTACTGGAAAGGAAGCCGGGCCAATTTGTGCGTTAGGTCCCGTCGGGTTCGATTTCCCATAACGCTGCTGAGCTGTCAATGGTGTCCGGCAACAAAGTCGCAGCCTGTCGTTCACGGGCATCGTGTTGTCCGCGTAGACTTAGGTCGATGGTTACGATAGAGACGGATTGGGCAGTGTTTTCGGCTACATACCTCTCCCTGGTTTTCTTGTATCCGTCAGAAAACATGTAAACCTGTATCTTTGGAAACATGCTGGAGAGAGAGCTCAAATAGCTTGTCTTGAGTTGGAGGAGCTCTTCTTGAGCTGTATTCGATTCGTTCATGCCATGTAGCCCTACGGATCTACGAGTCCTTTATAGCCTTCAATCCTAGAGTGATATCTCATTCGGCATCAACACGCTTGCCTTCCTCATTTCAACTCCGGTAGATTAATCGTCATCTCACTCGTTACGTCAAGATCGGGCCTAGCGTTGCATGCTGATACTCGTACGCACGAGCATGGTCTGCCTGCGGGGTTCATCTTCCAATCACCGACCACTCCCTTGTCCCCCGGCTTCCATCGTCGAGCCCGGATTCGCATGGGTAAGTCGTCAATCCACCCAGTTCCCCCACAGTTTCAGCAGTTGAGCGAAGTAGGTCGGAACGTCCGCAAATAGGAATACCTATGCCTGAATACCGGGCTTTCATCGACGCTCGTGTCGTGTGCTGGAGTGAGATTGGGCGAAGCGATTGCCGAAGGGACGTTGGTCTAGTTTACGGCTTCACACGCTCGGTGCTGGCCAGAAGCACCAGACTTTAGCAGCGCCTTCTTCTTCTTCGAGGACATCATCGACTCATCATCGCCCTCAGAAGGCAGTAATGATGGCCAAGACGGTGGACGGGATACCGCCGTGCAGTGGAAGTTCATTCACATCATTGATACGGCTTTTATCCGCTGCCTGATGTATATGGAGCTAGGCTTACCGGCGCGAAATCCGAAATCCGGTTCTTGGAGACGCATGCAGCGCCTGTGAGGGGTCCATCGTTTGCGGGGGAGAGATGAAGTAGCAGAAACACGAGACGTCGGAACGGATCATCATCATTGGCCGCGGGGTGTTGCCTGTGCAGCACAGGTGGGGATGGCCCGTTTGTGCACAAGTTGCATGCGCCCACCGTTTAGGCGGAAGGACTGAACTGTGGAGGATGCTCCGCTGTGGGGTTGGCATTCGCAGCTAGTTAAGGCGTACCGAGCGGGGGCGGGGGCGGAGAGAGCCAGGCGCAATGCCCCGGAAACTGCGAGCCCGATATTCCCATGCAATTGACGTTTATCCAAACGATGGTATGCAGTGGTGCTTTTCACCCATTGCTCGCCTCGTCAAGCTCGCTCACCTAAGCTGACCGGCACCCCGCAAACCTCCCATCGGTCTTTCCCCGCCGTCGATCTCATCCTTCGAACTCGGTTTCGTCGTTTCATCGAACCATGGTACATACCCGTACCTCCCAGCGTTTAGAACACCAACCCCATTTTCCAATTTCACGGGCCCGGCGATATGGACTCATCACGAACCGAGGATAAACGGCCCCTCGGATGCATGCACGACGGGTTTTCCTGGTTTCTGCAATAAACTGGCGGATATCGACGTATCAACTGGATGCAGGTACGTTCGTTGTCCCTTGGCACACGGGCCATATTAATTGTATGTACAGCGGGTGATTTGACGAATGTTTGTACTATGGCAATCGGTGCAAAGGGTGCCGACTTTCCTCACCAACACACCTTGCAAGGTGGTATGTGCTTTTTAACCGTGCATACCATCCCCGCCACCGGAGAAAGCTGGTGGTCGTCCCGTCGATCGACATGATTTACCGGGGTGGCGTGTGTTCACCCGGGGTTTGCCAACGGAGAACTCGGGATAGTTACACCACCTCAATCAAAAATAACAAAAAAAACTCAATTCCTCGTACGGGCATGTAATGAACGTGTACGATATTGGCATTGTCCCGGACTATAAAGCCCCAATTGCTGCCAGAATATTGGTCTCCATCCCCCGTGTTCCCCGTGCACCAGGGCCTCGGTTTTCTCCACAAACGTGACTCGAAAATCCATCACTATGAAGCTTCACGTCCTCGCCCTCTTGGGCGCCGCCTCTATGGCAAAGGCCGCGAACACCACCTACCCGTACAAGGATGCCACACTGCCGATCGAAGAGCGCATCTCCAACCTCCTGTCCCTCATGACGCTGGAAGAGAAGATGGCGCAGATGATGCAGGGCGACATCTCCAACTGGCTCAACACCACGTCGGGAGAGTTCAACCGCACCGGCCTGGTCGAGAACATGAAGACAAAAGCCGGACAGTTCTACGTGGGCTACCCGATCTCTTGGGATTGGCTGCAGAAGGAGACGGAGCGCGGGCAGAGGTACCTCGTCGAGGAGACTCGACTTGGAATTCCCGCGCTCACGCAGACGGAGGGTACGTGCTCTGTTCCGATGCGATTGCGACCGGTGAAGGGACTGACAGGTGCGTGAAAAAAGGTATCCATGGATTCTTGTTGGAGAATGCGACCATCTTCAACTCCCCCATCGCATACGCCTGCGCGTGGGATACCGAGTTGGTCTACAAGCTCGCCGCGGTGGTGGCGAAAGAGTCACTCGCTCTCGGTGTGAACCACATGTTCGCTCCCGTCGTCGACCTGGCGCGAGAACTTCGCTTCGGGCGTGTCGAGGAGATGTTCAGCGAAGACCCATACCTGTCAGGCGAGCTGGGGTACGCATTCGTCAAGGGTCTGCAGGATCATGGCGTCGCTTCCACGGTAAAGCATTTTGCAGCATTCGGAACGCCAGAGGGTGGGTTGAACACCGCGCCTGTGCATGGTGGCGAGAGGGAGATGCGACGAACGTATCTGCCCGCGTTTAAGAGGACCATCATCGATTCGGATGCGTGGAGTGTCATGAGTGCTTACCACTCGTACGATGGAATACCGGCGGTCGCGGATTACCATCTGCTCACGGAGATTCTGCAGGAGGAGTGGGGTTTCAAGTACCACGTGATGACTGATGTTCGTATTCTTCACAGATTCTCACTAGACATTAGAGGGCATGCTGACTTTTCCAGGCCGGAGGAACCGACAGGATCTGCAACGACCACGGTCTCTGCGAGCGTGGCGACATGGAGGCGATCACCCAGTTCGCTCTCGGGGCAGGCAACCACGTCGAGATGGGTGGTGGATCGTTCAACTACCGGACTATTCCCAAGCTTCTCGAAGCCGGCAAGATCAAGCAGAGCCTCGTCGACGATTCTGTCTCTCGTATTCTGAGGACCAAGTTCGCCATGGGCCTCTTTGAGAACCCTTTCTCGGCGGCACCGAAGGATCAGTGGAAGAAACTTATCCACTCAGCGGAGGCGATCAAGCTGGCGCGGACGATCGATGCCGAGAGTATCATCCTGCTGGAGAACGATGGCGTACTCCCGCTCAACAAGAAGAAGGTCAAGAGCATTGCCGTGCTCGGCCCGATGGCTGATGGATTCATGAAGTAAGTCATCTCGCAACCATTGAACCGATCGTCAAGTCTGACTCGATGCGCAGCTACGGAGACTACGTCGTCAAGGGCTCAATGTACCGCGGCGTCACACCCCTTGCAGGAATCAAGTCGGCGCTCAAGGGTACCGGCGCGAAGGTCACCTACGCCAAGGGCTGTGAGCGCTGGTCCAATGACCAATCTGGGTTCGCGGAGGCCGTTGCTGCAGCCAAGGCCGCCGAAGTCGCAGTTGTCGTCGTCGGAACGTGGTCCCGAGACCAGTTCGAGCTCTGGAGGAATTTTAACGCCACCACTGGAGGTATGCCATCCCATTTCGATTCCTTCCTCCCTTGCCCATCATTGACGTATCTTTGCACATAGAGCACATCGATGTCCACAGCCTCAACCTCGTAGGAGCACAAGCGCCCCTCGTCCGCGCCGTGCTGGAAGCCAACCCCAACACGATCGTGGTCTACTCCTCTGGCAAGCCCGTGACCGAGGCGTGGATCTCGGACAAGGCAGCCGCACTGGTGCAGCAGTTCTACCCGTCGGAAGAAGGCGGCAACGCTCTCGCCGACGTCCTCTTCGGCTCGCAGAACCCGTCCGGCAAGCTCACGGTCTCGATCCCGCACGACGTCGGCACGACCCCCAGCTACTACGACTTCATGAAGGGCGGCCGCTACAGCTCCCCCGGCGCCGCGTACGAGAACGGCACCCTCGTCTTCGGCCAGCAGTACGTTCTCTCCAGCCCGATACCACTGTACCCCTTCGGCTACGGCAAGAGCTACACCACCTTCTCGCTGCAGAACGTGACGCTGTCGGCGACCAACGTCACCGCGTCCTCGATCGTCAAGGCCAACGTCGTGATAAAGAACACGGGCAAGCTTCCCGGCGCCGAAGTCGTGCAGTTCTACGTCACCGATAAGATCGCCTCCGTCACCACGCCCAACATGGAGCTCAAGGGCTTCAAGAAGGTCTTCCTGAAGGCCGGCGAGACGAAGAAGGTCAGCGTCGACATCGATGTCAGCACGCTCGGCGTCTGGACCGTGCGCAGTAAGTATGTCGTCGAGGACGGCGAGTTCATCGTCAAGGTCGGACAGGACAGCAGTACCACCGGGATCAGGTCGACGGCGTCGTTCTGGGTCAGTTAGATTTTCGACTCGACATAAATGTGAAACGGATTGCGTGCGATTGCGTGCGACAAGGGTGAAAGACTACGATTTTTTTATTTTTTTATTTTTTGGGTTCACGAATTATCATGATCTTTGTGGTTCCGGGTGGTTTCTCCGGGTGGTTTCTCCGCGCGGATGTGGGCAGTATGTACTAGTAGCAGAGTAGAGACATCTTACTCCGCCGGTGCGCGGTGGCTGATACTTGGGTATATCCCTACCCGCCTCCGTATGTATGTAATTCAAATTTAATTCAAACGAGGAGAGAAGAGAAGAGAGAAAAGAACTCGCTTTCGCTTCTACCCAGTGCCCACTGTCTCGTGCGAACCCTCGGTATATTAGGCCACATCCCGGGACTCCCGGTCAAGTGAGTGAGTGAGTGAGTGAGTGAGTGAGTGAGTGAGTGAGTGAGTGAGTGAGCGAGTGAGTGAGTGAGTGAGTGAGCGAGTGAGCGAGTGAGCGAGTGAGCGAGCACCTTCCCCACCCTAACCACCCGCGGCTACCGGAACGGACTCCCTCGAGACGTGCCGAGACGAGACGGGATGATCGACATGGACATCCGACATCAGGACGGACGGCGCCGGAGGAGCTGTAGTCACTTTTTTCCGTTTCCGGTTGGCGCCCTTGGTAGTAAGGTAGGATGTAAAGCAACCACCGTTTGATCGACAGGAGTACCGTACCATACCGGTAGTTAGTATCATAGGCCGGATACGGCTTTGACGCCGGACGGCCGAGGATTACGGATGGATCGACGTCCTGAGTCCGCATAACGGCTCTGATGATCGGCCCGGGTAGAGGGAGGGAGGGAGGGAAGGGAAGGGAAGCCGTACAGCTCTCCGCAGACCGCGGTTGAGTGTCCTCACAGCCGCGAGTACCGGTGCCGGTATTTGGGTTCGCCTCATCCCGCCCGTGTGCCTCCTCCTGTTCTTGTGGGCCTCTTCTTGTGGGTGTATGTACGGTGCTCTACTTACTCGAGGTAAGCGGTAAACGGGGGCGTTTCCATGTCAGAGCCTACCTCGAAATCCCCTACCTAGTCCTGGACCCTGCGGAATTCTGCGATAACTGCCCATTCACATTCACCAACATCTCACTCGACTCGAATCGTCGCTCTGTCGCTGGCCGCTGTCGGTTAGTCTTATTCGGTCGATGACGGCAGCAACAGCGACAGCATAGCGACAGCGACAGCAACAGACAGCCACAGACAACAACAGCGACAACGACAGGGACAGCGACTGCAACAGCAACAGCCACCGCAACAGCAGTAACAGCAGCAGTATCAGTATCATAGGTAGGAGTGACTGATATCGGATGACAGAGCATGATGTCCCGTTGTTGGTGTGTCCACTCTTCGTATGATAGAGTATGATATCCACCTACATGTTGTCGGTGTGTCCACTCTTCACCTTCACCGGACGCAGTCTCCCAATCCCACGCAGTCTCCCAATCCCACGCAGTCCCCCCTCCGTCGGCGTCGACGTCACTCCGCTTCCCCGCTTTTTTTCCTGCGACCTGCGGACGCGACGAACTCAAGCCAGTGCAGCCATTGGAAGGAACCGTGCATCCGCCAGATCAATCAAACCAGTCCAGTAGTCCAACCAGGCCAATGCAATGCTGCAATGCAAGCGTGAGCTTGAACATGAACCTGTGCATGTCGTATGATTTCCGCATGGCGGTGGGGTGCTGGTGGTGGTGTGGTACTACTACGGGAGAGCTAGATAGGTAGTGGGTGTGGAGGGAGTGTGGATGGCAAGGGGAGGGGAGAGGGTGCGTACTAGCGAAGGACCTGCTGGAGCCTGGGAACACAACGAGTGGGAGGCACCGCGAGTGGCTGCGGTTAGCAGAACCCAGCACAGCAACACCCCGCACTGCACTGCACTCAATTCTTCCTGCACCATCCATCGTCCACCGTCCACCGTCCACCGTCCACCGTCCACCGTCCAGCTCAGCCACTCTTCCTCCCTCCTCCTCCATCCGTCCAATGCCAGCTCCCCTCCATATGATACCCACATACCGTACCCACAGACACCACCGCCTCACCATGCAGTCGCAATTGCAGGAGTTTTTCTTTTCCACCCAATCCAACCGCCCCATCCAATCCAATAGCATCCAATAGCACCCAATACTATGGCCGGAGACGATTTCCACGATCGATTCGATACGATATTACGATATTACGATATTTGTGAAGGGATTGGATCTCGTTCCGTTCGTATCCCTGCGACACCTTTTTTTCTTCTTCTTTGCTTTGCTTTGCTTTGCTTTCTTTTCTTTTCTCCCTTTCGGTCGGGGGAGGTGGGGGAGGCGGATGGAGGAGGTGGATAAGCGGGAGGGGGGAGGGGAGGGGATAAGGGGGATAAGGGTAGGAGGGAAAGGGTAGGAGATTTCGATTTCGGTTGGACCTTGCACGCGTGGTTTCAGCCCTACACTTTCATACTTTGAAGTTTGCCCCTCCTCCTACGTGTGGCTCTTCAGGCTCCCCCCCATCACCCCAGTCCCCGGTTTGACGCGACGATGGCGACGATGGCGAATAACATGAAGTAGAAGAGCAACGACAGACTACCGGTACTACGGTATTACGGACCCCGCGTCCGAGCCCACACGCCCACATGGTGCGAATCGCGATTGAGCTGGCCCCCGAGATGGGAGGCAAATCGCCCAACGCCGTCAACGCCGTCAACCCTCTCACTAACTAAGCACTTGTGTTGAAGCGCAAATATCTCACATACAAATATCTCAACTATTTCAAATACCTTCTTAGTTATCTACCGTACCGTACCGGAGTACCGGTAGTAGTTGACACTCGAGAGCGGACAGGCACAAATTGTGACGATAGTTATCTTGAGTACCTACTCGGTCCATGCATGCGGCGGCGGCGTGTGGAGCGACGGTGTCCACTGTGCGGCGTGTCCACTGTGCGGCGTGTCCACTGTGCGGCGTGTCCACTGTGCGACATGCGAACGGCGAAAGGCGAACCCAGTCAGCACTGAGCAGTTCGCCTTTGTCCTGTCCCGCGTCTCCTCGGAGGCTCGTTTGCGCCCAGCTTTCGTTCGTTGGCCTTCCGCTGTCCTTCCGCTGTCCTTCCGCTGTCTGTCTGTATGTCCGTCCGTCTGTATGTCGGACCGTCCGGCTGTAAGTCCGTAAGTCTGGCCGTCCATCTGCCGTCGTGTCGCATCGTCGTTGCTGATGTTTAACACTGCGCACATACGTAGCTCAGAGTGTAGGCACGGCGCAGGCACGCACACACGTGCCGGTCTTGGCCTGACTTGACCGCCAGGACTTCACAACCCCCGGAAGTCCGAAGCTTTTGTTCGGCATGCGGAGTACCAGTACCGCCTTGCACCCATCCGGAGTCCCGGTAAGTAGGCACGCAGGCAAGCAGGCACGCAGGCAAGTCCCGACAGATCCGCCAGCCGGAATCGGCGATCTGATGTCTCGTTAACCGCGGCAGCAGGGCAGCGAAGGCGTGCGGTGGGCTGGGTTTGGATGTTTTGCAGTTTGGCTGGGTTTGGCTGGGTTTGGGTTTCGCTGTGGTTGGCGGTTTGGCTGGGTTGTGGTTGGCTGGGTTGGTTGGTTGGCTGCGTGGGCTGGCTGGGCTGCGAGGGCTGGCCGCTGGGCGTGTGCGGTTGTTGGGTCCGCTACTGGGTACTACCTACTAACTACAGTCTACATGTGGGTATATGTACTAGGTACTATGGTATGGTACAATCGCCCCCCAGGCCCCAGCAGGAGATACGTAGCTACACACGCCGTATGTACGCAGAGCAGAGGAAGGGAAGGGAAGGGAAAGACAACGTCGGGACGCACTGGGATGGGTACCCTGAGTAAATACCCAGAAGGGTATGTACGTCATCGTATCTCCGGAGGTGCGCTTACGTGCATCAACGGGTCGATCTACAGACCTACCTACGGACCTACAGACTTTCCGCCTTCCATCCATCATCCATGTAGAGGGTTTCCTGGGAAACGGGCGCAGACTCTGCGGACTCTGCGGACTGCGGAGGGAGACATGATTACATACTTGGGTGCTATGAGGACCCTTATGGTATGTTGAGGGTATATAGCGTGTCTGCGCAAGCAACGTGATAGGCTGCCAAGTGGTTGGTTACCTACCTAGTCCTCGGTGCAGTGTGCACCTTAGGTAGGTACTCTAACTAGGGTAGCCGCGCAGGAGAAAGAGGGTCCTCCGGCCGGCAGACACGTTATGCGGGGATGGGGGAGGCGAATAACTAATGGTGATGGCGGTGGCGATGGCGGTGGTGGTGGTATCTATGATATGTACGCAGAGTACGGTAGGTGTCGGTACGTAGAGTATCTGGAGCGGAGTACTCTACCGCAGAGTACGCAGACTCACAGTGCGTGCTGATATGGCCTCTAGGTGCCCAGTCAGTCAGTCAGTATTTGTTCCCTTGCAGGAGCTGGCAGGTAACAAGTACTCTATCATATGTAGGTTGGTAAGGAGGCTCACGACAGCTGCTCGTACATACATGCCATAGCAGGCATGAAGTTTTCCAACCTGCAGCTACTCTAGAGTAGAGTGATGCCTTGGCCCCCAAGGCCTCTCGCCAAGCAGTAGATACTCCAGGTCTCCGAGTAGTCTCTCATCAAAGAGGAATCCATCGCGCTAGTTACGAGAGGTTGAAAACTTTGTGCCCACCACGATGTATCCACTCGAGCACGCAGAGCAGGGACGAGTACTCAGAACCCCGAGTAGGGTAACTACCATATAACTACCCAGTAGAGTAGAGCCGATACAATCCCGATCATCGGCTGTGACTGAGACCGAGCGAGCGGTCGGTTGAAAAAGCCAGGAATCCAGCCCATCTCGATCCGCTCTCGCGCACGGACGGAACGGGCTTGCAACCCACAAACATGATCGAGTCGCGACTCGCGACGACTGCGCCCCTGATTTTCCCGGGAGGAGGTGGGGAGGCGGCGGCGACGAAGAAGAGGAAGTAGGAACCGCACTTATTTTTTGATCTGGAGATGGCTTCCGTCCCTTGGGGGAGGGATGGGGGACTGGGGGGAGGGCAAAGGCAAAGAAATGCAAAGAGGGAAAGGAAGGGTTTGGGTTTAAGGTTGCATTGCGGGTCGCTTTCCCGAGCCACTCAAAATCAGCGAATGGCGCGAGCGTGTGGGTGGTACAGGCCAGGCCAGCCTCAAAGGCAACCGGGCGGTCTAGATCCGCGAACCCAAGTGTGCTTGTTTGGGGTTCCGACAGTATGTCCTCCGGGTCCAACATCCACAGATCACTGCTGCTTTGCGCGCGAGAGCTATCTGCGGATTTCCAGTGCATCACGCCAGCCCCCCCTCCCCCCCGCAGATAGTTGCAGCCACGTCAGGAACTTGCAATGGATTTTTTTCTTCCTTCGCCGTCCGACGGACCATGGCGATTGACTGTGTAGTTGCTCCTGCTGATGCTGCTTCGCCTGCTGATTATGCTGCTCATGCTGCTGCTCCTGCTGCTCGCAGCTTGCTTGCTCGCCCGTTGCGATTGGCATGGCTTGTAGGGAGTCGTTTCGTGCGTGCAACGTGGTAGGTCTTCCTCCTCCTCGTCCTGGGGCGCCAGCGAAGAATCGTTCGAGAAGGACGACGAGGTGACAAATTGTAGACGAGGTTTCCGGGACCCCAAGCGCGCATATCGTCACCCCACGACGTCCACAACTGCACACGCACTTCGCACGGCTGCTGCTGCTGCTTGGTAGGGTGGTTGGCGGTGACAGCGATAATCCATTTCCATCGTGGAACGTGTGGAGATCGATATCGGAGCCTTAGGGGGGAAGGGGGGAGGGACTCGACTGCCCTGACCGACTGGCTGACTGACTGACTGACTGACTGACTGACTGACTGACTGACTGACTGACTGACTGACTGACTGACTGACTGACTGACTGACTGACTGACTGACTGACTTGACTTGACTCTGCGCTGCCTGTAAGTCACCTCTGTGGCCGGGCTGTCCCATCCGGGCTTTCTGTCCGGGCTGTCCGTCTCTGTCCGTCCGTGCGAATTCCATACTCTACATACCTGCGACCCGCTTGCTGGCTGTGGGTCTGCAGACTGCAAAGGAGGAAAGAAAGAACGAACGAAAGAAACGAAAGAACGAAAGAAAGAAACGAAAGAACGAAAGAAAATAAAGACGTGCTGTGTCTCCGCTGCTGCTGCTCCGTCCACCGTACCATATCATACCATACGATACCATTCCGTACCGAAAAGAAAGGAAGCTGCAGGGCGCTGACCACAACAAATTGGAGGAGCGGTGGAAATCATCGTCGTGGACTCGTGGAGCCATTCTTCTCTTGTCCTCCCCTCATTGATAAAAAAAAAAAAAAAGAAAGCGAGCGAGCGAGCGAATTGTACGTACTCTAGACGACCGTAACAGTGCCTCGCTTCCTCCCCCCCTCGTCGACCGAAGTCGAGACCGCGGCCGGCCTCGTGGTATCTAGCTGCGTCGTGGGACATCACCTACTAACATTGCCCTACATCATGTCCCTGGCCGAACACCGACCAAACCGAGCGAGCGGGTTCGTGATAGGTGGTAGGAGGAGAATGATGATGAGGAGAGCGGAGGAGACTACACCAGCAGCAGCAAAAGAAGAAGAAGCAGCAGCAAGAGCAGAAGCGGAACGCAGGTCTAATAGCATGGACCTGTTGCCAACGGATAGGGCGCCTCCGCAGCGGTGGGCCGGGAGCAGTCGGACTTCGTGCCATTCCGTCAAGGAGAACAGAGCTAGCAGAGTCCATAAATCTTATGCACCACCACCACGTCCGGTTGCCATAAAAGACGGCGATGCCCGCGGCATAGTTTCGCCTCCGATACGGGACGGAAAGAGAAAGATAGTGGGAAACGGCCAAGACGACGAAGATCAAGACGAAGATCCAGACGAAGAACAAGACGACGACGACCGCGGACAATTACCACAGAGCATGGTCGTCCATATGAAAACTGCTTCGCCGCCGCCTCCACCGCCGCCGTTAGTGCAACCACAGCAACCACATCAGCAACGGCAACAACAACTACAGCAACATCAACTTCCACATCAATATCAACAGCAGCAACAGTCGCAATCCAGTAGCAGTCTCAACAGCTATCACAAACGTCCTGCCGTTTCCCGAACACCCTCCAACGACTCGAGTTCCTCTTCCGGAAGCTCTCTGTCGGCCGGCTCGCCCCGTGGCGGGATGACCAGCTCTGGTGCTGGTGCTGGTGCTGGTGCTGGCGCTGGTGCTGGCGCTCCATATACCGGTAGTCGACCCGCCGGTACGGGTTGGGGCCAACCGCCACCGAGTACTCCTCCTTCGCATCAAATACGACACTCGCCCTCGTCCTCCTCCTCCTCGATCAACAATAATATCAACAACAATAACAACAACAACAGAGCAAAGATGCAGCGATCACCGGGTGGAATTGATCAAACGACTCTAGCTTCCCCGATGCGAACACTCCTATTGACGATGCCGCCAATAAACAGCAGCAAATCCGAACACATCAAACGCACGGCGGCATCCAACAAGCCTCGAGCCGAGTTCTACACGTGGGAGAACCTACCACCGCAAGAGCTTGTGGCCGCCTGCATATCCGCATTCTACACCAATGGCATCGCGAGCCTGCTCTGTCCGGTGCCGGAAATCGAGGCCAACGACATGTTCCGGAGCATCTACGGCAATGCCGCCGCCTCCGGATCCACGCCGGCAGTCTCCGCAAGCGCGCGCAATGTCATACGGGCAACGAACAACAATTTCCGGCTGTGCCAGGTGCTGCTCCTGGCGGCAGTGGGCTCGCAGTACCTGGAGGAGACAGTGAAGGAAGAAGCGCGGAATGCGCTATTTACCAGCGGGAAATGGTACCTCCATATGGCCTTCGGCAGGGACGCTATCGACGTGCAGCGACTGCGCGCGAACTCACTCGCGGCTCTGTATCTAATATTCCAGAAATCCATCGCGGTCGTCGAGCATCTCAGTGAGTAGCAATCCCGAACCCACAAGCTGTCCTTCCTCCTCCCTCCCTTAGCCTTCCCCTCCTCCCTTCTCCCCGAGCTCGGGCTGTCCGTCTCTTTCCCCCGTTCGCCCGCTCTGTCCGCGTCACTGCCCCCCACTCCCCCGCCCGCCCGTCCCCCAGACGTCGCTTGAAGGGGGAGAGAAAAAAAATGATGGTGCGAACGAAGCTCTGACGTCCGGACCCCGCGTTGGGTATTTCTACAGACTGCGCCATTACCATCGGGAAAGCACTCGGGCTGCACCGCCGACGATCACCAAGACAAAACGGGCTGGAGACGGGTGGCGGGTTAGCTCACCGCGCAGCGGACACAGGCAGACGTAACGTCATGGATGTCATTCCCGACGAGCTCAACGACAATTGGCCAGCGTGGAAGCGGGCATGGCGATCTTTGGCGTTTCTGGACGGGTACGTTACCCTTCCTGACTCCCTGCATGGCCCGTTAGATAAGCATGACGCAATGGCGCTGCACCACCCCCCCACTTAGTCGAACTGCAAGATACCCAAGATGGCGGAAGGCCAGAATTCCTGTTTTCGTGGAGATGGCGATTTCAACCCCGTAGTGTAAATTATATGGGCTTCGCGGCAGCTTTTGTCTCCCATTCCGCAATCCCGCACATCGTTATTCCCATTGCCATCTTTCTCACATTGCCGGAGAAACTTTTTTCGCGTTGAAAATGGCATCTAACGGTATGATGGACGCGAACAGGTGGATGTCCGCTTCGGTGGGGAGCATTTCACAGCTGCAGAAGACCTTTGAACCGACCTCAGAGGTAGGACGACCGATTGATCCCGAAATTGGCTGATCGTTTAATCCACAAACCCACCCACCACACACACACCGATCGCGATCGAACCGATGCTAATAAATTTCTTTCGGTGTATGTAGGATGCTGAACGCCTCCAACAGCTGGCGTCGGAATCTGGCCCCAGCAGCGCCTCTTCGTCTGGCTCAGGCTCATCCGACAACAGCAGCAGCAACAACAGCTCCGACTACAACAGCAGCAAAAATGCCACCGAGCAGGACTTCGACATGCACCGCCAGCTGGAGCAGCTCGGCGTGTTGATGGGCGCCATCACAAGCGACGTTATCTCTCCGAGGGATGTCCCTCTCAACACCGTAAGGGTCTACTCGGATCGCCTAAAGGCATGGCATGCAAACCTGCCCTCGAGTCTCACCCTCTCAACCGCCGTACGGGAGTCCCATTCCTCCGAGAGTCCACTCAACCACTCGACGCTCCTGATCCATTGCGCCTACCTGGGCTCCATCGCACAACTCACCCGTCGCATCCTGGTGAGTAGGGTCACAGCACAGCTCACAGGGTCGAGCGATGTCGAACATGCCAGTGGTGGTGGAGGTGGAGGTGGTGGCCGGGCGTTAACCGAAGCCAATGCAGCCGCCGAGGAATTCTCCAAGATCTGCGTGTCGGCCGCGAGGCAACTAGCGACCGTAAGCACCCACCCTTCTTCTTCTTTCCTTCCATTGGCCTGTCATTGGCTGCGTGTGATCGGCTCTCAAACAGAAAGAAAAAAGAAAGAAAAAAAAGAAAGAAAAAAGTGGCCTGATCTTTACGTCGCTGACGCCCCATGATGATGATGGATGCTGATGATCTCTCTTCTCCTGCCTTAGGTCGTTGGAATGCTCCGTGTCGAAAATAAGCTAAACAGAAGATGCTGGCTAGTAATGTAAGTTTCTTCCACTTCCCTACAGACATCACCCCCGTGCAAAATCTTTTGGTGCGTCCCTGTGCACTCGTTGGCCGGGCTGGGTTGGTGGGTTGGCGGGTTGTGTTGGGCCCGCGGAGACCTGCCCTTCCTGGATGCTTCATACATGTCACGACGGGATGCTTACCGTCCTCCTTGCGCCTCTAGCCAATCGGCATACACGGCAGGCCTCATCATCTGTCTCGACGTCGCCCGTAACCGCGGCCGGCCTATGCTGGAATCCGTGTTCAACGAGAGCCTCGACCTCATATCGAAATGCATCGCGACCATGCAGCACTGTGCGTCTTTCGACGCTGTCGCCGACGGCTACCTCGCCGTCCTGCGACCAATGTTCAACACGTTGCGCACGCCCGAACCAACACGTGCTGCTAAGCGTGCTCGGATGTTCCGGGATCCCTCCACCGGCCAGAATGACCCAGCGGTCTCCGGGGCTTATCCCTCTAACGAAGCTCTGCTGGACCACATCCTGGAGCTCATGAGGGCGCCGTATGGCGGTGAGTCCACCATCTTGGACCAGGACTTCTTTGCTGTTCCCGGCCGGACTGCAAACGTCGCGGAATACTATCGGTTCATGCACCAGTCTCAGCAACAACCGCAACAACAACAGCAGCAACAGCATCATCAACATCATCATCAACATCAACACCATCAACAACAGCATCATCACCAACAACAACAACACCAACAATACCCGCAGCAGCAACAGCAGCAGCACCTTCAGAACCAGCAGCACTATGCGCAGCTCCATGTCCCGCCATCCCCGAACAGAGCCCGAATGGATGCCCCGATGCGCGGTACCGAAGAATCCACTTCCCCGCGTCAACAAGGGAAGGGGCATCCGTGGACCAAAGAGGAATACGAAGCCTTCTTCAGAAGAGTTATTTAGGCCTTCGGCAGGGATTCCGGGTCACCTGGCACGGCGTATGCGCACACCGTCGATCTTTCAATGGCGTGGTGCTGGCGGTGACGGTTGTGGTGCCAGCGTTGGTACTGGTGGTGGTGGTGGTGGTGGTGGTGGTGGTGGTGGTGGTGGTGGTGGTGGTGGTTAGAACTTCAGTTTATTCCCCTCGTATTCCTTTTTGCTTTGCTTTTGTGCGGATCTTTCTCCCGCCCCCTTCCTCCTCACATTCATGTTACTCCGGAGTTACAGCTCGAAGTCTGCAAGAGCGTGTCTCGTCTTTCCTAGATGCTCCAGCCACGTGCGATTTTTTTCTTCTTTTCTTTCGTTATATGCAGGGACAGCATTTCTTACGGTTGGCGCGTCGTGGAGGATTATCACTGCCTGTCTCCGAGTCGCCCTGCATATGCCCCCCTCCCCCCCTCCCTCCATCAATCCATCCATCCTGCCTGCGCTGTGTCGATGCAGCTCGTTGTCTGGGTCTTGGCTTGATTGCTTGTCGTTTCCATTTATATTATTTTCCTTTGCATACTCGTCGTCGTCGTCGCATTTACTTCCCGGGTTATACATTGTGGCTGCATGCGTGTCGGGGTTGGTTGGCTGGGGGTTGGGATCGGTGTTGGCGGGGTTTCATTCCAAATCTTTTTCCTTTTCCTTTTTGTGTTTTGTGTTTTCCTTTTCCTTTTCCTTTTTTCTTCTTCTTCTTTCTTCTTTCTCTTTCTCTTTCGTCTTCTTTCGTCTGCCAGCCTGCTTGCTCCTCTTCTGTTGAGGGAGTTGATTATGATCGCATGGGGTCGGATTCGCTGTGATAGTCTGGGGGGAGCAGGGCGTATAGGTGTTACTGTCTGTCTGTCTGCTGTCTGGCAAAAGAATAATGATATCTACTACCGTATCTATCTTGCATTACGCTGCGCTACCATGTACCTACCGTGTCTACATACTCCGCTGTCGTGTCCTGGGTCCGGTCCGGTCACTCACTCACAGTCACTGGTACTTACTACCAACTTCCAACTGCCAGACCTTCCCCTTCCCTTCCCATCAACCGAGAACCACTCGCCAGTCTCCCGGCGCCCTCTCGAGTCCCCACTCGCACCTCGCACCTCTCACGGCCAGCGGTCCAGATCCCCGGTGCGCCGTGTCGTGCAGTAGGCAACTATGAAATCATGATGGGCTGTTGCTTGCACAAGTGCCCCACCGTGCCCACCCTAACTGGCAGCGTAACTACCGCGGGAGTGGGCTAGGTCGATGGACTGGATGGATGGATGGATGGATGGATGGATGGGATACGGTGGGCAGCACTGGCACTGGCACTGGTACGGTAAGTAGCTCATCGTGCATCGTCGTGCCCGCCGTGCTCTACCTAGAGTAGATGTGCCCCGGAGCTCGTTTGCTAGAGTACCTACCATGTAGGTGGAGCAGGCCGGTCGCCTATTGCGGATGCGTGCTGGACCGGCAGACAGCGTGGACCGGCAGACAGCGTGGACCGGCAGACCGTGTGGACCGGCAGACCGTGGCGGACCGGCAGAAAGCGTGCACCGGTGGACCGGCACTGCACTGGTAAAGGATGACACTGGACACTGGACAGCGCGTTCGAGCGATGGTGATGGGGCTACAGACTACGGGTATACCGATGTTGAGTATAGGTAGTGGTGGGGATGTTGGGGGTGGGGATGTGGCTGGGGGTTGTCGTTGCCGTTGGCATCGCTATATACCGCGGGCCTAAGTACCGAGTTATGTAAGATCGCTGGCTGTATACGAGTACGGATTTTATGTACAGATGCAGTCTGTAGTATGTATCGTGTACTCGGGTGTAAGGGTAAGTGCTGCCTCACCAGTTTTTCCCCCATACAGCTTAGCGTTTTTCCCCCATACAACTTAGTCACAGCCACTCACTCATTTCATTTTATTTGGCTTAGTGCACTCCTAATGTAGACTAGTGCTGTTAATCCGTAATGGTGGTGAGGCACCACTTATTGGCAGCTCCTGGTACGAATGTATGCAGAGGTATTTAGGTAAGCAGTGATTTCAGAAGGCACGTGGTGATGTGGCTGGTGCTTTTTACAGTACTAGATCGTTGCATGAGTATTCGGACAGGCTGAAATAGGGGCTCAGCCTTGTCAGCACGTTTTGCTTGTGAGGAGTCTCCGGCGCCGGCAGCTTCCAACCACCAACCATTAAATAGAAATGATCAAACGAGTAATAATCTTCTCACTGCGTCTCCTCTCAGAATCGTACTTTTTAACATAGCCCGTTTACGCTCTATGGGATTGAAATCTGGAGAAGTTGGTGGCCAATCCACTCAGAGCTCTGATCCTCGTCAGCCTCGTCTTGGGGCCAAGAAGAGGGGCCACATTTTCAGCCTGTCCGAATACCTATGCAACGATCTAGTAGTACACACGGTTGGTAGTTGCATACATACGGTTGGTTGGTGGGTGGGTGGGTGGCTTTGCTCTGTACAGTACTGTACATACGGTTGCCAGTTGGTGGGTTGGGTAGCTTTGTTCTCCCATCCACACACCAGCACTCGATACTCGTGCATGGCAACGGCAACGGGCAACAGGCAACGGGCATTCCAGCCCATTCCATTCACGCAAACAAAGGAAAGGAAAGCGGGGGAGGGAGAGAATGGGAGAGGGAAGGCCCGATTGTCGTAACGTAACCACAACAACAATAATCTTGAGCAAGCAATACACTCTCAAGTTTCGCAAGTTTCAACGCCGCTCTTCCCCTCCCTAACTGTCTGCACACGTAGTAATATTAAACAGGCACCATGGCCGCAGAAGCCGATACGAATGATACCGACAGCCTGGACAGCCTGGTTAGCCTCACCTTCACCGTCCGCGACCTCCAGCAAGCCTGCCGCCACACCAAGCGCTACCTTGAGCACAGCCGGCGAATATGGCTGCACCAGCAGCGGCCCGGTCTCGTTACCGACGGCGAGCCTGCCGAGTGTCGGCATCCATATGTAGACCTCTTACGCACCGAGCACTCCGCGCTCCTCCACCTTGCCGCCGACGTCCGGCGCCGGGCCACACACATCGCCCTCCTGGCCACCGACGGCGGCACTAACACCGCCTTTATCGATCTCCCGCTGGAGCGCGGGTATATAGCCCGCCACGGCAATAGTGTCGGCTACGCTGAGTTCCACGGCGAGGTCACCGATGTCCTGCGTGAGTATGTAGGGTTTTTGTATCGGTGGAAGCGGCTGCTGCGAGATGTGATACTTGCTGCGGGGGAGGAGGGAGCTGAGCGAGAGATAGAGATGGAGAGTGAAGTCGCCAAGGAACATGCGATCATGGCGCAGAAGTTCCGAGCCGTGGCGGAGGGGGCGCTGGGGATGGAGTTGCTTCTCGAGCCGCGGTCCGTGATCGCGGAACGGCAGCCGAGTCCTGAGCCGCTGCGGTTGGATGTGTGGACGTATCGGCAAGCGCTGGAACTGGCGCTGGCAGAGGGATGCGGGAAGCCTGGTGTCTCGTCACAGATAATCACTCGAATTGGAAAGTCGGATGCAGGCGCCTCGGCCGGCGAAAACCGCAAAAACCGCGTCGAACCCACCCCACCGCCCGCACAGATCCCGTTGCTCGCATCACCGCCGGAGATACCCAAGGAACTGTACGCCCACCTAACGCCGCAGCCACTCAGGATCTACGACCACCGCGACGCGGCCGCCGCCGCAGGTGAGGTACGGCTGGGCGAAGACCACTACATCTACCACCTGCTGGACTTCATCCGGCGCAGCCTGATGCACTGCGAGAACGCGGCGAAGTACGCCATCCTGATACGCGTGAACCGGAAACGGTACGCACGGGGATACGGTAGTGTATGGGAGCTGCTGGAGAGTGAAGCGTCGCCATCTGTTGCCGAGGGTGAGAAACTTCCCATCCCATTCCCCCGCAGTCCACGGTCTCCACTGTCTCCACTCCATTGACGCCTCTGACACATCTGCCGCCGCAGTCTACAGCGCCAGCAACATCCTCGCCCACCACTTCCCACAGATCCACATCGACGCCTGCTGGGACCGGACGCCACCGGCGTGGGGCTGCCACCTCCCCGGGCTGCCGGGCGAGCGGACGAAGCTGCATATCAACCAGGCGCTTTTTGACGGGTTCGAGGAGACGGTGCGCCGTGGGCAGGAGGGCCAGCTGTTTCTGTGGTTCGTCTTCGTGACGGTTGCGCACGAGTTTGCGCACTATCTTGTCAGCGTGGGTTTAGCCACCGATGGCCCATGGGGGAATTACGGGTGGTGGAGGCTGATACTTTGCGGCACGTAGATGTCCGCGCTCGGCGACGAAGCGGTCGACCGCGCCGCATCTGATAGCACTCGAGTCGGCACGCCCACGTGCTTCCGGTACCTGCGCCCCCGTCTCGCGCAGCAAGAGCGCGGCGAAGCGGGGGACTTGATTGAGTTCCTGCTGTTTGGCGGGCAGACGTCGGCGCGCGGGTACAGCATCGAGCAGCCCGGCCATATGCCGTTCCTCGCCTTCCTCACCTGGGGATCTTACATATACACCGATGCCAGGTGTGAGCGTCGCTACGATCGCCTGGCAGTTATCACGCCTGAGCTGGCGAAGGAGCTACTTGCGCGGACACGGCCGGCCACTCGCCTCTGCGCTGAGGCGGTGAAAACCCATCCAGCGCGCCCGTCGGAAGATGAGTATAAGCGCGCGTGGGAATGCATTCCCGCTCTCCACGATCAGCGCGGCTCACTACTTACAGCCCGCCGCGAGACATCTCACAGCAGCAGCAGCATCACCGTTCTGCGCATATCATCCACCCCCGCCAGCCTCCACCCTTCTCCACCCCCGCACATGAACCTCAAGCACGACGACGACCTCCCGCCCATCTTCCTGCGAGTCCGCCTCGTCCCCCACGGCTACTCCGCATCCACGCACTGGCAGATCCCGGCGATTCCGTGCGGGATCTCGACAGTCCTATTCTTGGTCCGCGAGGCGTGGCTTCCGGCCGAGTACCTGCTCCTACAGTTCGCCATCACCGCGCTGCCGATGCTCGCGTTCGTGTTTGTCCCGCTCGAGGGGTTTTATTATATACTTGCGAGGGGCGAGATGGTGGATGAAGTGTCAGTCGCCGCTGAGCCAACCGAGCCAGTCCCGACCAACGACACGCCGATACGCACTCCCGCCCCGAGTCTGTTCGCGCACATCTTCGCGGTTATATCTGCTGCTGCTGCTATGTCGTGGAAATTGCTGGCGTCGTGGGGAAGCTACATCTACGCCACTCGCGCCTGGCGTCTACTCGCGCGAATCCTCGCGCCCATCCTCGCGGTATGCGCTGCTGTTACTATATTTACTGTTATTGTTACATCGCGGATGTGGAAGTGGCTGCAGGCATGCGGAAAATATATCCTTGCCGCTGCTGTCGTGGTAAAAGCACAACAAATGTTTCGCAAATGTTTCGAATATTTCGCGGAACGGGTCCGGAGGTGTTATGTGGTGCTGAAGGGTCTGGTGGGGCTGAAGGGGCAGAAGGGAACTGGCGAAACTCTACAGCAGGCGCCGGGCCAGGACGATGCGTTACGCACCCGGACCCAGACCCAGACCCAAGAAACGGGAAATACGACTTCCGCTGTAGCAGCAGGGAAGGACGCCGGTCCGGTGCGTGATGAAAAGAAAGAACAGGAGGAGAACCAGAAACGTGAGGAACTGAAGCGGGAAGCAGAGAAGAGAAGAAAGGAATGGTTGGAGAGGGAAAAGCGGGAAGTGGTAAGGCGGAAAGAGTTGGAGGAAAGAAAGAAGAGGGAGGCCGAGGTGAGGGAGAAGGAGGCGGAAGAAAATAGGATTCGTGAGCAACTGGAAAAAAGGAAGGCGGCTGAGGAAAAGGCGAAGAAAGTAGCAGAGGAAAAAGCAAAAAAAGAGGCCGAGGAAAAAGCAAAAAAAGAGGCCGAGGAAAAAGCAAAGAAAGTAGCAGAGGAAAATGCAAAGAGGGAGGCTGAGGAAAAGGCCTACAAGGAGGCCGAGGAAAAAGCGAAGAAGGCGGCTGAGGAAATGGCCTACAAGGAGGCCGAGGAAAAAGCGAAGAAGGCGGCTGAGGAAATGGCCTACAAGGAGGCCGAGGAAAAAGCGAAGAAGGCGGCTGAGGAAATGGCCTACAAGGAGGCCGAGGAAAAAGCGAAGAAGGCGGCTGAGGAAATGGCACAGAAACAGGCCAAAGCAAAGGCGATGAGAGAGGCTGAGGAAAAGGCAAAGAAAGAGGCTGAGGAAAAGGCAAAGAAAGAGGTCATAGCAAAGGCGATGAGAGAGGCTGAGGAAAAGGCAAAGAAAGAGGCTGAGGAAATGGCAAGGAAAGAGGCTGAGGAAAAAGCAAAGAAAGTAGCAGAGGAAAATGCAAAGAAGGAGGCTGAGGAAAAGGCCTACAAGGAGGCCGAAGAAAAAGCGAAGAACGAGGCCGAGGAAAAGGCCTACAAGGAGGCCGAGGAAAAAGCGAAGAAGGCGGCTGAGGAAATGGCACAGAAACAGGCCAAAGCAAAGGCGATGAGAGAGGCTGAGGAAAAGGCAAAGAAAGAGGCTGGGGAAAAAGCAAAGAAAGAGGTCATAGCAAAGGCGATGAGAGAAGCTGAGGAAAAGAAGAAGGCTGGAGAAGAAGAAGTGAGACTCCGTGAAGAACAGGAAAAGAGTCGCAAGCAGGCGGAGGAAAACAGGAAGGCTGAGGAGCAAAAAAAACTCCGCGAGGACGAGGAAAAGAGGAGGAAGGCAGAAGATGCTCTTCTTCATGCAGAAGAGCAGGAGAAACAAGCCAAACTGCAGGAGCAGGCGGACGAAGAAAAGCAGAAACAAGCCGATCGTGAAGCTGCCAAACAGTTTGCCCAAGCAGAAGCCGAAGAGCGCAAACAGTGGACCGCAGCTGTGCCCGAATCGAACCCATTCCAACCGCCACCAGGGTTCGGCGATCGTAGATCCTCACGGCCAGCCCCTATCGCCCCGCCCGAACAGATTCGGCTCGGGATACCAGTACTAACTTCTGCCACCACGCCCACATCTCTCGACAGCGACAATTCAAGTTCCACGCTTCTCTCCCCTTCGGCTTCCGCCCGAAGTGTATCCCCCAGCGGGAGCACTCCTACGCCTGCTAGTGGTGGTAAAAGAGTAATTCCGTCGCCTTCGTCATCAAATACGACTTCCCGGATTCCGTTAAAAGGCAAAGGTGGCCTCCAATCCCCCGGCTCAAGCCGCGGGGCCTCTCCAGCTTTCGGGCGGCAGCAAACTCTCGGTCGCGGTGCATCGCCCACCGGTTCTAGGCCGCAGGGACCATTGGGTAGCCAGATCCCTCAGGTCCCGACCAGCGTTGGTCGTCGTCCTCCTGTTTCGGGAGGGCGATTAACTCCTGCTTCGGGAGAGCGCACTGCAACGACAACGAAACCTTCCATCAGACCGCCCACAGCAGCAAGCAGCACCTCGCGCGATAAATCGCCCGCCAAACCAGTAAAGAAGCCCTTCTTGAAGTCAGGTAGACATGCAGCGGAAGATGAAGCGGAGAAGAAGAAGTAGAGTAAGTATGTTAGAAGAGTAGATAGCGTGTTTCAACGTATTAGTTATTTGTTACCACATCTATCATCAGTAGAAGTTCGCTATGACAGATTGCAGGGCTGCACCGTTCATCCACAGAGGGCACCTTTGTCTTTAGGTCCTGCCGGTCTCGCGCTCAGCCTCCTGGTTCTACAGACTACAGTTTCGGTTCGAAGGTTCGAAGGTATCAAACAAGTGATACTGCCTGATCTATTATATAGTAGAGTACTCACGAGCTGTTTTTTGAGCTGTGTTTGAGACCCCAATGAGCGCTGCCCGAGGTTTGCCACCATCCCCGCCCATCAAGCTCACCGTGCGCACCGTAGTGGCCTCGCTAGAACACACCTTCCCGGTGTGGACGGCTAGATGTCAAGCGACGAAGATAGCACCCCGCTCCGGTCTCCACCCCGCCAAACTTATACCTGTCGTCCACACTGACCTCAGCATCCCCATCCCTCGCCGCACTCCCCTATCCACCGTCTCCTCACCTCGATCCGCCCTTTATTAGCCCTGCAAGCCTGCAAGGAATCCAGCACTCAGGTAGTTATTTGAAACATCACGTCCAACCCCTCGAGTGACATATTATGAATCACTTACGCCACATGCGCCACCCAAGCCACAAGTCTCACTCTCGCGCGCGAAATCCGATATAGAATCTGATAAGTATAAACAACTCCTGAATTACAGCCCGCCATACCACGGACTGAACCTAAAGAACGGAACGAACGTCTAAATAAGCAACTCCCCCATCCCCCATACATGACAACTATCCTATTCCACCCGAAGTCCCCCCCGCTGCCCCTCCTCCCCCCGCCGCCCCCATATTAAGGTCGGTACATACTCGTAAACATCATCGCAACCTGTTGTTGCGTAACTGTGTCCGGCCCCTGAAATGCTAAACCCAAGAAACAAAGAAAGAAAGAAAACCAAGAAAAAAATCCCTAGAAAATGCAGCAAGAAAACCCCCCGCCGCGCCCAGCCCACAATGTACCCTGAGAACCAAAAGAAAAACATTACGAGAATTATGTGGTGTATGCTTCGTCTAGGATGAAAAGCTCCTGCGCACCTTCTTTTCCGGTTTATCGGTGGTGGTGGAGCTGGGGCCGTTGTACGAGTACTCGTGGTGATGGCCGGTCCGGAGTCCTCCCGTCTTGCCGTGCGTCACGCCATAGTGCACTTTCCAGTCTCCGTAGGTTGGCAGCTTCGTCGGGTCGTCGTAGTAGGTCACTACGCTGCCGGAAACGCCGACTTGCAGCGAGGGGAGCTTGTCGAAGCTGATTTCGGTGGCGCCCTAAAGTTGTATCGTCAGTTCTAAGTTCTTCCTGATTTTCGCGCACCGAGGAGTAGAGTTGCAAAACGTACCCTCAGGACCCTCCATTCAAGGTGCGTCTCGAGATAGTCCACACATGCCGTCCCATTGCCGGAGATGTTCTTGTCGATCAATGCCTGTGTTAACGGAACCGTGCCCGAGATGACACTGCGGTGGTTCTGTACGCCGCCCGTGAACGAAGTGACTCCACCGACCAGGTTCTCGTGGTCGACCAGGCTGTTTCCTTCAGGCATCTCGCCAGCATACAGCAAGACACTGAACGTTCCGTCGATCTGCGACTCATCGAAGGTGACATGGGCGAGATATTCGATCCTGGTGGTAGTGCCGTTATTAGGGGACGGGACGAAGCTCTGGCCCGAGGGCGCGTAAAGCTTCTGCATCGCCGCGGCGGTGAAAGCAGTAAGTTCCGCCGCTGGCTTGCCGGAGTACTCGGCCGGTACCTCCGGGTAAGCATAGCCGTACTTCCAGGTCGAGTCGGCGTAACTGACGTCCCACGAGGTCCATTCCTCGCCGTTGGGATGACGGAAGGGGTATAGTTTTGTGTTCAGATCCTCGATTCCAGCTGGCTGGGGATATGCGTAGTTGAGTTCCGTGCGCACGAGCGGCTCCACCAGTCGGCCGGGGTAGATGGCTTGGTACATCGCCATCAGACGATCCACTTGGGCTGCGCCGGTCAGTACGGGCAAGGTATACAGCGAGTAGCTGATGGCAGGGGCACTAACCGTGATGAAGCCAGAAAATGGGATCGAATGCGGCAACATGGACCGAAGACATGTGACCGAAACTAGGACCGAAGCCAACGGCACCGTGAATCGTGTTGTGAATCTGCTCGACCGATGCAAAGTCGATGGGCGACGTGACATTCATGTACCGTGTGGTTGAAAACCGACCGAACGTTCCGATGGAGAACAATTGGAACGTGGAGAGCTTGCGGCTGTAATCATGAGGGGGTTAGCGCGTTATAACCTTGGGGATCGTCGCGAGTCGTCGGGGGAGAAATGCACGTACGCAGGGAAAGTGCTGGCAAGAGCATCGCTGGAAAGGTCGTTACGTGAGACTGGCGGGTTTCCTTCGGGTCGCCTATACGTCTGGGTCCACTGTTCTTGTGGAGTGCCGTCGAAGTAGGTATCACGGTACTGGTCGTTGGTGAACACATAAGAGTACAATGGATTCCGGATGTCCTCCACGGCAGCCGCTCCGTCGGCGCCGGGCTTAGTCACGGAAATCCGCGGCGCCGCGACCACCTGCGGAATACGGCCTCCGGTCTCATCGGACGCCCAGTCCCAGTATCTATCATGGAATCAACATGAGAATGCTCTTCCGGATATGGCAATGGATTTTACTTACGGCAGGCGGACTTTTTTTGCTGCAGCCTGGTACTTTGTCGCATCGTCTCCTTTGAATTGTGCCGCAATCGTCTCCGCATGCTCGACCAAGAGCTGCTCGAGCAAACTGAGGTATGGCCTATGTCACGCGTTTCCGTCAGTCATTGGAGCCTTCTTCGAGCATCCTAGCCTAAGGTAGTCTCACCTATGCCATGTACCGAAGATCACCGAATCGTGCGTACAATACCCGTAAGGGTAGTTACCGGTGGAGGGAGTCGGGTACTCCCAGGCGACCCATGGCCGACCATGGATTCCGGCAAGCTGGTAATAACTGGATTTTCGGTCGGTCAGTCAGGGTCCGGTACTCGATGCTGTCACGGGAGCCACATGCTCCATACCTCAGGGTATAACTCTCGGGCAGGTTCTGGATAGCCTGGAGGGCAAGGATGAACATGTTGAAGACATCGGGGTGGTCCGCCTGCAGCCTATGAACGGGCAGACGCAACTCGACTCCGCCCTTCGGTCCAACCACTGCAGTGAAATTGCCCCCGTCGGTGGGAGTTATAGGGTCGGGATACGGTGGTTCTGTGGAGGGGTGTTCGGGGGACTCCGATGGCGCATAGTATCCCGAGGTCGAAATCGGCGCGTACTCCGGCGTCGACGGGACGCGTACGGTGGTTGACGCGACAGCCAGTGCGACAAACGCCGAGAGCAATGAAATCGTGTAACCCTTCATCGTGAAGATGTGCGATTGGAAGCCGGATGGTAACGAGGTCGAACAGCCGGAATAGGAGGCTCGTTGTGAGGGTTGTTTTTTTCGTTCTTTCGGCTTCCTCGGAAACAGCTGTAGGAGGCAGATGATGAGACCAAGTAGACAGGACACTGATCCTGATATATATATTCATCTGAATCGGATCATCTCGCTCGTACCTGCGGGCCTAAGCTACGACATGTAAACACACACCTTGCGTTCTCTCTGGCGGAGACCCAAGTGGGGGGGGGGGGTGCCGTGGCTCTGGAGATCTGCTGAGCGACCTGCTGGCCATCGATGGAAGGCTTGGTGGGATAATTTTGGCGAGAAGAGTCTTAGCTGGCAGCGACGGTGGTACGGACTGCGGAAGAACCGAAAGTCTGATCGCATCACTGCACTACGGTATGGTAGCAGTTGCGTGCATATCCGGAAATAGGTCCGACTGCCGTCTGTCACCAAGACCGTGTGTTCGAAAAGTTGGCACCCCCGGCAGGTTCTATTCGCCCGAAGACGTCTAATGGATGGGAGGGGTGGATTATTCGGTCCACGGCGGTGCGGGGTTGAATGGTGATGTGCTCAGCCTTAGGCCCGCATGCCCCCCCTTCGTGTGGTGTATACCTTCTCATTCAGACGAACAAGGAGCCCGTAGTTAGATGGTAGGACGGTGGACGGTAGGACGGTGGACGGTAGGACGGGGTTCCAGGAGACCCAACTCGCTCCAAAATGACAGCCAGAGTCATCGAGACCGGTACCCACCACCGTACCAGGCCATTGACTTGTGGGGGGAGGGGGGCCAATACCGAAGTTTCCTCCGCACCGGCACCGTATTCCCGCTTAACGGAACTAAAGTCGATCGTCGTCTGTGCAGCCAGCCCAGTCAGCGCGTCCACAGCCACCGTGCAGCAGCGGGAGATCATCACGACTGCCCTGCCCGCTTGGCACTCAACCACCCCACTCTCCAACTGGCCCAGTGCCCCCCACAGTGTGAAGACTGGCTGCTGCTGATTGGTGTAAGGAACAGAATATCTACTCTAGCGTAGAGTGGTCAGAGTAGTGACTATATACTCGTTGCCCCGTCAACCCAGCCCAACCCAACCCAGTCAACCCTAACTAAACGTTAATCTTGGATCGGCACGGTACATATCTACGTCACTGAAGTCTCAAGCGAGGGCACCAACTAAGTGCATACTCGAAGGCTGAAGAACACTCGCCGTCCCGCTTGGTTGGCGGATAGTTACCTGAGTTACGGAGATGCCGAGTCGGCGGGACGGCGGTTCGGACGGTGGTTCGGACGGGAGCGTGTCTGAGATCCTGTGTGAATGTATGCAGTTATCCTCGGTTGCGGGCGGTGCAAACATTATGTACATAGTACATGGCACAGTCTACAATACGATGTACCGTGTACAGGTACAGTCTACGGGCTTCTAATTTTGGCACCGTAGGAATCCAGTCTCCGACTAGACTAGGCAACACGAGCTTCTGTATTTACGACTCACGAGGCGGCGTTTTCATGGGTCCGACCCCGATGATTTAGGTATCGCAGGGGCGAGGAAATAACCGTTAACTATTGCTGTTCAAATATAGAGCGCAGCAGCACTGCCGGAGATGCCGATGTCGACGTGGGTGCTTGTTTTTGTAGAGTACTGTCACGATATCGCCAGCCGTCTACCTATTAGAGCACTTGACTGTGATCGGCGCTGCTCGATGCGAGCCGAGGAACGCTTTCAAGTATGTAGCCTACATATTAGACATACCAGAAACTGTCTGCAGGCAGATGACTGCTGCGTGATTACTTTACAGCTGAGGCCGACCGACCACCCCCTCACAGTCGAGACCAGTCGTCCGTAACTTATGTATGTACAATGCATATCACACATATCAAGCATACCTACCAGAGACAACATATCACGCTTCAATGGAACCACACAGATATAGTTGTGTAAGTATGATACAGTATGCACGTACGAGCGAGATGCAAGCCATGTCGAGAACAGCAGTCGAGCAGAGCCCACGAGCTCGCCTTGCTTCCATGATACAATCATGCCGACTGAGGAAAACCACGGGCTGCAGTAAAGTACTCACTGCGCATGGTCGGTCGGCCGTAGTAAATCGCGGCGTGTCGGTAGACTAGTTTACCCGGGTACACGGCTAGGCTGTCGCCGCGCCGGCGCTACCTGTCGGCCGAGAAAGAGACGCTGTCGGCCTAGAGTTCCCACCCCTGCCGAAAAGTCTTCGCCGCAGCCCCGCCCCCGTCCCGGATGAGAAGCCCGCTTAGAAGATGTTCATATAGAGTAGAGTATCTACAGCATGCTATTTCGCGAGGACAACCCTGAACAGTGAAAGCACGAGGCACAATGTGGGCTGATTGAGGGTGTCTCGTGGAATCTCGCTGAATCGGCCGCCGGGACTCCGGGACTCTCGTTATCTAACCACCACCGATGGGCCTGATGACGGGACTGCAGCTTCAGCCTTCAGGCGAACCGTGCAGCAGTCTCCAGTTTTGTCATGGCAGCGCTCGAGGCGGATTGGCGCCCACGGCTTCGAGACGCGAAGTGATCACGTGGTCACTGCGAGCGATACAGAGGTCGTACAACGCATCAATCGATGCCACGGTCTTCACGGACCAGCTTCCTTTCCTTATACGAGCATACTTTGAACCATTGGCTTATTTGGCGTTTACCTAGCGTTTAGAGTTTAGCGTAACTGCTATCTATAGAGCCTAGGCTGGCTTACTCGCGGCTAGGGATGCCGCCCGTAACGTTACAGTAACGTAATGTCACGTCACGTTATGTTATATTACAGTAAAGCATGAGTTGTGACGGTAACGTTGTTGCCAAGGCGCTAGTAGCAGTGGCTGATAGCGGCTGATGATGGCTGATAGTGGCTAGTGGTGCCCGTTCGGCTATGGCGGAGTCACGCGGATGGCGCAATGTGGGTGTGGCGTATGGCGGGCTTGGCAGTAACGTTACTGCCAAGCTTAAATCGTTACGTGACACTTTACCGTCACGGCTCATACTTTACGGTAATCCGGCATCCCTACTCGCGGCTAGTCCATGATCCATTACGAAGTGGATTCACCAGCGCACTCGCCCGCAGGGCCGCACCGTTTCCGCGCCGTTCACTCCATCCGTTCACTGCAGTCCTCCATGAGTTTCTCCGTCCAACGATCCACGCCCCTGCAGCACCAGCACGAGCGCCGGGCGGATGATGACGAGAGTTTTCCGCCGTTGTCTGTGCTTTCATGTCGCATGTACGATCGTGTACACTACATATGTACCAGCTTTGTGTACCGGCATTGTGCCGCCGGACCCGACAGTTCGGGCGGCCCTTGGCCACTACTATACCTATATGTAGATGTGTAGTACTGCCAGTCCACCGGGTGGCTACTGGACCAGCCTAGGACCTAGGTAGGAAGTAGGGCTGAGCCTGCGTTGGGTGGTCTTGGCTACTAGTAGTAGTTAACTAGTAGGCCGCACCGGGCCTATTTACTATAGTCTATAGACGAGGCAGACGAGGGGTTCCCGGCCCATGGGCAGTCAGGAGTCAGGACTGACGGGGTGTCAACTTTTCAAGTGTAGTGCTTACCTACCTACCTAGTACCTGTGTTCACTGTCGAACGCAGCCGGCGCTCTGAATCACGCGGAAATCGAGCTCACGACACGTACCTAAACGGTAGTCAAGGATCTACCTACTCTATTGTGCGATTCACCGAATCTATCGTCCGGTACGTAATTTTCAACATAAACTTCGCGGTAACAAGGTGAACTACATTGGGGAGGTACAAACAGCCAGAAGTGCTACTTAGAGTAAAGCCGTCTGAACCGGTGGAGCTGTGCCGTTGAGTGGCTTTTGAAACTGCCTTCATGGGGTGAATACCTATATACCTATTCTTGGACTCTTGCTGGGAACTGGACACTGGACAGCAGTCGAATGTCGAAACGAAGCAATGCCGTAACGCCGTGGAAACGGTGGGGAAGGCCGGGGGAAGGGGGAGGGGAGGAACTGTCAGAGCTCGGACATAAATAGGGAAAGGCGGCGCATCAAGGAGCACTGGGTATAAGTTAGAAATCGGAACGAGTCTCGAGTTTCGAGTCTCGACATCGTAGCCCGGCCCGAGTCTGGTCGGGACTCGGAAGGCTGGGGCACTCTAGTATTTTGAGTTTTTGACATCGACCCGGCGCTTCGGATTTTGGGAGCTCGAACGCACCGGGCTGCGGAGTTTTCTGGTTCCTAGAATCTAGGCATGAGGTATTTTGGTCGTGTTTCGAGCTTGGGGACTCCACGACCCACGACCCAGTGCAAACTACCATATTGCTGATTTTTTCCCGCGGTGAAGCACCATGTACCGACCTGACCGCGGCGCATCGTCAGCGTGACCGCGGATCCGCACCCAAACCATTCAGGTTTCGACTCTCGAGAGTTCCGCGAAACCCGAAAAGCCGCACAAGTTGCAAGTTGCAACCTTCGGCCCGGCGCCGGCACCGGCGCCGTAATCTCCAGCGCCAGCGTAATGGCCCAGTCCGACCCGGCCCGGGAGCCCTCTCCAACACTCCGAGTCGATAAAGCTTTTGTATGTATGCACCGCATCTCACTTTTGTAATCGAGTATCGTGATAATCGTGGAGGCGTGCGCTCGCAATGCGTCTGTCCAGACTCCGCCGGTACTTATCGTTCACGTTATACGGTCCCCATGCGATGCTGTCAGATTAAAGTTTCCCAGATTACTGCACTGCACTGCACTGCACCACCGGTCCACCCCTACATATACCCCCACGGCGTAGGGGCGACCACCCGAACTTTGGGGAACTTTCTGCTTCACAGCATTAGTTATGTAACGCCCAATATTTTGCCCTTCTCTCATTTCTTCTGCACACTGCACTCTGCATCCTAACGAGTCACGACTCCGGGCGGTGGGCCCTCGGCTCGAGGCAGCAGCATTGCAGCAACGATAATAGAATACGGACGGTAGATACCCAAACCCCCACATCAGTACCCAAACTCACAGTCGGTACCCGAACCCCCAAAAGCAGTCTCTCAGACTCTTAATCCTCCAGCGAAGCGATCGATAATCGTACCGAACCATCATACCAAGTATTTACCTATTTCCTCACCCGTGAGCGCCGCAAGAGCGAGTGAGCTAACATGATCGACGATGATCACTCGCTGGTGTGGAGAGCGCGGTAGTTACCAGTTGGCCGAGCGGCTTCGGTCGAGATCTCATCCCGGCACATATATACCACGTCAGCGGCCCGCAGCGAAAGGGCGAGCAATTTTCACGGACTCTAAGATCCTCCGTATGTAGGGCTGGAGGTATCATGCGTCGTTGATGGGCTGGTCGAAACACAATCAAAATTCACCAAGTCATCCTTGGACCTCACACCTTTCACGCATGAACAGAATCCACCTTAACCCTCGTTTCTTTTCTGAATCTGACGATAAGGCTCGTAAACAGTATTCGAGAGTACGCGGGAAAAAAGACACATGAATGAGAAAAGCCACATGAACAAGAAACCCCAGATGAACGAAAAAAACCTCATGAACAAGAAACCCCAGACGAATGAGAAAAGCCTCATGAACAAGAAATCCCAGATGAATGGAAAAAACCCATGAATGAAGGGAAAAAACCACAGATGCAAAAAAACCACATGAAAGACATCCGAAAACAGAAAAACACCAGCATGAAAAATCACCCGCATTTGCGCCAACAAACAGCTCAACATCCCTTCTCAGCCAGAACAAGCACATCATTTTACTTCATTCCGTTCTCCTGATCCTAAGAGAAACCTTCGAAACCCTTCAAATCGGTCGGTCGCTGGTTTAGTTCGAAGCAGGGTGGTTCGGGGCGGCCGAGGCGGACTGGGTGTTGATAGGGTAGTCGCATCTATCCAAACAATTAGGTTTACTCGTAGCATCAAAGAAAGGGATTACTCACGGATCACGGTAGTACTCAATCCTGCAAGCTTGCAAGGACGCACATCTCCACAACGCAATAGACGCCTTGATAGCAAGCTTGATCTTGCCCCAAATGACCCGGCCCTCCAAGATCCCCTCCGAGTTCATCCTAACTTCAACTCTCTCGATATGTTTACGGCCTGTAATTCCGAAGATGAGCTTCTCGAGAAGTTCGGTAGGATTGAGACTCGCGATTGATCTCATGTCTGTAGTTGGCCGACGCTCTCGGATGGCTCTCCGAAGTATGCCGGGTTCGGCTCCCTCGATCCGCAGAATTCTGCGGACACCATTCTCGATGGCATTTCTCAAGTACTCACTCATGGCATTGTCCACCATGCAGGGTACGACAACAACGGCCACGCCCCTATAGAGGATGCCGTTCGCGGAACGCTGAAGAAACCTTTCGGCGGTTTCTTCGTCCGCAAAACGAACCATCCCCTTTCCAAGCCCCTGAATCACCTCTAAACGCTCAACAACACCCGCACCCGCGCAAATTCTCGAAACGTCTGCCAGCCTGGCGAGAGGGGACATATGGTACAAAAGTACCGTGCGTCTCTCACCTAGGCCGCGGCGACGAACTTCCGCGAGAGGGGCACCGAGAGGGCCCGCAGCAGACAAGGTTACATCGACCTCCTCGACGACAGCGAGAGAGGCACCAGGAGAACCGACAGCAGACATGGTGGCGCTGGTGGCGTCGATCGCCCCTACTTCGGCGGGAAAGGCATCGAGAGAAACAAAACTGTCGTCGCCGGCAGGGACGAATTGGCCGGCATCAAACAAGTGAATACGTCCAGAGACGTTATCGTTATCGTTCTCGTTATTGTCTAGCGAGCGATGAGGGACAACAGCAACCTCCGGCTCTTCTTCGAAGTCCGAGCCAGTAGCCAAGGTGGTAATCTCGCTGAAGTCGGGGTTGGTGTCAATGAAAACTGAGACCGGGATGGAAAATGAGACCGAGATGGAAAATGAGACCGAGCGGCCGTTACCTCCGTCTTCGCCCTGGTTGTGGCTCTGGGTATCGGTAGCGGATCCAGCGGTGATGGTTTCTTCGATGACCGGGTCCAGCGTGATGTCAATCCGAGCAGGAGGGACAAAGAGAGATGTGTGGAAAGCTTGGTAGATGAAAGTGAGATTTACGGGCTCAGGGTTATCGAGATCGAGATTAAGACGAGCAGAAGCCGCTCCGAGACCGAGACGAACCAGTGAGGGAGGAGGAGACGTAGGATTGACCATTGTGGAGGATGAAAGAGTTTTGTTTGCGTTGAAGGCCACCGGTGGAAAATTGAAGGCGGTGATCGAGAGTAGGAGAAAGATTCTTGAGGAGACAGGAAGGGTGGCGATGAGGTGAAGGTAAAGAGAAAAAGAGAAGAAGAGAAGGGGGGAAGGAGAGGTAGAGAGGTAGAGAGAAACGAAACACAATAGCTGCTGCAGAGAGTCTTGGCACATCCCGATTCAACCTCGTACTGATTGTTGAATTGCTTGGAACATTATTTGCTACTCATCGACGGCGAAACATGACCACAGGATCAAAGCAAACCAAGTCATCTACGGAGAAGCTGGCTGGCCTGTACAGTCTCATGGTGTTATCTGTCCGTAGCAAGACTTGCAGTGCATGACCATGAATGAGCCCGCAAACCCTTACTGTTGTTGGAGCACTCTCGCGGTCATGTAGGGCCGAAAGGTACACACTAAGGGATGCGCACAATCAAAACAAAGCCGCCCTCTCCCCATTTCGATTGCCTACAATCAGCAGCAGCAGCGAGATCAACCGTGACGTCACCAACGATCTCCGTCGACCTTGTCACGCAGACAGATCGACCTCGGCCAAGGCAGCGGTAGTAGTCCGACAAAAGTCCTTCACATAAAGTCACTCAGCAGGAGGTCGCAAAACTCCACGGCATGGCAGCCGAGTCCACACCCCGAGTGATCCCGCATGCTCACTCAGCCTCAGCCTTTCCCCCAGCCCATAACGCTCAGCCTTCTCCGGGCGGATTAACTCCTGGCAAATCATCACTTGTGCGAGGCGAATTTATCCGGCCAATCAGCCAAGCCGCCCGGCCTGCACCCGAACCGTGGAATCCTCGGATACGAAGGTGATCTCGGCTGGGTCCACTTCAGTTCAAGCACATGGCACTTGCTCGGCTCCCTCCGTAAGCTCTCCCTCCCTCCCCTCTCCCATTAATCCCGGGGGCTGGTGGTCAGCACTAAGCAATGACCCAACGACGGACCATCTGCGCCTGTAAACACCTGCGTGCGGGGGGCGCGGGTGAAACAAACCAACGTTCGGGTTACATTTAACCTTTGCAGACCTGCTGCGAGACTAGAGGGCAATTCCGTGCCTTGGAATCGGGGGTGCATATGTAGAGTACATCGTTTACGTATGCGGAGTATGTGGGGAGGTCTGATGAGACCGCATATGCTCTTGTTTCACGATTTTAGCTCGTCAACTACCATTGCTTGCTGTCAGTATTCTATGATACATATGATACCTAGTACCCTACAGACATGCGGAATAAGAAATAACGATATCTACAAAAACACTCTCAAAAACTCCACCAGGCTCATCATGGCCATCGCCTGGCCGTAGGGCATACTAGTGAGCGGAATAGTCTTGTAGAACTCCTTCGTCTCGCCGATCGGTGTTCCAAACGAGACCTGCTGGAGCTCGCCCTTCTCGTCGATATTAGCCATGACGGCTTTAACGGCCTTGACGGCTATTTCCTCGAATTCGTGGCTAATATATCGCTTCCTTGCCGCTTTCAGCATTCCGAAGGCGAAACCGGCGGTGGCCGAGGCCTCGAGGTAGGAGGACTCGTGGTGGTCGTCGAGAATTGTTCGCCAGAGGCCGCACGGTTCTTGGTGTTTAGCGAGTGCGCGGCATTGCGCATTGAGGGTGTCGACGAGGTGGATTCGGAGCGCGTCGTTGGGCGGGAGGTCGAGGAGCTCGATGAATTCAGGGATCACGATGGTGATCCAGCTGTGCGGTTCGGTTAGCGAGGGGTTACGTAGGGGCAACGGCGGAATGGCTGTGATGATGGGCCCTGTACATACCTATTCCCGCGACCCCACGCGGCGCTGGCGAAGTTGTGGCCACCCTCGAGGAATGTCCAGCCGTGGTGGAACAGGCCGGTTTTCGTGTCGAAGAGGTATTTGATGTGGATCAGGAACTGTCGTTTTGCTTCTTCGATATAGTGTGGTCGGTTCAGGACTTGGCCGATTTTCGCGAGCGGAAGGACTGTTTCGTTTCGTGTCAGTCGGGGGGACGCGCAAGGACTCGGAAGCGGAGTGGGGCTCGGCACCAGTCATCATCAACGTATCGTCCCACAATTGCTGCGTGTTTGGGGTCAAGTACCTGGATATTCGATCAGGCTTCGGAATCTAGGATCTATCGCACGGGAAGGGGTGACGGGTGATGTTCATACGTGACGTGCTGCATTCCTCCGTAATCTGTTCTCTCGAGGTCGTACATGGCCCACTCGGCCCACGAATCCAACCAAGCGACGTAGGTCTGATTCCCCGTCTTCTCGTACAGGTACGCCAGCGTCAGGAACACGGCCATGGTGTTGATATTCTTCGTCGTCCCACCGGCGGCGAATCTATCGCGGAACCAGTCCTCCATGATCTTGAGACACTCGGGATCGTTCGTGAGTTCGTAGTACTGCCAGATGCCGTACAGCCCCACGCCGTGGGTCCACTCCCAGTCGTTCCATCCTTTCGTGTCGATGACGCGACCATCTTCGAGCTTGAGTAGGAATTCGCCGGTCTCGTCTGTGATGTTTACGAGATTGTTGATCAGCAGTTTGATTGCCTTGTGGACGTCGGTATGGGAAACATTGTGCTGAATGGCCGGCATGTTGGATGATATGCTTCGAAGCTCGCGGGTTCTGTCAACTGGCAGGCAATACAAGTAAGTATTATTTTTCCGCGCTGCGAGATCAAAGAAGAAGGAGGGGCGGCAGTGGGGCGGACGCGTGCTCTTCCCACCCCTTCTGGCGCCACCAGAAGCCTTTTTGAAAGCTCTTCTCCACAGACACTCGGGCTGTGGCACATGTTCGAGAACTGTGGGGTTGCCCCACGATCCACATTAACCGAATATGCGGAGGTTGGCCTGGGCACACGGGGAGCATTGATCCGGGGTTGCGGGGACGGGGCGCGACCTGATGCACATCGGGCGCAACTCCCCCGCAATACCGAGACGGCCCATGGCGCGTCAGTGGCAGCTGCACCAGAAGCTGGGGCGGCCTGCAGGGAACCAGCGACGTTAAACGTTCTGTTGGATGGAACGGTGTCATCCCGTGCACCTGCCCCTTCCCGAATCCCCACAGTCGCCCCCCCGGATGCGCCACCGAAAAACCTGTCCCGGCTAAGGCTCGGAAAAACAAGCTGGAGAAAACCCGGGGGTCTGCGGTAGCGCATCAGCCCCCGGAGCCATGTGGAAGCTCACGCTCGGCCTAGCCGCAATGGGCTCTTGCTCACAAGCGACCGATCGTCCGCTTGCTTTGCTGCCCACATGTCCCGGTGGGGAGGGTGGTGAGCGTCGAGTTTTTGATTGCATGATGCGCTTTACCTGGGAACAAGCAACTGCATGCCTCTTACCGTGGATTGACAGATTGTTCAACAGCACGAACGGTGTAGGCCGGGGCTGTGGGAGGGGTGAGCGCGCCGTGGGCGGGAATCCGTTATAAGGACATCGCAGCTGCCCTTCTGGTTGATTAATTTACCAGTCTTCCCCATCTCAAAAGCTCACCCTCTCCCCCTCCCCCCAGCCGGTGTGGATAGTTGTTAACTCATTCTCTCACCACCTCCTCCGGCTTCCAGACACAGCAGCCATCACCATGGCCGACGAAAAGGCAACCATGTCCCATCTCGAGGGCATCACTTCGACCGACGACTACCACAAGGAGAAAGACCACACAAATCTGAGCCGTGTGGACTCGGAAGTCGCCAAATATGCCAGCGGCGCTCGAGTCACCATCACGCCAGAGGAGAACAAGCGTTTGAAGCGCTTGGTCGACAAGCGGGTGCTGTCGATCATGATATTCACCTACTTCCTCCAGGCCCTGGACAAGGGCACGTTGTCGTTTGCTTCCATCATGGGAATCAGAGAAGACACGAACCTAGTGGCCCAGCAGGTATGCACAATCCCCTCTTATCTTCTGTTTGCTGGCGATAGCGCTAACGCAGTCCGATTTTGCACAGTACTCGTGGTTGACGACCTGTATCTACATTGCAGTGTTGACGGTAGAATACCCGACAAATTGGATCATCCAACGGGTTCCGATTGCAAAGTAGGTGTCCGACATATCCGGTGGCGGCAAGGCAATATGCGCGCATTTTCTAACGCCTGATAACCAGATACCTTGCGATCAACATCATCTGCTGGGGAACCATATTGGCCCTGCACGCAGCATGCAAGAACTTCGCCGGCCTTGTCACCGTGCGGACGTTGCTGGGTATCTTTGAAGCTTGTTGTCAGCCCATCTTCATCGTGCTGTCCAGCATGTGGTACAAGCGTGACGAGCAGGCCCAGACCGTTGCATACTGGTACATGATGAACGGTGGACAGCAGATCGTTGGTATGCTTTTTACCCCGCCCCCGCTGCTCCCCTCCAGGTACGATGACATCTAACATCGAATCCAGGCGGTCTTCTGGCCTACGCTTTCACCAACATCCCCGACAGTGCCAAAATTCACTCATGGCAAGCCCTCTTCATCGCCTACGGAACCGGCTCGGTCCTCTGGGGTGTCTTCGTACTCTTCTACATGCCCGACTCGCCTATGCGCGCTAAGTGCTTCAGCGAGGAGGATAAGAAGCTCATGGTCGAGCGAGTGCGCGACAACCAGACCGGAATCCAGAACAAGACGTTCCGCAAGGAGCAAGTGATCGAGGCGCTCAAGGACCCGCAGACATGGTGCTTCTCGCTCATCCAGATCCTGACCACGCTGCCCACCTCCGGTCTCGGCGCGTTCGCAAACATCATCATCAAGAGTTTCGACTTTACCGTGCTGCAGACGCAGTTGCTCGCTATGGTGTTGGGCGCCTACATCATCCTTGTCCTCATGGGCTCGGCGTGGTTGGTCAAGAAATACAATCAGAATCTAATCATCATGTTCTGCTCCGTTCTCCCGTTCGTATTCCCCTCACGACCCATCCGGCCCCACCCGCAGACGCAGTTCCACTAACGGAAAAAACAGATCCGTCGTCGGCACCATCGTCCTGATGACAGTGAAAAACACCAGCAAGGGCACCAGCATCGGCCTGCTAATCTCCTACTACATCTGCCTCTCGTTCTGGGTAAGCCCCTCCTCACCCCGCACCCACTGTTCACCCCACTAACCCCGCTCCAGGCATGCGCCACCATCGGTCTCGCCCTCGTCTCCCGCAACGTCGCCGGCCAAACCAAGAAGACTTGCGTCGTCGCGATCAACTTCATTTCGTGGGCGGTAGGCAATGCCATCGGGCCGCAGGTATTCCTTGCGTGGGACGCCCCGCGCTACCTGATCGCCTTCGCCACGCACATGGGCTGCTACGCTCTGCTCCTGCTCACCCTCGTCTTCATGCGGTATTGGTACAAGCGTGAGAACGCCCGGAAGGATGCGCTCATCGCCCAGGGCGACGCGAAGAAGGATGACGAGCTCACACACTCGTTCGAGGATCTGACGGATCGCGAGAATGTTAACTTTAGGTATGTATTCTAAAGGCCTCGGATGTGGATTATGATAAGGCGGGCGGTTGTATTCATTTATCGGGGGGACTCTGATTTACATACGTTTTTTTCTTTTTTTTTGGGCCGGCGACGCTGAAGGGGAGTCGCTTGGAGATGTAATGAATTTATAGCAAGATGGTTAGGGGATCACATGACATCACTCGATTGTTGCCATTTGCGTGCACACAGGATTGGATCTGAATAACCCCTCCTATCGATGGGACAGGCCAGAGCAGAGGGCAGGGAAAGCCACAGCGGGCTGTTCAGTGAAAGTCGGGCTGGGCAGTGGCGTGGAAACGGAGAGTTACGGAGTATGTTTGCGCGGATATTGCCATGATCTAGATGGGTCGTATGCAATCAATGAGTAAACAAAAGCAAAAGGTTCTTATGAGACAGCACCCCTAAAGCCAACGCGCCCTGACGACGGTCTACCTACATACCATGTATGTACATAGCGATCCACAGTGCATGCTCCCAGCCCGGCCCGACCCATCACATCACTCTGATTCACCCCACAAACGCGACGTTCCGACGGATGGCAATGCAAGACCTACATACCGGGCGGGGCACTGATCACAAACCCAGCCCAGTAAGTTATGTACCTATGTAACTACCGGCACCGGCTGAGCGGCTCGGGCTGAACCGAGCGACCAGCCAGCACGTAGACTAGCGGCTCGCGAAGCCCACCACCACTACCGCCACCACCATCACCATCACCATCACCACCACCACCACCAGCGCCGGACGTCGCAACCGCAACCACAACTGCCCAATGGCCAGGATGCACTATGATACTACATAATTCGGGGGGGGAGGGGGGGGGGGTCATCGATTTTATTTCGCATCTACATATGAGCCTTTGTAGACTACAACGAACACCAACTACACAACCAACCCTACTCCGTCCGCGAGTCTAGCTATGCGGCTCTCCCTATTACCCTACTGGCTTGATCGATGGATATCACTCACCCCCACTGCACCATCCTCCTCGACTCCTCCCACATCCTCCTTCTCCCAGTTTTAACTTTTTATATGTCTTCCTCCTCAGAAGCAGACTCATCTCCTTCCCCTTCCAGTTTTTCTCCCTAGCCCTTCTTCTCACGTCGGTGACCTCCAGAAGTTGACATTTTAAATTGGGTTGGTTATCCGTGAATACGTCCAATCACTTGCTGCCTTCCACTTCTTCTCTGCAATCTGCCTGGGCAGATGGGCCAACGAGACAGGTGGCATGCGCCTTGGGCGGTTGCCAATGGTAAGCCATTCCACGCCATGCTGGTGGGTGGGGCTCAACCGCCGCCAGTAACCAGTTTCACCCATTCATCTGCCATCCCATTGCCTTCAATTCCTTCAATTCCTCCATGGGCAGGGCCGGGCACTACCGGTCCACCGGATTTCGACTGGACACTGCAGTCGATTTCTACCAGAATCCGTCTAGCCTGAAGCGCGAAGATCTGCCCGTGGCGGCGGAGCCGACTTCCAGAGTTTGCATCCTCTTGAGTCTAAATTGCAGCCCGCGCATCCGTAAAAAATTGTAGTTTTCGACACTCGACACTCGATGCTGTTTCCGGCGTTCACTGCCAACACGTAGTGCCCTTACAATCGCAGCACATTCTGCATAGTAGGCCTCCTGGTTGTATCCCAAATGTACTTTGTGTCCCTTTAATTCTCCGGCATTATTTTTCCATGCGACAGCATAGCCACATGCACCCGACCCCTCCTCGGTACGTGAACTGTCTGTCCACCGCCGGAGAAGGGCCCACGACTCCACGAGGGAGGTGATCAGCGCCTCGCCGGCGTTTAATGCTTCCTGCAGTGGCTGCTAACGTTACGGTTGCAGCCTTGCGGGAGACACATAAGAGCTGCTCGACGGTTATGTTGCCGGATACAGTCGCGAGGGCGGTACGGTCCGACACGCTGGGTGCTGGGTGCTTCAGTGTTTTGTTGGTGATGTTCGCCGTATTCGGCTTCTGGTTTTTGCGACGTTTGTGATGTCGTGGACTTATCGTGGGGTTGTTGGGGATGGTGGTGTGGTTGGATGGTGGAGGTATTGTTAGGGGATGGAGAGGTGGAGGAGCGGAGGAGGTAAAATATGTTGTCAAGATTCGTTATTGGGTGTGGTGACGTTGTGGGATGGTGGACAGATTTTTGGGTGGATAGAAGGGTGGATGAGGGGCAATGTGTTATCGAGATTGAATGTTGGGTGTGGTGACGTTGTAAGATGGTGGAGGGATGGAGGAGCGAAAGTGAAGTTTCGAGGTTAGCTGATGGGGATCGTGAGGTGGTGGGGTGTGTAGATCAAGCTGAATGCCAAGATTAGGGTTGATTGATATTCTTGGAACTGAGTCGTCGAAAGTTCGAGTTGAAGTGCTCAGAGAGTGAGTGACCTCGAAGATAATTGCACGCCACGAGTGATCAACCAACGTTTGTGGCATCACGCACCACGCATCACTCGTCCGACATCGAAGAACGAGTGATTGGCCCCGAGGTTTTGGCGCATTCTGTTCCCAGTAACTACTACGAATCTCATTGCCAGGAGCCGCTGTGGACATACGGCAACTTGACTGCACGTCTATCACTAGTACTACTGTCGCGGCCGTAGGGTGAGAGCTTCTCGCTCGGTTGTTGATGCCTGTAGCCTCGCGTTCCAGTCTTGCCGTGACATGCCGTCCCGTCCAGCCTCCAGAATCTAGACATGGAATTCTACTCGGTATTCCCGTTTGCGCTCGGCTTTTGCTCATGTGTCGGGCCTTCGGCTCGCATGAGTAACGGTGTTTGAGCCTTGGCTGTGGCTGGCTGTGGCTGATCTCATACGTATTCCACTTTCTGACTTCACTGAATTTGATCTGATGTATCCGCACGAGTGATTCCCATACGAATCATCGAATGGAGCATCGGTGCATCGGTGCGAAAGAGATCTCTTCATCACCGAGTACAACTAATTAAGTGCAGTCTTACGACAAGCACCTTCAATCGCATCCACATCATATTCATTCCCCGATGGAGCCAAAGCCGCACCACATTCGATCGAGAAAAAAAAAAGAGAAAATAGTCGAAGCAGAGAGAAGAATCGAGCCGGATACATCATACAACACAACAGTATTATACACTCCACACACACACATACACATAACCAAACCAAATTCTAGCCCGCGCCCGTGCACACCGTCTACGACGACGGCCAATGCCCATCCCAACTATCGAGGGCACGGAACCAATCAAACTCGAGCGGGCCCCTCAAGCTCGCCTGTTCCATCTGAATCTGGAAGCCTACCGGCTCAGCCATGAGCGCTTCGAGGTCGATATCGTAATCCATGGGCGCAGGCGCGGTCGATGTTGCGCCCGCCGCATCGTGATCCATGACTCCGCCGCTACCGCTACCGCTGCCGCTGCCGCCGCTGTCACCTACGTCGTCGGAGATGGGGACCTGACTAGCGTGATTGTGCCCCGGCCACCGAAGGAAGTTCGCCGCTTGCACGTCCGCTGCGGGAACTTCGAAGTCGATGTCTGTTGAGAGCGGAGTGGTGGTCGAGGAGTGCGAGCTGATGGAGCCGGGGATGATGTCGGGAGGGTGTGGTTGCTGCTGCTGCGGCTGGGACGTGGATGTGGATGTGGGGAGGGGTGTCGAGAGGGGCGAGTAGAAGCCTGCACCCGTGAAATCCGGATATCTACTGGAGGCATCGCGGAGATCGCTGGCATTTGACCACCCCTCGTTGGCCGGGGCCGGTGGTAGTGGTGCCTCCTCCCTCCGACGCTTCTGCTGCGGCGCTGGGCGGTTGCTGCCCTTGGTCATTTTGTAGTAGTTCTTGATGAACGTTCCAGCGACATGAGTGAACGCCGATGCTATGGTGAGTAACTTTGCGGCTCCCTCGTTTCGGGACTTCATCTGGCCGAGGTACGCGACCAGGGCTTTCATGAGTGGGTAGTCGACGCTACTACTCGTGGGTGCCGAGGGGTTGCGGATGATGGCGGAGAAGAGGACGAAGAAGGACGTGAAGGGATAGTATTGAAACAGCCTATCCGTATCAGTAAGGGCTGTGGCTATCAAAGCTGTCGTAAACGTACCATAACAGCATACCGCTCTGCGCCATTTCCGAGCTCTCGGCCACGATATTATTGATCATCTGAATGGCGCAACGTGCGCTTTCAAGGCATTGCTCGTCGCTCCAACCATACGAGGGCATACCCGGCCGAGCCATACGATGTACGAGCGTCATCGAGTTGTAGTAGCTGAATTGCAGTTCGATGTGCTCGAACGTGTCGATAACCTGGCGAGAGTGGGGTGTAAATGTCTTTGACCATTCCTCCCACCACTCCTTGAGATCCGCATCCAGCTCTTTGATGGCAGTTTCTCGTTCTTGCTCCGAGTGCCGTGCGGCTGAAGCCGAGTACAGGCGCACGTATATCCGTGAGTGGATCTTTGCAAGCGTGATTAGAGCGAGGAAGTTCCTGAAGATTGGCTGCTGGTCGTCAGGTTCGGGGAAGTCAACTGCGCACAAGTCAGCCGCGTGCATCATCATCATTGGGCATCCGAACGAGATGGCGGATATTACCATCGCAGTCATAATCGGGAAGACACGTCGAACGTCCAAAGGAGAGGGATAAGCATTTATCTGCATCTGTTAGCATGGGGCGGGGGACTTGCTCGGTGTTAGAATGGAGTACCCAGGATATAGATATTCCAAAACACGTATTTCCTCTCCTGAAGCTGCGCCTTTGTCAAGATTTGCGATCCACAGCTATTGCGATGAAGACCGATCGCTTGAGCGGTACGTGCCGCTTGCGAGAGCAGTGACCAGGAGAGACCTAAGGAGTCAAGTCAGGTTATTCCGCTCGGCGGCAAATCACGGGACGGTGATGTACCTGGTCTTGAGACTTCGATAGCACACACCGTCTGGATTGGGGTTCAGCGCTGAGACTTGCATGGTCGGGGGGCCGAAAGGATACGGATACTCACAGCACCCAAAAGAGCCTGAACGTTTCGCAGCCGAGGTCCAAGGAAAACTTCCAGGTCATCGATCGCCGACCACGCATTGTAGAAGAACGTGCTGACTCGCTTGCCATCGGGATCATTTTTCTGCTTCTCTTCGGGTGGCATCTTGGCGAGTTGGTTGAACAGGCCGAACAACAGGACGTTGTTGAAGCATGTCTGCCATGCGCGGTTCTTGCCCAGGTCATCGGGATTCTTGTAGAAATCTTCCACGTCTTTTCGGAACGAGGCCTCGTTGAATATCGGAAACCAGTGGTGAACCTTCCGGAAATACTCTGTCAAAACGACTGCGATTCAGCGATTGCCCCCGTTGCCGACCCAGCCACAACCACCACCACCGCCACAACCACTGACAGACGAACCATCCACCAGCATATCCGTCTCCTCCCTCGGCGGCATGCCCATAACCGCGCCCTCAGCGCCCGTGCGCAGCTCCATGTGACCGTAATGCGGAAAGAAGTTGACCGATTTCGACGAGATGACACTGAGTCTCCTCAGGGCGCCTATAGTCTCGCTCTGTTCCGACCTGGACCCGGTACCGTTCGACTCGCCGCCGCTAGCCCTCAGCCTCTCTTCCACCAGCGTCTCGGCCTCGCTCGTGAACGACAGTAGCGACGACGGCCCCAGGTATTGTATGTCTCCCTGCTTATTCGCCACCAGCTGGTTCTTGGACCGGGCCGACGGCATCTCGACCGACCGCGTTCTGGCGCGCGCCCGGGCGGCGACGGCAGAGGTAGAGCTCGGGCTCGTGGACGTGGACGCGGGAGGGCTGCGCAGGTTCGCGGCCTCCAGCGCCGTCACCAGTCGGGCCATGGTATTCTCGATGCGCTCGAGGCGCTCATTGACTTCCTCGAAACGTTGGGCGCTGTGTGGCCCCCACGCCCGCGCGTCAGTTTTGTTTCCACAGTACAGTACACCACCCAACACCAAAAAGAAGTCGGAGCAGAGTCATACTTCCGCGACGCTTCGTTATCCCGCTTCTGCCGCTCGGAGTAGGTGCAGCCCGCCTTCCAGACGATACAGTTCTGGCAGCGCGGTTTCTCGCGTCCGCATCGTACCTGCACACGGTTGGCCACTTCCTCGCGGGTCGGTGCGCCCGTCAAGACAACTCCCGTACCTTCTTCTCGCGACACAGATCGCACGCCGGATTTCGCGCGCTGTGCTTTTCGTTCTACTTGTCGGCGCGGTGTCAGCGACTCTACTCTGGTTACTCTACTCTACCACTGCGCGCGCAAGAGCTCACCCCCGACATCGCATCCTCGAACTCTTCGCTGGCCTGCTGCGGCGGCGGCATTGTCGCTGTTATCTAGCTGACTCCCGTAGCTGCAGGCTATCTCTCTCTAGAGTAGCGCCGGTACGGTTCGTGGGGTGTCGCGTGGTGGTTTTTCGGCGCGCGCAGAGGGGACAGAGGCAGAGATATTCGAGGCGCGGGGATGGTGGGGGGATGCGTGGGCGTGGGGCGTACGTGGGGTGAGGGACGCGGGGCGTGGGACGTGGGGCGTGCGTGCGTGGGGCGGAAGAGCTCTACTTGTGCATGTGCGGCGAGTCGGCGACGACGTGGATAAGTATGAGGCTGATTGCCGTGTGTACTATAGAGTACGTACAGGACGCGCAGCGGCGCAACGGTGCAGAGCCGAGGACGCTCCTGGGATTGGCCCGAAACGACGCGATGCAACGGCGGCGACGGCGATGACGGCGACAACGGTGACGACGACGGCGACAATGGCGAGGACTCGATCAATCGATCGCTCAATTAACCAACCAATCGATCGAACCCCACGCAATATGTATGGATCGAGATGAAAGCATCCGCATCGTCTCGTGTGCACAGTGCAAGAGATAGGCAAGTAATAAATAGCTCGGCAATAGTTGCGCCGTACTCGTTCCCGCCTTCCCGCCTTCCCGCGTTGACGGATGTGATGTGCGAGACAGCGTTAATCAACTCGGCGCAGAGTCGGAAGTATAGTATGTAGTGTACATACCCGCACGGAGATGGAGATGGAGGGAAAGAAATAAGAAACAAAAAGCCTACTTACCTAGGTTCCATCGACTCCCGAGGCATCTCGTTTACAATAGAGTACCAATACCACCCATCTGTAGGCGTAGGTATGTAGGCGCACATACTATCCATACATACAGCGGGCGAAGATGGGCCCTGGGGTGACTTCGAGATTGAGGATCCCGACGTTTCCATATTAAGCTCGTTGACGGTTGGGAACTTGGGGAGCCTAGGGCCTAGGCACTCAGCAGATCTACGGGAACGATCGCCATGATCTTCAGGAACAGCTTGCATAGTTACATACGTCGTGACGGCGACTCGCGAGGGCCGTTGTTACGGTTACCTACTTGTTGCATGTTACATACAGGATGGAGGAGGGGATCGTGATCGGGGGATACGATACCAGGTATATACTATATATGGAAAAGACACTGAGTGACGAGTCTCCAAGTCTTCAATCTGTGGCCACGGGAAGCTTGGAGTAGAGTAGGTACCTGCAGCTCGAATACCTACGGTACCTAAGGCAGGTACCTACCCTGACTCCTACGCCGGTAGACAGCTCTAGCTACCCAGGTACCCAGGTAGGTACGGTATGTATGCTATAGATATCACTCGGCCGACTCTGGCTGACTGGGTTCACGATGTTCTCGAGTCGGATACTGGCTCGACGGGCGGAAGCCATCAGGATTCCAACGGAGGGCGAGTTCTGTATACAGGTGCTCCGCCCACCTCATTGGAGCTCCAATACAACCGAACCGTCAGACGTCCTAGAAAGGGCCATCGGAAGCCCTCGGGCCATCATCTATCGGTCGTATAGGTGCGTAAGTATGTATCCCTCACGCAGATCACATCTACATCTACATCTACTACATCTACTCGGCCTCCCAAGCTCCCGAGTCCCATTTGCCTTTCAACGCGGCCGTATGATCATCCGCGATTGCTCATTTTGAGTCGACGGGAGTCCGGTGTCGTGGCTGTAAATTATACACATATTTGGATATGTAGTAATGTAAGCGATGATTGAATGCCCGAAATTCGAATCACTATGCTCATCCACGGGCCGGTGAAACCGTCATCTGTGTTTGAACTTTGCTATACTGGTAGATCACGACGTTGGACAGAGTAGAGTAGAGTAGAGTAGAGTATGATATTATTACTGACTGACCGACTGGGTACCCGTACCGTACCGTACCCATCCCTTCCCCTTGCCCGACCAACTCCTCTATCTGCAGAACGCCATTAAGCCTTGCGAAATCGTAGGCACCGGTAGATAGTAGGAATGTAGTATAATGTATCCCCGCGTAAACAATAACTCCACCGTCCAAACAAAACAAACACCTGTAAAAATAACACCCCCAAAAACACATTGCCAGAGCCGAGCCGAAACCGTAAAGCAAACGAACCAAAAACCACACACTCCGGTAGAAACACCAAACAAAAAAGAAAACAAAAACGAAAGAATATCCCTAACGACCTGTATAGTAATGCGCCTTGATATGCCTCTATCCGCCGGTCTACGACATCCCAACCATCCATCCATCCATCCGTCTATCCATCTATCCATCCGTCTATCCAAGCATCCGAACCGAAAAACCCGAAAACTCCGTGTCCCGAAACAAAACCGAAAACCAAGACCCGATCGAGAATCCCCTGCTCGAAATATGCGAAGAAAAAAGAGAGAGAAAAAGTCGCTGGTGAATTCGCCGAGCCGAAAGGAAAGTAAAGTCGCCGAAGAAACTCCTGCGCAGAGTATGTGGGTGCTGTAGGTATCCGCGAAAGGATTGTTGTTGTTGTTGTTGTTGTTGTTGTTGTTGTTATTGTTGTTGTTGTTGTTGTTGTTGTTGTTGGTGGTAGGGTGTATGCGTGCGAGTGCGAGTTGCCGGTGTATTGGTGTTGGTGTTGGTGTAACTCCACCGCACACCCATCCGACCCCGTGAAGCGGCTCCCGTAGAAGTTACCGGTAATACGAGCCTCTCGAGCTAGAGCTCAAGGAGTCCGGCAGGATGCCGATGCGCGGCGACGTGCTAGCTCCGGAAACCATGTGTGAATTCGAGCCGGAGGCGGCGACGTGCTGGGTGCAGGCGTAGCCGACCAGCACCGTTCGGTCTTGGATGTTGTGGCCGTATTGCCCGACTGACTGGCACGGGTCTACGCCGTGCACGTGGTATGTGCACTTGCACACTGCGTAGCGCTCGATTAGGCGGATGCACATGTTGGAAGTGGGGGTTGTGGTTGTGAGGGTGGTGGTGGTTGGAGTTGGAGCTGTAGGAGCTTGAGACTTTCGTGGAGGAGTGTGTATGTTGGAGGCCGAGTAGGTAGGCAAGATGGAGAGATATATATCAAGAGTCGGAAATAGCTGGCAGGCCGAGTTGTACGGACGGCGACGGGGGATTTGTATGCAGGAACGATCGGGATCCCGATATCCGATAGTACGGTTTGGATGATGTTGCTTGCTCGTTCAACCGAAGCTTGCTTCCTTGTCTTCCGATGCAGATGTTTTGTTGCGGTAGACGGCGCGAGATATAGATGAGCAGGTGATTTATCGAAACGATCGTGAGGCTGCGTTGCAGTCGCGGTTATGTATTGTGGGTGCTGTAGGAGCTGTGTGTGTGCTGTGGGTACTGTCGAGTGTGTGAGGAATCTGCTGCTGCTTCTTATTCTGCTTCTTCTTTTTTATTCTTCAGGATGGCGTCGGGCGATGTCTTATATCTATCTCTCCGTGTTGCCCATTTCCGCCGACGAAGCGGAGATGAGAGGGGAATAAACGCAAGCCGAGCCCACCCCCCTCCCAGCTTCCTTCCTTCCACGCTTCCTTACTGCGCCGTGCGGCACCACCCACTTGGATCCAAATCCATACGACGACATCACGGGGAGAGAGGGTGATAGACAGAGGGGGGTCCCTTGCATGCCTTCCCGAGCCGCTGGGAAGGGAGCGCAGTGCATGTTGCGGCGGATGAGCATTGAGTACGGTAGAGTAGAGAGCAGTGAGCAGTGAGCATTGAACAGTGAGCAGTGACTGAGCAGCAACCCACAGCAACGCGCGCCCAATATTAGAAACAGGCAGGCAGACAAGGATTGAGGAATGAGCCCCGGAATCTAGCGTCACTCTTTGTTCCCCCGCTCTTCCCTCTTCAAGTCGCCCTCTTGGATTCTGCAGCCCGCCCCGTCCGACGGTGCCGCATGTTCGGGCCCTCCCTCCCTCCATCCCTCCCAGTCGAATTCCTAGCAAAGTCCCCACACCTAGAATACCGAACAGAACACAGAACACAGCGGAACCTCCCTTTCCTCCCTTTCCTCCCAAGTTCCACATGCGGTCTGAAACCGCCCCCCCTCGCCCCCCCCTTCCCCCGAATCCTCGCTTCTCCTCTCCTCTCTTTCTGGCCACGCGAGCCCTTGCCCGCCAGTGATGTACGGATGCACGCTGCCATGTGTTGTGTGAGTGTGCGTGTGTGTGAGTGTGTGAGTGTGTGAGTGTGTGAGTGTGTGAGTGTGTGAGTGTGTGTGTTACATCCCGATTCCACCGCGAGCGGATCGTCGCATCTTTCGCATGAAAGCTCGTGTCGCAGTGTCCCCTAGAGTACAGTATCTACAAAGTTACGGAATGCTTCACCCAACCCATCCATCCTTCCGCGCCCTGCGTGCGGAATCAAGCGGATCGTCGCGCTGCTCGCCCAACGAAGTGACGGCCGCTGGGCGCTGGGCGTTGCATGATCGCCGTCCGCCGGTCGCGCTTACCATACCGCACCTTACCTTACCTCGCCAGACATGTCCGCGCCGTCGGTCGGTCAACGACGTACCTACGGGTGCGGGCCGGCGTGACATCGCGCGGTCGCTCTTTCAGCAGGCAGTTCTTCAGGCGGATCATGCTCTCCATAACTTGAGGCCACCAAGGTACCCAGTATCCACGTATCTATCCATCCCATGATCCCACCACTTTCACTCTCTCTCACGCAAAACCCACCCATGGGCCATCCATTGCATTATCCTATCCATACCTGAAATCGCGCTGTAACCGCTCCACATCTTCTCGCACCGGGTGAAGGAAGGAAGGAAATTTATCCAGCAAGCCCGCGGCCCTCCCCCCCCCCCCCCCCCCCTCTCCCTCCCTACCTGTTCATCCCTCCCTCGACCCTCGTTCCCTCCCTCCACCCTCCCTTGAACTAACCATCCGCCCCCATCCCCGCCTAGTCCGTCCCGGGACTGTCCTCCTTGGATTATTTCCCACAACCATAGTCTCGGTCTCCGGTAAGCGACTCCGGACGTGCTAGTAGGTACCAGTGCTGGATGTAGAGTAGTCGAGGAGAGTAGTCGAGGAGAGTAGCAGCTGGGATCAGCATAACTAATACATATGGTCGGACGGACGGATTGATGGATTGATGGATTGGTGGGCGGACGGATTGATGGGCTGGCGGACTGGCGGACGGATGAGCGAGCGAAGGAACGAGCGTGGGAACGAGCGTGGGAGCGGCAGCTAGAAGGTGCTGGGGAAGGACGCATGCTGAGGTTACATAAGGCATTCCGGGCCGCGCGCAGGCGGGGTGGGCATCACTCACTCGCTGACTCGCTGACTCGGTTGAGCAGGCACTGGGCACGCGGGCGGGCGCCAACTCAATGCTGTGCTGTGGCAGGTCGGGCATAACACAGCTCAACTCAACTCAACACTCGAGCTGACAGTGTCGAGGTGGCAGTGGCTCCTGCTCCTCCAGTACTGTTCATCCCGAGAGCCCCCGACGACCGGCCACCGTGATGCCTTCCTTCCTTCCTCACACTGGTGACTGCAGTGCACAAGCCACAGCCACACATTTCTTTTTTTGGTCTCTCCTCCTCATCAGTAACCAACCCACTGCCAGTGCCAGCATGAGGTGAGAAGTGAGAGGTGAGACAGTTCATGCATCGCGCACCACCCACCTACCGTACTACATACCCAGTAGTCACCTCTGATTGGTTGCGAGCTACTATCCCACCAACCCACCGGCTTTTAGCTAGCGGTCACACCATGATCGTGGCGCAACCTGGCGCAACTGGCGCAACCGGGGGAGGGGGAGGGGGAGCCGTTTGGTGTTTGGTGTTTGGTGTGCAGTGGAATAGTGGAGTACAGTGGAATAGTGGAATTCCTTCTGGAAGACGCCTGGAAGACGTCTGGAAGCTTGCGTGAAAGCGAAAGCGAAACAGAAACAGAAACAGAAACCAAACACGATGCCGCGGTGGTCGGTGGTAACTGTTTACTTGAATAGAGTAGTACTCGGCGATGAAGGTGAGTGCTGTAAGGTAAGCTCCGGTTTGTTCCTCAGTCCCCGGTGGCTGGTGGCCGGACTGCAAACATGTAGATGTTTACCGTACGCCCACCGAATCGCATCGCATCGCATTAACGCATACATACCGATGCTCCACTCAAACCTCGATCACCTCCCGACCGACCGACCGACCGGCCGGCCGACGGTATCATATCGTATCGTACGATGGCCATAGCAGAAAAGCAGAGTATAGCAGCGTCGAGTAGAGTACTTCGGTGCTTACGGTGCATAGGTATCTACAACGAAAAAACAAAAGCATCCGGTCGTCGAAAGCCCCACCGAGTCCTCAGTCACCCACTACTATGTACTTGGCATCTTCTAGTGTCAGGCCTCAAAAGCGCGAACACGAGAATATCATCTCGCTCAGTCAACGCATACCTAGAGTACTTACCGTAGTTAGGTATGGGGTACCTTTCGTTTCGTTTTGTTTCCGCTCGCTCGCTCATATCGGCTCATATCGGCTCCACTCTGGCAGTGGAAGTGCGCGCGGTCGGCGCGTAGAGTACTGCTAGTAGTAGGAGCAGAGTAGTCGCGCCTCCGGATCGCGAGTCGTGACCAATAGTTACTATTAGGAGAGCAGGCGTATTTCGGGCGGTCGGGCAGTTGGAACTTGGAACTTGGGGCAGTCGGGCAGTCGGGCAGTCGGGCAATCGGGCAATCAGGTAGTCGGGCAGTCGACAAGTTGGGGAAGTTGTGGCAGTTGTGGCTTTTCTCCAGAAGGGCTCCGTGACTCCGTGACTGCGTGAGTCCGTGTGCAAAAGAAAAAACACCCATCAATCCGACGACGACGACGGAGGGAAGCCGTTATTTCCCCTAACGACCGTACTCTACTCTGAGGAGCACTCCCAAAAAACAAAAGAACAAAAGAACACCTGTGTCTCTACTGGTACTCTACACAATATACCCTGCAATAGTAGAATGGAATGAATGGAATGCAATGAAACTCCTCTCCCACCGTTTCCCTACCGGCCCGGAGCCGAAGCACACGCACACACGCAAACCTCCCGCCCCCATGAGTCTCACGAGTGAGTCCCCTGACTAGCCAACACAGCTAGCAGCAAATGTTTCACGCATTTGATTCGCAGCTTGTGCTGGTGGGGAGGGGGGCTCGCTTCGCTTCACTTTAGCCTAGGTACAGTTGGTGGCCGGAGCAGGTACCAGTACTTACTCTAGCTCCGCTCTACTCTATGTAGCTGTGGGTGGGGGAGGGGGGAGGGGGGAGGGGAGAGGTGGAGGGGGAAGGGGGGGGAGGTCAACCGTGGTTAACTACTGGCTGGAGCCTTGGAAGCCATCATGGGAGCCATGGGAGCTCGACGCCGCCACTGTTCCGCAAGCTGTCTAGACGTGAAGCTATGAAGCCACAAAGCTATGAATTTACGATGCGCGATGATTTCCGAAGGAAGGGAGGCTACTGGGATGTGGAGGATTTGCAGGGGGGGGTGGGCAGTGGCGCTGGGGGTGGAGAGGGGGGAAGTGGAGGGAAGAGTGGAAGAGTGGAGTGGAGCCAGGAGCCTTCTGTTTGTTACATATGGTGGAGCCTTTGTTTAACTACGGTAGGGTGGAGCCATTGTTTAGAGTGGAGTGCCGGCTACCGATTGCGTACTCCGCACTTGCTCACTGCTCACTGCTCAGGGCTGCTCGGGGCTGCTCAGTGGTCAGGGCTGCTCGGGGCTGCCCAGGGCTGCTCATATGCTAGTAACCAAATACGGCTGAATGGGATTGGAAGGGGGGCCGAGTATGCGCACTACACGAGGCGCACGGTGGGGAGACGCCGGATAGCGGATGTGCGGGTAGGTAGTAGGGGCGGGTAGGGGGGTAAGGGAGTGCACGCGATGTCACTCGTGTTTCTGGACGCAAGCAATGGAGTCGGTGCGTACGTAGGTATGGTATAGGTAGTAGCAACGTCGTTCCGAAATCCGGAGAACTTAGGGCTGCGATGGAGAGATTCACGAGATTCTCCAGATTGTCGAGATTCTCGAGATTCCGCGATAACGAGTGGGATAACTTGGGCTGCCTATGATGGTAGCTGCCGTCATTGCCGTCATTGACAGCTGACGTTGTACGGTAGTAGGTAGTTACTTACTCAGAAACTTCAAGAACATACCACAAACCGACGCCCTATTCCGCAACCAAGATTAAAGGCTTCACTGGC